TCACATGAACAAATACAAGTTCATCGTATAGGCGGTAATTAGTAAGTTTGAGAGGTGACGATCATTATGTTGAATCCCAATGAAATTTTATGAGCCATTCCTATACACTTTGTATCGCTTTCTTTCTATTCATCTTTTTACCTTTATGACAAGGATCCCACCAACACGGTGGGCGCTCTTTTGTGAGTTGTAACTTTGTTAATTTAACAACCATCTCATTATATGACCACAATTTCAGCATCTCTCCTCACTGTCACCGTTCAAAACCCTCAGTAGAACGCGCTATACCGGAAAGCAATAAAGGGGAAAACAATTTTAATAAACTGGAAATATTTTCTCACATAATTTCACCTGAAGTAGCATACTCATATAAAGTTCCACAGATGGGGATGGTAATTTGGCAACAGGGTGTTTATCATCAGGGCAACTTTGAGCATTTCAGAGACAAATTTGAATTACACATATTTAGAGTTATTTCCTGAAAGGTAGAAGTAACTTGAAGTCATGCAACCCCCTTTTTCGTCAAAAGTGTAGTTATTTCTCGTTTATATGAGAAGAAAATCATGGAATATATAACCACTTGAATCATGTATGCATTTTGATCAGAGTTGCATGAACTTGTACAGCAACAGCTGAATATGATTGCATTCAGTGATACATTGAAATATGAATCAATTCCTAGTTTAAAGTGGAGGCAAGGCAAGGAAAGAGGCAAATAGAAAAAAAATAACCCCTTGTAGACGAGAAACAATGTACAAAGTACAGTATGACCACAATAAACCTTATGTAAAATGAATTGCTGTTCAACGCTCTCACGACAAATCGCAACGAAAAGTTCATAAGGACGCCACACAATATGCTTGATAGTCCAACAATGTAAGCAGTCATACGTTTGCATAATAAATTGTTCATGCGGAGTGTCTTTTCCTTACCATATCCGTATTATGTCTTCCTCTGTCTTATTGCTCAAATTGTCTTGGACTCTTGGTGACTAATTAATTTCTCACAATGAGGGGAATTGAGACAAATGCGTTGTCAATGAAGTTGTTTTACGCGTGTCTCTTTTAACCTCACATTGGCCCATCAATGTCTTAATATGTTATGCAATCCTAATTGAGCTATCCGTAATTGCTGAAATTGTTCTACTCTAGACTAGATCTAAAAAGAAGTGTCAGATTTTTTATCGTTCGTAATATTATTTAATTGGATGAAAGATTCCAATTTTATCTTGACTGCGAATTAAAGTCTTCTAAGGTCAGTGTTCCCATAAATAGTACAAAAGAAATTACTTGCTCGTTGTACAAAAATATTATCTTCTTATACAATGCGTAGAGGAAATTTCTTTTTCTAGGAAATCAATATTGCAAATGTATTCTTATCACTTTAAGATAAGCAATTACATATTTACCTTTTATACTTCATTGGCTTTATTACTGGAAAGTTTAAAAATTCTTCACGAGATTAATGTCGTCTTGCTTTTTTCATACAGTTTATGTGTATGTCCGACAAATAAAGACATTGGTTTGACATTCCAGGTAGGCATTCAAGTAAAGGTGAATACCATTAGGAAAATTAATATCCCCTGCGTTGTCCACGAAAATGTCTGACATAATAAAACAATAATGATATAAAATCTTGTCCAAATAAATGGAATCAAGCGTCATTTACTTGGTCCCTTTGTCCAACCCATGATGATGATGACAAAATTGGTCTGGAATCCTTGTCTCTCCTCCTTTCTATCAAAATCATTTCCTTCTCCACTCTTCAACATCCTCTATCCTTTTATCGTTCATCTCATTTAGTAGAATGTGGTGCATTTGATTGGAGAAGAATGAATCAATCTTGTCGCTTCTTCACCTCCATTATTCACTGGGATAAATGTTAAGCTATTTCTCAACAATAGCAACACGCTATTCTTACACCGAAATTTCTTTCTTAATTCACCTTTGAATTAATTCGATGAGAAAACCAATTCTTTACAATTTTTCTATAATGATATATGTAATTGCTTTGCAGTCTTTGACTAGTCATGCTAATACCGACAAAAATTGCAAGAAAACTTTTCTATGGATATTAAATTCGTTTGCATTCCTCATGATTGAGGTGCATAATCTGAATTCAATAAACATTTACGTGCCTACAGTGATTGAATTTTGAAGAATTTTAGTGAAGATAAAACGACTAAAGAGTGTAGTGTTATATTGGAATACAATTTTATTTTTACGTAATTTTCTTGGCAGTCGGAAAAAGAGATTTAGTTAGCAAATACGTGTGGTCAGAAGTGTTGCTTTTATCCTCCAGCATGTTGTGCAAATTCTAACAGCAACGTACATAAAGAATATAAGCATGATCAGATAGGAAGATGCACATTAAATGCACTTCACGGTGTCTTGATGTGCAAACTGATAGCACGACGAGGCAAATTTGTTTCCAGCAGTTTATTGACTTTTTATTCAGACCAAAACATTTGTATGCACCCCTCAGTATATTTGACATTGCCATTTTCAAACCGAAATTATGATAATGGCAGAATAGAAGTGGTGAATTGGAAATATTGCTGAATAATGTACGTTCTACGAACCAGCCCCACATGCCTCCCATTAATATCATACGGTGCCTTTTATTATTTTCTTCTCAGCATTGCAAGAGCATAAAGTATTAATGGGGGGAAAGGGATAAATGAAAGACATGACCTATTGAATATTCAGAAGGTATTTAAGGTGTGCCATTATTATACCATCTATTATCCTTAACTCTGGATGTATAAACCTCCATGACGGATGACAATTGACGCTATATTCCAGTAATTTTGTATTGAAATTTATATACACATTGTCAAAATTGAATACATATCATGTACACAATATCAAATTTGAAATATAAGTAAAATTCTGTAAATCACTTTATTATTTATTTAATATTCCTTTATTTAATAATATTTCACATCTATTCTCTCCATAAAACGAGAATTTATTATAATTATTTATTCAAACAAAACTAGATTGATGTTTATTTTATGAAATTACTCTCTGCATTCTTTAAAGTAGCCAGGCGAGAATTCATTGTAACATGGTTGCTAGTTTTACAATCTGAATATGAAATGTCACATTACATTTCCTCCTCTCAGTTATGCAATTTCAAGTCTCTGTGGAAATTTCAGAAAGACAATTTGAATCTCAGACTTTCTCAAGGCAGAAAGAAATGCCCAATCAACTTGTGGCTGACATTCTGAAATTAACTCGTCAGTTATCGTGAATCACAAAAGTTTAATAATGTTCTTCTTTTCTTAAGCATCCCCAGCGCAGAGCATTGACTTAGCATTGTGTCTTTGTGCATTGAGATCCTTTGAAACGGATGATATGTGAAAATATTAATTACTGAAAATGCTTTTCCTTCTCAGTTGAGAGAGGGAAAAAAGGTTTTGTTCTATGTAAGCCACATTCACTGCAGAATATTTCAGGCGTATGAGGTTACAATGTGGTGTTACAATAACCCAGTCTAGTTCATCTTGTGTCATTTGTGTGATGCACAGCCACATAGTAAATCCATATATTGAGAAGGGGTGGTGACAAAAACGGAAATTTGCAGAAAATATGATATATTGTACTTTGAATTTTGGGTTTTTATTCACACCAAAATTGCATGGGAAAAGATGTTTGCTGGAGAGGAAATTAAAGAGAGTTTCATGGGTTATTTGGGAAAACAATTGGGTCGTGTTGTGAATTTTTGGGTGGCAATACGACGTATTTGTGTGGGTGGGTGTTTTGTGAATAAAGTTCAACGTGAGGCGTTTGATCTTGAAAATACCCATGGCAGAGTGAGTTCACACCATTTATTTAAAACGTGATATGGGGGAGCCATAAAGAAAATGGAAAAGGAAGGAATGGGAGTGTGAGAAGAAAGCAAATGGATGGAAGCGGATGCACAAATGCCCAGAGGATAGAGACAAAATCACAAAATCAGTCTTATTTTAGTTCTACACGCCATCTATGGATACTTTATATACAAGAAGACAATAATTTCTCGAATCTGTCTCTTTAAATTAAATTTAATTAAGATGAGGTACCATTTAAATATGATAACGTAAAATGTAATTTGGTAAAAATTCAAATTGACATTTTTACACCACAAGAATAATTAAAAGTGGTTTAGCAATTTGATATAATTCCGAGGGAGACCAAAATTCTCGGATAACGTAGTGTATGCGAACAATTTGGCTAAATAGTTGGAGCATTTAATCCGACATCAACGTTATAGCATTACGGTTGCCAAAATGTGTGTAAATTATTGCATTACTTACATTTTCCATGTGAAATGCAATGCAGTACAACGTGATAGTATTTTATACGGCAATATCAGTCAGTTGCACAAATCTCTATTCTGTATGCAATTGATTTTTCCCTAGCAATTCAATCAGCGTATTAGATGTAGCGATGAGTGACACACATGCATTTGTCACTATATTGAAATGATTGATAGACCTTAATTTATTGTGTGAAATTGGGCCAAGATCGATATGTACATATGTAATATATATATTTTGATTTTGGCGGTTTTGGTGAATTTTACACACAATCATGTAATGCACATTAAATCGTTGTATGTTTATGGTGAAAATTAATTTATGTAAAATTATGCTGGTGAATTGTGCGATAAAATCAAAATATGCATATAGAGTTACTTCCATCGTTGATTTCATTATGAGCTGGAAATTTTATCAAAAATTTGCATGTGTCCTTTTGGTGAAGGAATGTAATTAAAAAGCACAATATATATATACTCCATGTATGACGGAAATTTCATGGTGATTTTATTGGAAAGTCAAATTGTCATCTCAGTATAGTAGACACCATAAATTGTGAGGCATATAATTTAATAATGAACTCCTGTCTTGGAATATTGCTCCCTTAAACTTTAAATTGCGTATGTCCCATATTTTGATATTGACTGTGAATCTAAAACAAATACACTAATCTTATACTTTTCCTTCATCTTTACAGAGTTTGGGCATATTAGCGTCAATTCCGGCTGCAGTATTGATTGTCTCACTGATTGGACTCCTGCTGTATTTGCTGACGAGGTGTTGTGATAGAAAACCACGACGAGGCAAATCTAATACATGTCAGAAGTGTACATTGCTCATCGTAACGATACTTTGTGGTTGTGCCATTGGAGTAGGTGAGTCAAAATAAATATTTGACTATCAATACATATATATGAGAAGATATTGGGACACATTTTTCTACAAAAGCGGAAAGCTAAACTGATAATATCAAATTATGAACCATATTTGTAATAGTCTTTTTTTTATAATTTAAAATTGGCTTTGTTATCTGTACAGTTACCTCCATATACGTTTGCTTGTAATAATTCTGTCTAAATGAGTAATTTTTCAAAAGAGCGTGCATTTATGTGCATATATACAGAAAAAAGGCCTGACTTTGAACGTGTGCTCTTTTTTGCCCTCTTCTGCAGGTTTATATGGAAATGACGATCTGCACAATGGTGTCCTGCAGGTGTTCGGATCGGGACGGCAGGTTGAGGCATTGGTGAAAAGTGTACGAAATCAAGTGAGTGCATTGAACAGTTGTGTAAGCGATTTTTACCATTTGCGTTTCTGTATCTCTCACTCTCGTGCAGCAATTTGGTATGATGAGTGGCAGATGTTGGCTCTCGAATGTGTAAAATTGCTGCAGAATGCAGAGTATATGTATGTGCAGTAATGTTCAATAATTGGGGAGTGAATTTAAAAGAGCTTGAATGATTTTCTAAAACTCTTTCCCATTCATTCAATCTGACTGAAACTTCCTTGAAGATAAATATTTGCTGGTTGAGAGTGGCCGGAATTCTAATTTAAGTGAATTTGCACTTGAATGAGGGAGAAGAATAGGGTGAATTGTGGTTGTAGGGTACATAGTGAACCAACTTGAAATAAATGCGAATGGGAAGTGAATTTTAATGGATTATCGTAGTGTATGGAAAAAATCAAGAGCATTTTCCGCGATAGTTTTGCATAAAGTTAAAAGAGCAAGGGTATGTAGGGACTTTTTGTGTGTGACCACCGAACAAGAGGGTGGGATAAGAGAGAAACGGGATGCAATCATGAATAGTGGAGTAATTGAAATGTAATTAAGCATTGAGAAATTTCAGCTTGATATGAATGATTCAATTAATAACTAACTTGAGATAAGTTGAATGAATAATTCATTAACAAATTGTCGCCAATCTTTCTGCACAGATTGTGGAGTACTTTGTAATTCTGGCACTCACTGCCGAATGAAATCAATTCATTCATACTTCAGAGATTCAACGGATGTTTGATTATTCATAAGTCCTCAAGATGACATTTGAATTCTCATTTCTCTTCTTCCCTACAGACGGACACATTGAAACACAACTTAAAGTCAAGAGTGGTTATGTCGGAGCTGGAGGATATATTTGATAAACCAACATCAAATCAAACTGCACTCACTATTGTTCTCTATACTGTGAGACAAGTGAAAGATAATACAACATTGGCTATCAATGCGCTCGAGGCGGTCTCTTACTTCATTCGATCATCCCATTCTGAAGTGACTATAAAGAATTTCTTAGATGTAAGTATACTTCAAGCATATATTTTTTCATCTTTCCTCTGTATTTGAAAGAGCATTCTCTCGAGTGGTCTTTTTCTCATGGGATGATTTTTAAATGTTTTATGGGATTAAAGTGTTACTTTTATTGCTTACTCTGTTCACAATAACGTGCTCGATTTGTAGGGATGAATTCATATTCAATCTATGAGTTGAGATAAATAAATTGAACTGCCTTTTGATGATGCCTTCAATTAAATATGTACGTATATGTTTCAGACTGCAGAGTTTTACGAGTCCATCCGATGGCCAGTGACTCTGGGATTTCTGGCAGTCCTTCTGCTGCTATGCACAATTTTAATAATTGGCGTAGCGCGGTCATCGAGATGTGCATTAATATTCTTCAGTGTGTTTGGCCTCCTGGGCGTAACTCTATGCTGGCTGCTGTCCAGCATTTACTTGGCCGGTGCCATTGCACTGGGTGATTTTTGCGTGAAGCCCAATGAGTATATATGCAGTCAGCAGAAAGTGCCGGATATTCATTATACGAACTGTGGGACCGTTGGAACAAATCCATTTATACTGCGACTCAACGAATCACGAGACAATGTGGATCGTGCTAAAGATGCTCTCCAGATTGTATCCAGGTAGGGAATGTGAAGTACAATTGTCACTTCTTTCTCCACGATTTGGACTGTATTCGTATGTGTGTGTGTGTGTGTGTGTGTGTGTTTATCAAAGAGGGAGGAAGTGTGATGCATTTAGATGCTAATGTGTACGCTTTGTATTGATGCAAATGATAGTTCTTTCGGTCCTTAATCTCTGGCGTGACATCTCTTGTAGGATTTCTATGGATATGTATCCACGTGTCGATGTGGGTTCAAAAATCTCCCACATTCAGACGGAATTGGACAACAGCAAGCGACAATTGATGGTGTTGTCGACAATGCTTGATCCACGAACTGTACAGCAACACTACAATACAGCCACAAAGGGATTATGTGAAACTAGTCTCTATGGTCTAGTATTCATGCTCGTGGCGAGTCTCTTGACTGCATTCTTCCTTACTATTCTTGTCTGTGTGGACTCTCATGCTTGGATATACTTGGCAAAGAAGTGAGTATCTTGTTTTGCGGTAAAAAATATGTCAGTCAATTTCTCACCGCAAATGACAAGTCCCGCGATGCAGTTGCATTTTTTGGGGTAAGAGAGGACAATAACATGTGACTTGTGAAATTGCTTTCAGACGACCATATGGTGATAAATCCGAGACTACTCCCCTCTTTCCATCTGGCTCATCTATGTCGCCCACAGCTCCAATCCTCAGCGGCACCTCCACTATCAATCGCACTCTTCTGCACCACCAGCAGCAGAATCAATTGAGTGGGATCAATTCGGCATCCGGAACAATGAGTCGCAACGGAACGGCGGGATTGCGAGGGTTGGAATATAGTGGCGATTCACCGCCACCAGATTATAATGTTGTGGTGCATGGCAACAGGCATGGCTTTGTTATTATTATTATTATTATTACAATATTTACATATCCATCAACATTTTCATATTTGTTATCAATTCAGGACAATTGCAAGCGCAGTAGAGATCAAAAGTTTATGTTTTTGCTGCTGCTGAATTAATAATAATAATTAGTAGCCAGAAAAATAGTTTGTTCAAATTCTAGGCTTCATTTTGCTACACGTTAGCTTTTATTCCATTCAACGATAATTGCATCTGTTAATTGGAAATAAATTGCCAATGTTTGTATTTGAAAGGTAATAATAAGAGAGAAAAACTCCTGCGAAAACAGTTTTTGTATAAAGACTTCGCGTATTTGAGAATCTTCTATAAATTATCTGTATGGAAAAATTACTGAATCCTCTCTCTGCTTTATGCTTACAATTTCATCAGTTAGACTCCAATTGCTCGAAGCATGTGGAGAAAAGTTTTCTGAGAAGCGCACTTTCAATGTTTCAAGTCGGAATTATTTGAACAGAACAATGTGTAAATTAACTGACAGTCATCACATTTAATGAGACAAATATGCTGTTATAATTCTATGGGGAAATGTTGTGCACTGAATGATATGTCACAGATTGAGACATTTGTTATTTAATTTGCACGGCGAAATAATTTGCAATGTTCAAGCAATATTAAGCTATTTTGCACACAATAAATGTGGCATTAGCATACAATGGTTGTTTATGTGATCTTGCAATTGTCCAAAAATTTATATCTCTTACAGACCGTACACTATACTCGATACCAAAGTCAAAGTCATACACAAAAATCCAAAGGCATTTTACTTCAGATATCACTCTGGCATTCCACTATATGCATACCCATCTATCAAGATACAAGTTTTATTTTCGTTGCTGCAAATACCAACATTTAATGTTATTTTTTAGTGGAAAAGCACTCACCAATTTCTTGTAATGTTTAGAGACTTTTAAAAATTTCATTCCTTTTTCATCCCATTATTTATTTTGGTATTTGTAAAATTGATTTTCTAGAAAATGCATAAGTCAAGTGTATCAAGCACATAATAATTTACCACCAAACATGCACATAATTTTTTTATGAATATTTTATTTTGAATTCAGTGAAAAGAGGAAAATATGGGTCGTTTAGAATTTTCCGAGAATTTTTCCAACCATTTTCATAAATCCTTCTGATTGGGCCAAGCAAAGTAAGATCAAAAAAAATTATACAATATACACTACACTAAACATATTTCTTTTTTTTTCGTGCCTTTAAACAGAAGAAAAACCATTAAAATATACTCAGATCCGAGAATAAAAGTATAAATTGAAAAGGGAAAAGCGTGTAGGAAGAAGTGGATGTCTCGTTTGTTGCACTTCCGCGAATGACGTCGATAAATCGATATTAAAATTTTCCAGAGTCACGCACATTTTTCTCCATTCGTGCGCCATATATACGCCCTTTTCCCACTTCACGTACCTTTCTCAATTATTACAAGGGTGGTAAACTTTTTTCCTGGTCTCCATTCATGGTGAAACTCGTCAAGAACTGAGTCATCGTTTCGTTACTGATGATTCTTGTGGGAAAAGTTGTGACCCAATTTGAATTTATGACAAAAGTTGACGAAATAATGCAAGTTTAATTTTTTGTTAGGTTTCTTTCTCTGCATACGACATTTTTGTGCCTTACATTGCTGTTATTTGTATTCGATATAATTAGTGGTAATACCAAAGAAGAGAGACGATCTTTTCCTCTTTTTACCTAAAATAAAAACAGTTAGAAACTTTTCGCATTGCTTCAATATTTGTATGTGAGAGCAATGAAAGTTTTAAGTGAAAGAAGAGCCAATTTATTTCTTGGTCCTTTAATTTCCTCTTGTTCTCTTGGCGAGAAAACACTTATGGTGAAATTATGTGGATAATAACTGTGAATATATATCATTACAATGGATGGTTGTTTTTTTTGCAGGACCTCCAGTGGCCATCACACTCTTGGTCGCTTGCCATCGCAGCAATCGTCGTACTTATCTGGGCCCAACAATGGCAAATATGCCACCCTGAGCAAACAGTGCAAAACACTGGAGTCAAACGACTTTTACTGAGAATCGCCTGCCTGCACATTAAATGCAGGCAGTGACACTCTAAGCAAATCATCATCAATCGAACAGAAGACGGTAGTACAGCAGACAGACAAGGATCCAAGGGACGTATCCAGCAATGGGTTCAATCGCTTCGATCCCAAGTATATCAGCATTGGACCGAAGGCCATCCGGGGATCAACTGGGATGAGCGCTGCCGCGGCTGCAGCCAGCAAGTGTGCTACTCTTCGGCAGGGTGGCCGCTATGGCGGGAGTCTGGGTGGGGTGTCAAAGGTTTCAGTTAGTCCCTGTCCCAATTTAAAGACAGCACAACCACCCACCGTGGCAACTGTGTCAAAGGACTACACCAGCTCGTACTCAACCTCCACCATGCCGTTCAACACTGCCACATCGGGTCAGCAGAAGAAGAGCAATGTGCCCAATGGCGCATCTGCGGCGGCTGAGCGAAGAGAGGAGGTGAAGCAGCAACTGTCCGTGTACAGCATTGATGCGTCGTATCATCGGCAGCCGAGGTCCCAGGAGAGCTCCAACACCAAGGGTATATCAATTCTCAATCAGCCTCTGCCGGAGATTCCGCAATCAGCGATGAAGATGACTGAATCGGCGCCTAAAAACATCCAACAACCACTGTGTGCGACAAATTTGAATCAGTATCGTTCGCTGCAGCGTCCGGGAATGCATCAAAAGTCATCATTTGCGCAACCACCGCAACAACATCAGCAAACAGTGCCGCTGAAGAGCTCAATGAAGCAGCCACAGACTCCTGCTCCACCGCCAAAGGTGGTGCCACCTCAGTTGCCGCCGAAGAATCGTCACAAGGAGATGAGTCAGCAGAGACAGTCGGCACAGTCGTCCAAAGGACAGAATTTCAGCACTCTTCAGTACCCTAGCAAGCATCATCAAGGCAGTACTCACACGACATTTGGGTATGACAATAAATCCCGCGATTCAGGTGGATACCATGGGCAGATGATGCCACAGGAGAAGAAGCATTATGATAGCTCTCGCATGACGTCTTTCCATGGCGGTGAACAGCCACCGGGCTATCCGATGAAGATGTCCAAGGCTCATCAGCAGGGATATCAAACCATGCCACATCAGCCGAAATACCCTGTCAGTTCGGGCAAATCTCACGGTCATCATCAGCAGTCGCAGTCGAGCAGGCAAGGTGGAAGCAAACGAGATGATCCCCCAGTGTACTATCGCTCCCTTCAGCGTGGCGGCGCCAACACAGCCGGTGGTGCTCATAATGATCTCTATTCCGTGACGGAACTTTGAAGGTAGCTAAAATACAGCAATGCATTTTAGGCGAGGCCACGCATTGCTGCGGTCAAGGAGCGCTTGGTCAGAGATCATGCAGATGGGTGGAAATAGTGCCATACATTTCCATTTTTAATTTATTTATATTCACACCCAACTAATCATCTCGCGAGTCTTTTTGCCCATCTGTGATTGCATCCCTGGCAGCGACTGAAGAGATTCACTCGTATTGCTGAATATGTATTTTCATGCAAATTCATAGACACACACATTGGTGGAATTTTATGAATGTGCAATAATATGAAAGGATATATTTTCATTTGCAGTCAAAATTTATATTGATTTATCAATGTCCCTAAAAACGATTCAAATTGGAAAGTCACAACGAAAAATGCGTAATCAGCCAATAATTTCCCTTTTTCAAAGTTTATATTAATGCGAGTGAACATTTTCAATTGAAAAGTAATGAAAAGAAATATAGCTGAAAAAGAAACTATTGACGAAGAGAGGAAAATGATGATCATAGAATAGTGATGATGTTTCTGAAAAGGTAGTGAGAAAAGTTTGAAGACATGCGGTATTCCTGTTCTGTAAATAAAAGGAATTTTAGAGAAAATGAGAAATTTGAAATGAAAGAGCGTGAGAAGCATTTTTGGGTCAATTTTTTCGTATAACTTTTTAATTAGTTGAGTGTGTTCTTGAATAATTAACATTTTCTCTAGACATTTCATGACTAAAACCGCTAAAATAAAAACATAAAGAAGTACATGCAATTCCAAATACGAAGAGTATTTTCCTTGATTTTTTTTTTCCAATTATGCGAAATCCATGAGAGAAAAGACATTAATTTCTGTTCGATTGCTTGATGTTTTATTTACTTGGAGTGTCAATCAACATTTTTCGTTGATTCTAATTTTTAAGGGGAATTTTTTTATATATAGGAAAAAATTACATCTCATGTATAGATTTATCTTACTAAGTTAGAATAATTTGTATTATTCAGGGATTAAGAGCACCGTATGAATGAGATTTTACTACAATATGACACAATATGTATTAAGATTATAATATGAAATGATATAATATAGATAAATTGGGTAAATTCGTTGTGTGATGAACAAAAAGTGGTAGAATGAATGTTATTTGAAACATTTACTTGTATTTATGATGATTTTTCCTTATAGCATTTCAATGATCATACTTAGAAATAGAAGTGAAAATCTTGGATAAGTTTTTTAGACGTTGAAGGAGATTTTAAGATTAAAGTAAACATACAAAAATAGTCTGAATTAGCGTTAAATGGAAAAGGTAATAAAAAAAAATACAGATTGATAAAGTAAAAAGAGAAGCAGTTCATGTAATAATTAGAAGATAAAACTATAAAATTCAGTGAGATTTTTACAATCAATTTCGTGGTGTTTTATGAATATTTATTTTTTGAAGAAGGAGACACAGATCAAAATTTTCGTAATTCACAATATAAGGAAATAGTGTTAGTAAAAGAGAATCAACTTGAGATAAAAGGTGCCATTTTTTTTCTTTTTGGTTATACAAACTTTATTTAGTTTAATTTTGGACAGTTGTGTTATTTGAGAATATATATATATTTTTTTTGTATTCTGAAAGGTTTTAAAATATTCTATCTATATATATATATAGTCCAATTTTGAAAGGAAATTATACACCGAGATAAGTCGTAACACTCTCTAAAATGGGAACATATTTTCTATTTGCAGTGTATCTTATTTATTCTGCAGAGAAACGGATAATTGATAAGTATTCTGTAGCGAACTAAACTATGTACTTTGTATTATAAAGTTCTTTTACAATGAGAATTAGCACAAACTTGTATTTATAAATGATGAAGAAAAAGAACTGTTACCGTCTCGAAAATTTGCCGATCACATTGACGAAGTGAGAAACATTTGAACACATGAATTTTTTTTCCCAACAATTAAGATGAATTAATCATAATTAAGTGCACCAAAACTTCTATTAACAAAAAAAAAAGAAATACGCCAAAGAATATAAATCAAGAGAATATCTTTTCGACAGAAATTCGTAGAGAAGTTTTTAGTGCTAAATTGTGGTCGAAAAAACAAGAGAGTTTTTATGCTTTAGCAATACATGTAGAAAGTAAGGGTGAAGAAAAAATGCGAGAAATTTACCAACTCAATTATTTATAATCAAAGGACTGCATTTTTTATACAAAATCTTTTTTTATGTTTATTAACGGATTTAAGTGAAGAGATGTTTTTGATGCAACTTGTGGGTGGCGAATAAGAGAGAGAGAGAGGAGAAAAAATACAACCGGAAAAATCGAGCTCAATTATTTCGAACAAACATTTTGAACGTTAATAAAAGGGGTGAAGATGCGTAGAGTCAAAATGAAGTAAAAAAGAAAGAAAGTGAGAATATTTTGAAAGACTTAGAGAACAGATAAAACACATTAACGAGAAAAATATTGTTATGTAATGTAATAAAGACATGTTGTGTAGTCCTTAAGAGTAATATTCTAATCGACAATTTCTTCTCAAATTTACATGAACTTCATTTTGACAGACCCGTTTTTGAATTGCGGGTAACGAAAAGGAAGGTTAGATAAAATAAATCCCTTTTCCCCTTCTTGAAGCATGAAATACCAGTAAAAAAAATTACATAACATAGAAGAGAAAAAAGTATCTAGAATGTTTTGATCTCTTAACTATGACATAGGATGGAAAAAAGAATGAAATTCTGGCTGATGTGCGGAGTGAGAAAAGCGTAAGAGTCAGTAACATTCAGTATTACTGGCTTGGTAAATATTCATATAAAAAATTGAATAGTGTTACATTTAGCGATAAAAGTGAAAAAAATCCATATGAAATTGAATAAAAATGATTATACAATTATGATTATGAAAAAAGTGTTAGCATCTAAAGTAATGGATATTTTTAACTGAAGTTTGTCTGTAAACACAAAATTGAAGAAAGAAAAATAAATGCAATCATATTCACTATAAAAAAATTACTGTTATTATTTTCAAAGAGATCGGGAACAGTTTAGCGAAGACACGAAGTTTCTGGTTCTGCGCATGGATTATCAGCTGTTTCCACAAAGTCCACGGATGAAAAGTCAAAACAAGTAAGAGGAAGCGGCGAAACTAACATTTTCTTTTGTCCATTTGTACAACTGATAACGCGACTATTTACAAATATATTTATGGATTCTCAAGCACCGGGAAAGCGTACGAACGTGATGGTGTCATTTAAAAGTGGAGAACCAATGGAAATTCCAGAGAGTGACATTCTCGGGCGGTGCAGAAGCGTCTCTGAATTTGAGAAGCTTAACAGGATTGGCGAGGGAACTTATGGGATTGTCTGTAAGTCTACACCTACAAAATGGTATAATACCCTGGATAATTTTCAGTTATTTCATGAAACATTCTTGCGTATTTTAAGATCGAGCAAAGGACACAAAGACCAATGAGATTGTGGCTCTCAAGAAGGTGCGAATGGACCAGGAGAAGGATGGCTTACCGATAAGTGGCCTCCGGGAGATTCGTATTCTCATGTCCTGTGACCATGAGAATATTGTGAAGTTGAAAGAAGTTGTGGTGGGCCGAAGTCTGGAGAGCATCTTCCTCTCTCTTGAGTATTGCGAGCAAGATTTAGCCTCCCTGCTCGACAACATGCAGACAAACTTCTCGGAATCTCAAGTGAAATGCCTGATCCTGCAGGTCCTGCGCGGTGTAAAGTACTTACACGAGAACTTCATAATTCATAGAGACCTAAAGGTGTCTAATCTTCTGCTGACGGACAAAGGCACGGTGAAGATTGCAGATTTTGGTCTGGCCAAATACTTTGGCATTCCGTCGAAGCCCTCAACGCCACAAGTCGTGACGCTGTGGTATAGAGCTCCTGAATTGCTTCTAGGAGCGAAGGTTCAATCCACAGCAGTCGACATCTGGGCTGTGGGATGCATCCTAGGCGAGCTGCTCGGGCACAAACCACTCCTGCCAGGAACCACTGAAATTGGCCAATTAGAGTTGATTGTAGACTTACTGGGAACACCATCAGATGGCATCTGGCCAGAATTCTCATCGCTTCCAGCCGTGCAGAACTTCACTCTGAAGCATCAACCCTATAATAATCTCAAGCAGCGATTCCCCTGGCTTTCAGCGGCTGGTCTTAGACTCCTCAACTTCCTCTTCATGTACGATCCAAAGAAGAGAGCCACGGCCGAAGAGTGCCTGCACAGCAGTTACTTCAAGGAGATGCCATTCCCTTGCGATCCCAAACTGATGCCCACCTTTCCGCACCACCGCAACATTAAGAGCGTGAGTTCATCGTCAAAAGCCGCCCAAGAGCCGGGCGTGAGCTCCACCACCGAGCCCATACCCTTCAGCCTGCCAATCTCTGAACTTTTGGGAAACATTGTGAAAAAGAGGAAGCACGAATAGAGAAATCAACTTTATTTTACAACTACAATGACATACTTTTCCGGATTTCAGGGATTTCATTACAAATAAGGTCTGTCTAGTGGGGTGTTTTTCTTTGCCCTCTTGTCTCTGGGTCTGGGGTACCAGGGATGTTTTGTGGTGTGCGTAATCTTCATGAGTTCAGCTCTAGCCACCTCCGGATGTTTAGTCTTGAAGGCTTGCATTGCGGTGTTCAGAGCGTTTTCCTTCAGTAAAGATGAATTGTCCCTCTCCACTGGGGGCGGGATGGGCTTGCTGAACTCATAGGGGAAAGCAGGTTTCGGGTGCCAAGCCACCAGAGTTGATCCGTCATCAGTTACTGCAACAGACTCCACGAGATTTTGCGCCCCAACTGGATGTTTAGTGGCGTAATTTCGCAAAAAAATACGGCACGCGCGGAAAGTAGACATTTCCGCAGCTGCAATTCTAACCTCAACTGAAATGTCAGTTGAATTGTTTTGATGAGCGCGTGCCGCTGAGTTTTCCTCTGGACAAAATGATTCCCTTCTTCCCTCGACTGACTCCTCCAATAACACACAGTATTTGGTTTGATGTGGACGCCCCACGAGACGAGGATGCAGAGATCACAGCCCTGGAAGAGATTCAAAATGACCAGGTAAGAATAGAAAGAAGTTATTGGTTTAGTTCTTGTTTACATTTTGTTGATATTTCTTCCAGAATTACGCACTAACACAAGTCGCCAGCGATATTTCTCCGCTCGGAAAGGCTCCTCATGATCACACAGAGTGTCCAGACTCCGATGATGATGGTAAGACTTGCCTTCATATGATTATTTTAGTGGCGCCCCGGATTAATGGGAAAAATTTCTTACAGCCAACGAGGACAGCGACGATGAGGAGAGCCACGACGAGGAAGAGGAGGATGAGATAGATGCAATTGATACACAGACAACTGTTGAACCGGATGGAACCATAGAATACCCATCTCCGGACAACCCTCGGAACATAAGTGGGGACGCCGTTGGCGAAACGTCTCAATCTTCAGTGATGAACATTGCCATGTAAAATATTTATAGGAATAATAACTTCATCTTTAAGTAATCTCATTATACGAGAAAAATCAGTTTTCCTTGCTTCTAATTAAAAATGTCACTTTTATTCGATAATGTAATTATTTCAAGATAATTCACACATTTCTGTTATGTACATAATTTGGACTTAAACTTATTTATTCTCTCTAAAATTACCTAAACTTTACATTTTTCTCGAAAACTGAAAAGAAAATTTGGAAACAAAATGAGAACTAATGCGTATTTACGGAAAATAAAATTGAATAATATCTATCACTAAAAACATTTCGTAACATCTTTTATAAATTATAATAGTGAGAAAATTAGTAGAATATTCCTAATCAGTTCTCATTATTGTGATAAAAAGTAATGCCTAAAAATGTGAAGATAGAAGTTGCAACAATATTTTTTCATCTGATATCTTCATTTCTCACAGATTTACCAAAAGAAAAACATTCATGTTTTGGAAATTTATGCATCTTTTGCCTGCTATTTATCAGCGGAGTAACAATTATCATTGTCTTACATCATTTGCGCTTGAGCAGCAGCAGCTGCAGCCGCGGCCGCCTCAGCTCTCCTCTTCCTGTGGTCATAATTAACGAGTCTCTGGCCCACAAGGTATTTATCATTTTTGATGGCCACGTACAGCTTTTTGAATTGTCGTATCTGAAACACTATTATTCCAATGACAACGGCCACAATAAGGAAAAATGGGTAGATTCGTCGCGCAAGAAGAGTCCTCGTGTGCTGATTAGTAAAGAACATTGGCAAGATTGAGTGAGCCAGAACGTAGGGCACTGCCAGAGCCAATCCGAAGCACATTATCACCGGTGCTGCCAGATCCTTGATGATGAATTTCAGATCGATATCACGCAATCCGTCGCGATAGGCACGCTCGATGGCTCTTTTGAGGGCCCAATCGGGTCCCATGAGTGTCAGAGCGCATGTGATCTTGGTATACAGTACGCCCAGTGCCCAATCCTGTCCCAGGAAGAGGATTGGTGTCTGCTCCAGAGGCACTCTCAGTGGCACAACCACCACGAGTTCCAGTAGTAGTCCGTAAAGAAGTGGAACAACGCCAAACATCAGCACGAATATTACTGCCGCCATAGCGTAAGAAGCTCCAATGCTCATCCAGTGCTTGATCTTCTGCATCACCGCCTGGCGACCCTGCGGGAATAGATTCACAGCGATGGCAATTCCCCGTGAAATGATCCAGCACAGATACGTCCCCATGGCGGCTGTGTAGAGCTCATGAGGACGAGGAGGGACCTCCTCAGCCACAGGAGTCTGCGATATGTGACCCCCAACTGACCACAGAGCCATGCACTGTCGACCAATCCACACTGGTATCGTCAGAGTGAGCAGAGATCCTATTACGAGGCTCACGCACATGAAACAAATAAGTCCAACTAGTCTGAGGATGAAATATGAAGGACGATCGTAGGGCTGAAAGCCCACGGGCACGTCACGGTGCAGGAGTGCCTGGTGAGCAGCTCCCAAGCCCTGTCCAGCCTCCGGAGCATTCCGCTGACCGTCATCATTGCCGGCATTCTGTTGATGATCTTCATTACCTAGAAGGTAACTGCGAATGCCCAAAATCCAAGAGACGACACTACACCAGATTCTGATAAAGCCTTTCAGCCACACTCGCGTCTGGGATTGCTCGAAGAAGCCCGGGAGGATAATCTGCAAAAAATATCTTTTAATATCCCATTGAAATTTATGTACAGCTTGTATTTTTTTACCTGCAAGAGCAGCAGTTGAAGACTGAGTTCATTCACTTCAGAATCTCCAGAAAGTGTATAAGGGAGAAAAGTTGGCCAGACATTCTTCAGGATGTTAATTGGTAGCCAGAGCATAAGGAGAACAGCAGAACCAAAGATAATGGCAGATGCCACTAAGCGTCGTATGTGTCTCAGAATGGAGAAGTGGATCATTTCCTATAGTCAATTAGAAGAGGACATAAATATTTTATGGTACAGACTTCAAATAATGTTTTGATTTACCTGTATGGGACTGAAATCCGGGTCATTGAGGTTGCGAAGAAACCATAACACTCCTGGTCGAAGCACCTCCCTCAGAAGAATGATGAAAGATGCAAAATAGTACACGTAGACCATTCCAAACATCCAGTGAATGAAGAGGGATGTTCCCGGGGCTGCTTTGAAGCTCGCTTTGCGATCCTTCAGAGAAGCATCGAACATGGGCAGGGAACAAATGTCCAACCACCATCCACAGGCCAGAGGAAGTACGCCAATCTCCACCACAGACAGGAGGGATACCTTCACCACAATATAGCACAGACCCAGGATTCTACGGCTCTTCCTCATCTTGAAGAATTTCGCCAAGGCGTGTAATTTAACCAAAGTTATCCCGATAATGCAGTAGCCCAGCAGAGTAGTGAGCAATCCGTGAAAGTGCATCTGGGGCTTTCCGGGCTTCAAGATGCCCAGCAGGAATATTGCCGAATTGCCAATACTGTAGGGACAGAAGGCAAAAATAAAGATGAAGAGCGTGTTAAGGGAGATTACCCAGAAAACATGCTCCAGAAACACCATTGATCCATCGAGGCCAAGAAGACGCTCCCAAGTCAGTTCCTCAGCAGCCCTATCCCATTCCATTGGATTCCAATTGGCTTCGTCTCCGACTGCTTCTTGCTCAATTTCTGGCTCCTCCTGATCCACCACTGGAGGCTCTGCGCGATCCATTGGTCGATCCACGGGAGCAACCTGAGGAAACCTGGCTCTGGGCGGATTATCTTCCTGCATCACATTTGGCGGCACAAGATTGTTGTTATTGTTGTTGTTGATGTTGTTATTAGCCTCCACCAGATTTTCTTCTTGCTCCATTGGCGGCGCCGGAGGAGGATTCGGTGGCTCCTGCACTGGAGCATCATCCCTTTCCAGCCAATCAGGGCCACCACCGTGGAGGATTTGCTCTCGCAACCACACCAGCCCGATGAAGGAGAAGAGGGTGCACGTGACCACGAAACAGCCCCTGAAAACGTCCGCTGCGATGTTCTCAGTAGAGAACATATTGATGGGCAGCGACAAAAGCATATCATATGAAGCGGAGAAGAGGAATCTGTAGGTGCGGTAGGCGGTGAAGGGCACCACTCCCAGCCAGGCAAGGGCCACCAGAGTGTAGTGGAGCCAATACTTGACCGCCGTGGCGATGGAACTAAGAAGCCCACCAGCCACATCTCTCAGCGGCAGCACCCTTGGCATGTCAGGTGAGTAGATGGGAGTGAAGGAGAACCTGTGGCCGCATAGCTCGCAATACTCCTTCCGTGAGTACCGCATCCACTGCATTAGGCAGTCCTGGTGGATCCATTTGATGCTCCCAGTGCAGATGCATGGGTGGAAAAGGTCGGACTGGCCTTCACAACGGCAAACACGACAAATGTAGTCCGTCTGCGACAAATCATCCATCTTTTTGTTTTACACAAGTAACTCCCCACTCGTGTGCGGATCTTCTGCCCAGACACTCCTGCTGGTTTGCTAGAGATCACCAGGACGTGGGGAGTAACAGGAAACCACTTAATTCACTAATATTGCTGGCAAATTATTTTTTTCGCAAAGAATTACGCAAAATATTACTGTCACTCCTTCACTAATCAACTATCTTTTCACACAGGTGTCTCTGGAATCGCTGTGCAGGTTTTTCCGTACTTCTTGAAGTTCTTAAAAATATCTTGTGTGCACTGAGGATAATTTATTGCAAGGTATACGTAATTTTTCTAAAAGATTTTTCACATTTTTTAGAGTAATAAATCTTCTAATTTCATTGAAGAGTATGTTTTTTGCTCAATTATGGGAACAGTGTAGCTTACACATGTTATGCAGCAGGTGGCGCATTGGTGTGGATTTCCAGAGCTGTCAGTTTTGTTTACAAAAACACAGCCACAAACGAGGCGAGAAAGTGTTTTTCCCGCAAGAATGGGCGAGAACGAGTCATTCTGCATCCCTTGTGTAGATTCTGATGATTGGGAGCCAACGCCTGAAGAGTTGGAGGCTGCATATGTGCAGTTAGAGAAAGGGGCTGTTTTGGAGCTAGAATGGAAATGTCCCGGTCGCCGAAAGCTGCCTTCACCAACTCTTGCCGAAGAAGCTCCTCATTTGGCAGATCAATCGGATAAGGAATTGTAAGGTGTTTCATTTACTGATCCAGATTCTTCACTGAAGAAGGAATTTATTTAACAGAAGTGGAAACACACCGATAAACAAAGAATTTGACTTCATGGACGAGACTCCGCTGACAGCAACACAAATGCGCGTTAGGACGCCCAATGCGACGCCGAAAAAGAAGAAAACTACAAATTTTGCTGGCGTTCTGGACACAATGAAGAAGCATGGAAGATTCCTGCCGACGACGAGTGGCAATAAAGAGCCCACGTCAGAGAGCTAGAAATTGAGTCAGATACTTGAGTTTCACAACTTCCCCTATCGTCGAATTTCATCTAAGCCTGTGATAATTGTCCCGGGATGCCGCCCCAATATTTCTGGGCCACACTGAATTTTGCAATCGGTTTCGCAACGCACCTGTTTATGAGTCGAAACAATAACTTCGAGCACGTTTGATAAGATTAGGCAGTCTACCAGTGTGTCAGCACTCAGTCACAGTCACTCTCAAGTCGACACCCGAGTGAGGTGTTGAAGATCCTAAGTGATCCCGCTGTCCATCATTCTTCTGAACTTTCTAAGTCAGCCGCACAAATAAAAACCTGTGATTAGAACAAAGGAAGCTGGGTGAGTTTAGTAAACAAGTGAAAGTACAAAATTTATGTATATAAAAACTATAGAATATATCATTCTATATTCCTCATAAGGTACTAGGATTAGGTAAATCCTGAAAGTAAACATCTCATTATTAGAAAGGGATTGTTAAGAAATTACTCAAAGTCGACAACGGTCTCAACTACTACAAAAACTGTTCATTTGTTTATCTTGAAATTCTCTATTTTATAGAAAATACGTGTATAAAATCATGAGTGTGAGGATAAATTTGCTCATAATCTCCGCGATGGCTGAATGTAAACATTTTGGGCGGGTGGAGATTTTAATGTTGTGGCTTTGTACGAGGCGTCCGAACCTCCTAGCTAACGTCTGTACGTGAGCCAACAACCGTCTGAGGAATTTTTTTTCTCCGACGAGTGTGCGTCTCGACGCACTAGAAACTGTGAACTGGCAATCAGTGTTGATTTCTGTGGCTTGGTGTGATGTGTTGATTCTCCTGACTTTTCCGCGCGAATTTCAGTGGGTAGAATAAATCCAGGGAAGAATATACAGACAGATTATCAAGAGAGTGGTTATTGAAATGTGGGTGATTTATCTTATTGTCGTCTAATTAATTTCCGTCTGCCACCATTTCAGACTGTTTTTGTGAGAGAGAGAAAAAAACACTCGTTTTGAGAGGAAAATGACGACTCACGCAACAAACTCGGCTGCGGAAGCTGTTCCCATGAGTAGCTTACCATCAACTTCAGCTGCAGCCGCTCAAGATCCGAAGACTCGTGCACTCGGCGTGAGAACATGTAAGTTCACTATATTATCAATTTTTGTCATTGGCATTATATTTTATTCCTTTTCGAACGTAATACTAATCAAAATGATAATCATGGATGAATTTATGATGGAGCGCCGATATGACTCTGTGGGTGTGATAAACGGGAACGACTTTCAAAAATATCTTGTGTTTGCACAAGGTTATCAATGTTTCCACTCTAGGTATCACCTAAAGATAGAAATGCGCAGGAGGGAGCTAATAGAAATTATGTGTCATCATTCGATGATGAGGAACACTTGAGAATTATATAAGGAAAAAAATTGAAATTAATTGCTAACAGTTTTAAGTGTGATAACAAAAGGCTTCGGGTACACATGAGAAAGCCACTCCTCAATGTGCAGCGTAATTAAAAGCAAATTTGTCCAGTTTTACGTTGAGGGGGAAAATTTGAATGAAAATGAACATAATTGGCGGAAATAGTGAAGCACATAAGTTCACCAAATGTGTCAAGGAGTGAAGAAAAGGAGGGATATAAATTGCTATATGCTGACCCACATTCGTCATCTGGGGATCACGCGTGATTATTCCAAATCGATCACTAATTCTCTCAGACACAACACTGAGATTTTCCGCGAAATCCAATGTTTGCGAGCCTCTTGAGAGTGACTTGTTGCTAGAGATTCTGTGCTTGAGATGCAATGAACTTCTTTTTAATACACAATGACTTCACAGGCTTGTCGAGAATGTATTTTGGGATATTGCAAGAGGTTTTTATTCTCACTTTTTGACAAATTTGTCTTTAAGAAGCGATAATTCTGCTTTGTTCATCCGAAATTCAAAAGAAGTTTTTCTTTGCTGATCTCGTAAAAGGCGCTTTTGTTTATAAATCGGGAATTTTGTGTAATAAATTATGCTAGTATATAACACAATTTCCCACAAAACATAACAAGAGTCTATAAATTTTCAATTTTTTTACGCATTACAACTTGGAGAACAGCCTTTAGTTATGAAAATTTTCGTTTATAAGTAATTTTATGCCAATCAAGGGGTAACCTTTGTGTAAATATAATTCGATAAATTTATGTTCGTATAGTAAAAGAGGTTTTCCTCACATTTTGCTGAATATAATCTGGTTTCTTGGTTGAATTTTTCCATGTGTGATAAATGTGGAAAATGTGAAAATTCATTGAGTGAATGAGATGAAAAAACGCCCAATTCTTTCAGCATTTAACTAGTTATTTACTGTTTCGACGCAAGAATTTACTACAGCTGTGAAAATTTATTAGATGTTTAGAGAATGGATTTTCTTCTTGTGGCTTTCGATGATGAGATTGTGAATGTATTTTCGTGGATGTTGGCGATTAAGTTGATTGCAAGTCATAAATGAGGAAAGCTGGGGAGAGTGAGAGATAAAAAAACACAAGGAAATTTTCAATGTGTAGCATTTTAATGAACTATTAAGTGTTTATGCGATATGCTAATGTTCTGACACATACACACATCATCCCTCCTATTTAGATGAGCTCTTCTCAATGAAGCGCCTCTTGAGAACCATTGAATTGAACGCGAAAGGCTGATCGCTGAAACGATGAAAAATGCAGTGAAATGTCTTTGGATAAAGTGTGTTGACGACATTTTATAAACAAGCTGAGTAGGAGATATGCTAAAATTAGGAGGAAGGAAGAGTATATTTACAAAACAATGGAATCCCACAAGCGGGATTTTCTTGGCCAAGCAAACTCGTGATGACGAAAAGGTTTCTTCTCCTTCTCTAAGCTTGTGCTGAGGGTTCGCACTTGAGTGTTGGATTAGAATATTTCCCAGTTTTCCCTCTTCGTATTCAGAGGAGCAGGGAGAGAGAGAGAGAGAACGAGCTCTCTTCTGCTGTGGGTCAGTGATTGTCTGTGGTTCATCCGCTGTAGTGTGTATTCCAAATTGTGGTAAACATCAAACGGATAAATTTATGAGTAGGTTGAATGCGCTGTGCTGAAAATGCGAGAAGAATCTGCACTGTAAATCTCATTCCTCAGCATCCTCTCATCTGGCTGAAGACACTCGCAGTCAGTTGATGTCTCGTGGTGTGTGAAGTGTGTGGTCAAACGCTGATGAGTTCCCTCCTGTGAAGCTGGCGGACTCAAAGAGGCGCCACTTGATGGAACTTGGTTGCAAGAGGACAGATTCAGGCGGTGTTGAATGCTATGTGGACTTGAGTAATTTGTCCCACTTTCAGTGTCATTCATATATAGGTAATCTAATAATTTGGTGTCTATTTTATCTTATTCTGCAGCAGAAGGTGACAATGCGACGTGCGTGGAAGTTCTGGCGACGGTTCTCTCAATTTGCCTGATGGTCATCACGCTGCCCTTCTCCCTGTTCTTCGTGTTCAAAGTTGTGGCTGAGGTGAGTGATGAAGAATCCCAATATTGAGTAGGGGGAGTGTAATTTGTAATTTTCTCTCAACACAATCACTTTATTATTCCGTCGAAGTTTGTTTATTCACAAATATACGAGAATAGAAATCAAATCGAGAGGCGCAACATTTGGAATTCATGACTTGAGTTATGATTCTCTTGCAGTAGTAAAATTAGAATATTTTCCGAAGAAAATGGCAAAGACATATGCTGTGTAATTTATTAATTAAGTAATATTCTGGGAAATTGAGGAAATTTCTCAATTTTCTCGCCCTATGCGTTTGTCTCTCGGTTTGACTTCTTGGAATATAATCCCACTTTATCTCTTTAGTGTATGTTTGTCTTGAGTAATAGGAAGATGAATGGAGTTTACTTGTTTGTTTACTATTGCTTATTTTACACGCCAGTCGGGGAGACGCAAAGAAAGTAGCACAAAGTCTGTGAGACGGTTTTATCGGTTGATTTTTTTTTTATATTATCAGTTTCAGTCGCGTGATTGAGCTGAGGAGATTATAGGCATTTTTGACCGATAAATCATTGCTTTTCAGTACGAGCGGGCTGTGATCTTCAGAATGGGTCGCCTGCGATCGGGAGGAGCTCGAGGTCCGGGTGTTTTCTTCGTGCTGCCCTGCATCGATGAGTACTGCAAGGTGGACCTGAGGACAGTGTCCTTCGATGTACCTCCGCAGGAAGTGCTGACTAAGGACTCCGTCACCGTATCCGTGGACGCTGTTGTCTATTATCGCATCAGTGATCCACTGAAGGCAGTCATTCAGGTGGCCAACTACAGTCATTCAACCCGTCTCCTGGCCGCCACGACGCTCCGCAATGTGCTGGGCACGCGAAATTTGTCTGAGCTTCTGACGGAGCGCGAGGCAATTTCGCACACGATGCAAGTCTCTCTGGATGAGGCCACGGATCCCTGGGGTGTGAAGGTGGAGCGTGTGGAGATCAAGGATGTGTCTCTGCCCATGCAGCTACAGCGCGCCATGGCGGCGGAAGCAGAAGCGTCACGGGAGGCACGCGCCAAGGTGATTGCCGCTGAGGGTGAAATGAAGGCATCGCGTGCACTCAAGGAGGCCTCAGACATCATGTCCGAGAGTCCAGCTGCTCTGCAATTGCGCTACCTGCAAACTCTCAACACTATCAGCTCGGAGAAAAACTCCACGATCGTCTTCCCTCTGCCACTAGAGGTGCTCAACTTTTTCCAAGCCAAAACCAATCAGATCATGGAGTCGCGATAGTAAGGTGCTCAGGCAATAGGAAAACAACATGATTCCGCAGTGGCAAGTGTATATTTTTCTTTGATAAAACCGATAAAACATCAAGTGCAAAAGATCATTTCCAGCCGAAAATGCATTTTTGGTACTTAACTATTTGGTGGATGACGCATTTTCTCAAATTCTGAGAAGGTACAATGATATTTAACGATAAATAAACATAAAAAAAATCAATGGGAAGTTGTGGTATACTCAAAAGAGAAACTGTACGATGTTGATGTGAAAATCGCAAAAAATAAAGGAAATCAACCCGTCAAACACTAAAGTGAATCGTTTACACTTAAACAAAAATTAAATGCAATCTGTTAAATCTAGTAGCTTATCATTTGGTAAATTCCAACTCATATCCTTCGACGTTCTTCTTGAAAACGCTTTTCAACACTTGTCTCGTGGAGCGCCTCAATGTGTTCCGCTTGAAGGCATTTTCTGGCTCCTGAAGCTGTCTGAACACCTGTCGGCTATTGCTTTCGATCATTGTTGCATTTAGCACTTCCGTAGGGACATTTTTCTGCTCCTGCGTCCCTTTCTTCTTCAGCCTCAAGCTTTGTCTGATGGAAGCCATTAGTTTGTTCCCAGTAATTGCTTTATCAGTGCTGTCTTGACTGGGATTTTCCTGATTCTCATCTTCGGGCTTCCTTGGTTTCTTTCCTATTCCAGCCAATTTACGAATGCTACGCCTGATTGAGCTCTTGGTTTCACCCTTGGAAACCACCGCAATTTGACCAGGACGTCGATAAGCACGCTGAAAGGGTTGAGGATTCCTGAAGGCGAAATCTTCATCATTTGCTGGGATATCATCATTATTCTCATCTCCGTCGTAAATAACATCAGGTTCAGGCTGTAAATGCTGAATTTTGACTGCCTCCTTCTTCATAACACCCTTCCGGAGATCGGAAAAGTATTTTTTGTTGACAGATTTTGCCTCATTTATGCTGTTCTCCAACTCCAACTGGTAGCAATCCAGCTCTTCGTCGATATTCAAAACCTCCTCGCTGATTGTGGAGAGGTTCTTCCGTGTGGAACGCCTGGGAGTGGTTGTAATTTCTGGGGTGAAGCGAAGACTCTTGGACAACATCTCCGAGGGCGTCATAGAGTTTGGTGGGGTCTTTACCTCGCTAAAGGCAATCCGACGATTCACATTGGGTGTAAAAGGAACAGCTATGGCCAGAGGACGTTGTACTTCCAATGCTGGGTTCTCAATTCCTTCCTGATCCCTCCCAATCGCCTTGCCTTCACAGCGTACAATTTCGAAAGGATTCTTTGCACCGACACTCTCCGGGGCCTTCAAATTCAAACCCAGGTTGACGTAGGAGACAGCCTGGACAGGTGTATCGCACTCTGAACGCTTCACCTCGAAAGGATTGAACTGCCTTTCGGGAGTATTGAGATTGAGGGCTTCGTTGACAAACCCAGTGAGGGACTCTTCCTTTTTCTTCTTCTTCGGCGGTTTCCTCACCACTTCGTACGGATTCTCTACCACTCTCGCCGTGAGTATGTCCGAGATAAACTTGGTCTCCATTCCGGGAAAGATTTGTTGATGATAGGACAGCTTGTCGGAAGGAACAAAGTTTTCAGATTCGCGGCGACGTTTGTTTGGGCTGAGAATGCACGTCATTGTTATTGTTTTCTTCCACAAATTCTCTGGAATCTGAGTGTTTTTTTCCAGACTTTCAAAAATGTAGTTTCCACGAACACAAAATGCCACTTCTCAACAGAAAAAATCCACGTTTTACTGTGAAAAACGAATGAAAATTGGGGAAATACAAGAGCTACGCTGGAGCGACAGTTATGATTTTTAACACCTGCCGTTTCACCCTTTCAGCGATAGGCGCGCCACCTGGAAACATAGAAAAAAATTATGACTTTAAAAATAAGAATTCAACGATAATCTGCTAAATTAAGATTGAGAATAATAATAATGAAACTCAAAGTTACTATATCATACTTTAAATTGAATATATTTTCCTCTGTTCAAAATGTACTCCTTACACATTTGCCTTCCATAAAATGTCTTTCGCAAATTTGAGATGTTTCATGTGCTTTTATGTCGTTTTTTCACCATATCTTTTTTGTTACATGTTCTCACAGCCCTTCCGAACAAAAAACTCATCCAAATTCTGTTTTTCTGTTGCCCAGGCTTAAACTTATTGTTCGTATATTAAACACACTTCAAATTTCATTCATCGTTTAATCTTTAATCCAAATTTATCTTTGCTCTTTTGCATTCACGTAAATGATAAAGAGAATACGGAAACAGAGTCATAATAGGCAAAATAACAAAATGGATAATAAACTTAATAGAAAATATCGCGTTTTTTTTACACCTAAATATACTTTCTCTCTCATCTGTTATTTGTTTCTTTTCACTATTAAAGTCTTCAACCAGTCTTTTCCAAATATTTCATTGCGCCTAAAATTTGCATTTTCATTTTGTTACCTACTAAATTATCGAAAGTAGATCACGATTTGTTACAAAAGGGTTTTAAAACAAGGTAGGAAATTATTCTTTTCTTTTTTTTCTTTACATTTAAGTAAAAATGTCCTAATCTCTATGGCGCAATTCGTAATTTCCAGTACATTTCCACATCTCTTGAATGTCCATTCAGGAACCGTCGGTAAACTAAGTCGTCTCTTTCGCTGTCACGCTAAAATTTGTGTAATTTTGAATGATTCTTCTCCATCCTTTTGCAATTTCTCATTGAATATTATGTTCTAGGGATAAATTTTGGTATTACTCTTATTACATCCATGATAGAATAGGTCACTCGTCTATGTCGCATCTTTGAGGAAAATAGTAACAATCGTTAGAACAAATTCATAATTACTTTTTATAAATATAGTTTTCTCTTCCTTGAAAATCTATCAAACTAGCAATATATCTTTTCCTTCACAATAAAATCAATCTTATTACATTTTAATTAAATGTGAAAAACACCTTTTCAAATCTACACACTTTGTTTTCCTTAATCTCTAAAAATATATAGAGATATTCAAGAAGTTATTATACAACACACTGGATTTCTCATTGTAACTCCTAATCAGAATTTTGTCCTCTATATGTAGTAATTTCTTCATCACATACACACACGCACTCACACTTAATCTCTTCCGCACTCCAGAACTCCAAAGGATAATATTGAGAAATTACAAGAACTTCCTCACGTGAAATTATTAAATATATTTAAAAAAAAAATGACGAAATTTCAAAGGAAATCAAAGAATGGAGCAATTTGGGAGGTCAAGAAAGCGCTTCAATTGGTCGCCGTTGGCGCCTTCAGTGGCCGATCTCGTTCACAGCTGGCCGATCCATTTGCCGCGTGTTTGCAGTCTTCAAGGGATGCTGGCGCTGGAGGAGCACAACTCCCGCTCACAGCACTGATAACGGGGCTCACTACTGTCGCTTCGCTATTCACACTAAATTTGCTACTGTTCACGTTGATGGTCGATTCACCGCCGTTCTTCACTTTGGAGCACCCACTCATCAGTGGCTGGTAATTATGATTGACTATGGACAAATTGAACACTCCGCCTTGTTGCTGAGCGCCACTTGAGCTCATCTGAACACGATTCAGCTGTTGCTGATGGTGCTGCAGCTTCAAAAGAAGGACAATAGATAAAAAAAAACATGCACAATGCTAATGAAGATGTGGTTTTACCTGTATTTTCGTGGTCACTGCCTGATAGCACGGGCCACAGAGTCGAACAGGTGAATACAGTCGTTCATCGGGCAGTGGTGCCCAAAATTCTGAGCATTCAGCACAGAAAATCTGCCCACACGACCTTTAAAGTAAACACATCGCAAAGCCATGAGACGAAATATCAGCAATGAAGTGTGGGAAAAATTGCAACTCACCGGCAATGGTGCTTCCGTCGTCCCAGCCAAAATCCGATATCACAACCTGTACATTTGGTTACAGCATGATCAGGCACCCAGAGCACACTGGACGCTGACTGACTTGGCATGCTGGCCGAGGAAGCGCCACTACGCTCCTCGACCGCCTCCCATGAACACACGGACGCATTCTCAACAGCATCCACAATTGAGTTCTGAAAGAGAACATCAAAAGCTTTCGTTGGTAATTCTTATTCAATGTGCCTCTGAAAGTAGAGTAAGGAAATGAAAGATAGAATAGACAGTGTGTTATTGCCAATTTTATTCTTTATAGAAGAATTTCTTTGTTAATATTTCATCTAATTTCTCCAGCATTCCCAATTATTATGACACCATTGCAAGAGGATATCTTACTGTTTTGAGGAAATTCGTTATTGATTAGGATGATTAGGAAACCGGTTACTTTAGAGAAGCACTCAATTATTCTCACAATTCCTCATTCAACATCATCAGAAGTCTAACTAGCAAAATGATACAAAATGATTAGCATGGTTAACATCAAACTATACATGCCGTCTCAGTTAATAATACATACATCTCTAGCAAGGCATTTGCATGAACTTAATTACTGTTGTGTTTGGAGTTTTCAAACAATTCAGCACTAATTCTCCTTGCTTCTTCTCAATTATATTTTTGCCTCATGCTATGATTATCCCAACAAAGAATTCACATCACTTTTGGCGCCAGATTTATTCTCGCTATCTCGCAGTGATTCATCGTTAGATAGTCACGGAATTAACCAAATAAATTATGCACAATCTCTAGCAAAATGAAAGGAATGGCGTTTTCACATTGATCACAGACACAATCTTTCTTTCTTTCTCAGTTTGCCGAAAGAGAGAAACACATTTGACGATGTATTGTTAAGTATAAATTTGTCTGGTTAGGCAAAAAAAGAGAAAACATCAGAGAAAATCAAAACTAACCACGGAATCACAATTAGAAATTATTCCCTCAGAACTATAAGGACTCACTGAACACCTTCTGAAAAGCTCTTCCGGACTGCTGTTGAAAAGCGTTACTACATTTATATCTTCATTCATCACAAGATCCTTCAAAGTATTCTAAAATTCGTGGGCGGTTTTAATTTTTGTGCAGGTTTTTTTGTACAAAAAAACAATGGGCAAAACACATAGAAAAATGAAAGAAAGAGAGATATTAACAAGAGAAATTGCTGCATATCATCAATTGTTGTTGTTCTTTTTTTTCTTTTAGTCAAACTATTCTTTTCTCATCTAGATAACTTAACCAATACAATGCGTTGTTTTAGAATTTCAACAAAATCAATTCCTGACTGACGTTAGTAAACTGAAGTGCCATATTTACCTGTTCTTCTGACACAAATTGGGTGTTATTGCAGTGTTGACATGTTTGCTTCAGAAGAGCCAATCGCGTGATGTAGAGTTCTTTCTGCAGAGCTTCCTCGCGCAACTGAAATGACACATTGTATGTGATTCTTTTTCATATCAAATTTTAAGATTCATGTAACAACTCACCTTATGTTCATACACAATTTGCTGAAGACGCAGGTTTTGCTCGCTGAGGGCATGTGCCAGGCCATCAGGACACGAGATCGCCACATTCGGTCGTTCAATTACTCCTGACGGTGTCATTGGTAGTGACCGAGCTCCAGGCGTTGAGAATCTTGATGTTGTGGCACTTGGGGACATACTGCCACAAAGTAGAACACACACAAAACAACCATTACAAATCACTCCAGAACATTCCACTAGCTTACTTACTTTCCATTTGTATACTTGGGACTGATATCACTCTTTGAGTTAGATGAGTTTCTCCTTCGTCGACTGGTTGCTGCTGTATAAACGTTGCCATAACTATTCGAATCTCCGCGTATATTGGTCAAGTCTAATCTTTGATACTCCGGAGGAATATGGATACTCTCATCAATGTCAATCATTGGATATTGCTGCTGCAGAGCCGCCAATCTCTGTCTATTGTGTACTTCAGGCAAATTCTTCACCACCCTTCCTATTATCTGAGGCATCATCGTGATTTCATTAGTACACCCAGAGCCTCGCATCATTGAACCATTTGTATTCTCCATCTCGTCCGAATTTCCGTGACTCACGGCTCCATTTATGATGAATTGTCGATGAGGCAGCGGTTGCTGTTCAACAACTGGAACAAGAGTGTCTGTACTGGTCTCCACGGAGCCATGCCAAGGATTTTGATTATCCACCTGAACCGATGAGCAATTCTCAATTGAAGTGTCTGTAAATAGAGTAATTAGCGTGAAATATTAATTATCTACTCTACCATTTCATTTCTCCCCATTAGGGTGATTTATGATGGAGAACACATTCATCCAAATTACCTCTCAAATCGACGCTTTGAAGCATCATTGAATTGAAATCATTTGCTAAACTCCCGTCCACATTGTCTTGTGTTGTCTCCTCTAAAGGCGACGCCTCGTGGGCCATATCGCAGAAATTGTTACTTTCATATCCATTCTTGTCTCTCTCCACCACATCGTCAATGGGCTCACTCTCGGGATTCACTTGAATCAGCAGCTGATTCACTTCATCCACATTCTCAACAGATTTCTCCAGAAAATCCCTCTGTTGTCTCTTTTGCTCCAGCTCCTCATCCGATAAGTTCAACTCCTGTGTCATTGACTCCAATTTCTGTGTGGTATCATGTATAATTGATGAAAGATGTTGAGTAATAAGTGTCGGTGATATACTGCGCTCTGACGTAGAGTCAATGGAATTTTCTGCTGAGAAATCTATTGAATTTATCATGCTGCAAAAGAGATCAACATTAGCTCAAATCAAATATTTATCACGGCACATGATCAAATAATACACTCACTGTGATTCAACAGGCATATTTGGATCACTGGATCGTCTTGTCATGCCACCTTGAGTGCCACCAGCCTCTATCAAGTCCCCGTACGATCTTGTCTTTGTCATTGGACTCATGGATTCGTCATTCTTCGAATCCGCCTCCTCTTCACTTCCGCATGGCGGCAGATCGGCGCAGTTTTGATTACCCAAACTGCCCAAGTACACCTCACTCCACACGGCCAAATCCCTCACGTTGTGGGCTGGCCAGAGGACCTTGTCCCTATTTGGTATGTAGAGGGGATTCTTGTAGATGGGCCCCGATAGGAAGGGCCACACAGAAAATGTGTGCTCAAATACCGAAGTATCCAAACGCTCCTTCACTGTATTACAGAGAAATGTACCGAAGAGGCACGAGTGAGAATGTTGTGCCAATTTTATCTGCAATGATAATAAATACCGTGTTTTTTCATCTTCCACTTCACACCATCCTAAAATGTGTTGTGAATAACAATATTTTCCTCTGTGTTTCATTCTCAGCAAACAACTTTTACATTATTGACTTTCAAATGACGACGAAATAGACAGAAAATCAATTGCTTTCATTATTCAAGTTCAATAGCATTGAAACAGTCAAACAACTGACTTCGTCAATTGCTTTCACAGCAAATTCTCAAGCGCAGAAAGTATTTCAGAAGGTAGAGGCGAAAGGAAGTTAGAATTCTTGCATCATACTCACTAAATATCCCATACTGAATTCGAAACTACACGGAAACTGACGATGAATCTGATGAATACAGTCTAGCCATTGCAGAAAGACGGGACAGCGCTCATTTAAATCCTCAGAATTGGGACCATGGCCACATCGATCTGCAAACTTGTGTCCAAAGCTCAACCACTCGCGCTCCACGAGAGTGCGGAATCCCTGAAATATAGAGAACAGAGTGAATATGATTGTTTCAAAACATTTACAATTAATCGCAGGATTTATCACCTAACCAGAAGGGTTTGAAATAACTGAAGAGAATTAGCTAATAACTTGAAGAAGGTCGATTCCCAATGATGTCATTATATTGGTTATTTAAATGTTTATTGTTCATCAAAGTAATAATTACTAAGTGTTTGAAAATGAAGAGACCTCACGATTGACCTGACTATGATTAAAATCCACCCATAATTGCGCTTATTAAAGTTCATGAAAACAAACACTTATTTCACCTTCAATATTGATAATATCCCACTTTGTTAATCATCTCTTAAAGGAAATAGGGGTATGTTGGGCACTCACATCAACTGTCCGGTAGTAAGGATCGAGGCAAAGTTGGGCTGTAGCAACAATCTGAGGTGTTCGATCCCATCCATCTGAGCAGTGAACTAAAACAGGTCGCCCATTTACTTCAATCGTACGGCATACAGTCATAGATGCTGCCAGAAGTCCTGACATGTGCTGCAGCCAAGCCGTCCTCTCTAGATTTCCTAACCAATTGTTCATATCCGGTGGCGATGCGCACAATTGTCGCAGGGCATGAAAACTCTTGCGAATGGCATGAATATTACCCAAATTCATAAACTGAATCTCCGCGGAGGGATAATATTCGATACACTCGCAGCCACCGCCACGAGCTCGATTAGTCACGGCCGACGTATAAGATCGAGCGTCGACAATGAGAATCTTCTTTGGTTCATCCATTCGCACCTCCTCGTGACTTCCTTCTGGGCTCGATGGAGCACTCTCGGACGACACGCTGCCGGGGGCCGTCGTTCCATTCTTCCTCTGCTGCTCTCCGCGATCGAACGCGCACGCATCAACAAAAGCCTTCAACAGCTGCTCATCCTTGGAGTTGCGCCAGCCCAGCCAGCCCACTTCTGGTTGACTGCATCTCGATATAATGGCCCCCGATGTCTTGTGTCGCCACACAGCCACAGGAATCCGTCTGGAGCTGCGGAAGTTTGCCACACTTTGGAGTGTCTCGTCAGAAATGCAAAATGGTACGAGAAAGTATCTTGGATACGACGGACACAATTTGAAGTCGGCATTTACGTTGCTTATTCGCCAAGCGCCTTGTAAATCAAACTGCAATCGATCAACCTAGAAAAAAGTGATTCCAGAAAAAAGAATGTGAAAAGCAGCAAAAGATAAAGCATAGTAAATAGAAACTTGAGCAGAGAGGGAGAGAATGTGACTTTTCTGTATTGGTGCAAAATCACTGAACTCTCGAGAGAGTTTCCCTCACTCTTGCCATTTCTCATTAACTCTTATCACACACTCTTGAGCCCCAGTTGAACCGCATAATGTCAAAGGTGAGTAAATATCAACAATATTGTGTGAAATTATGCACAGATACACTGAAGGAAAAATTGCACATACACATATTATAAAAAGGAGAGGAAACACACGAAATTCCCAGGCAAATTTAACAAATTACCTCTTTGCGGAAGTCATCGTCACAGTTTCCGGCCTTTTGGAGTCGACCAGTCCATTCATTATCTGCAGAACAAGGTGATTCTGACGCCCACGCATAGAACGGAAATGCAAATAGTGACTCAAGATTATCTGGGACGCCAACTGATAGAGAAATGCGTCGCTGCCACTCAGAGCACTGCTCGGCGGTATCGAAAGAGCATCTGTAATGTAAAAGGTGATTGTAAATCTTATGCAATACAAACATACATCTCAGTACTACAATGATACACGGGACTGAAGCGTTATCAGCTTTAGAATTTGTTTACGGGCTTCATTGTGTAATTCATGAAGCAGTTATTGCAAAATTAAGCATTTAAAGATACTTAAAATCAAAGTGAGTAAATAATAATATGTTTTCAGATCCATTTGCAAGGTCTGAGATTATGATAAAATCACAATGTTCTTTGGCATTCACAAGCAAGACTTGCCATTGCCAATCGAATGATTCAAGAATTGGGGTTTATTACAAACTGACTTCTGTTATTGATCAACTCCAACGAGTCTTTAATTAATTCTTAATTCAATGTGCAACTTATCGATACTCACTTTACTGTGCTGGCGTCTTTGCAATGTATCACCAAATGAAATAATTCCCTCGCTTGAGCCGATTCTATCAGTCCAAGTGGCACTGATGTCTCCTGAAAACTGCTACTCGATGATTTTAATAGGAAAATCCTATAGTTTGATAGCGCCAATACGCCATCCGAAGTACGTCCAATGTATTTCACTCCTTCACCAGCCACTGCATGGAAAGAAATCGGACATCACTTAGTAAGAAATCACGATTGATTGCAGCACTTCCTGTTACTCACATTCTGTGAAGGGAATCGCCAATTTCTCCTCCTCCTTCTCAAGTGTCGGCTTCGGATAAAGCTCTCCTACGCGCACCATCCACATTGAATGGGGTGGAGAACCGTCAGAGCCTTCCATGTTCACACTGTAAAAGAGAAATGAAGAAAATGAAGCGCTGTCTTGTGTTTGATGATCATGCCAAACATTTCTGGGTTTCTGGGATTTTGCAAAAGACCCGCCGAGCAAACGCCGCAGTCAATAAACTCAACAACTTTGAAGGACGAAATTTATGGTGTGAATCTCGTGGATAAAATTATTTCGTCCATCCACGAATCTTCTCGTGTTCAACTAGACGAAAAATGCATACAACGCTATATAAATAGCCCACTGGCCGGAAAGACTGTAGTGAATTTATATTCCACACTGTATATATATATATATATATATATATATATTCTCGTACTTTTCAAATAAAATTCAACGTACCAAAAAAAATACATTTGATTCAAAAGAGACGTTTCGGAAATTTCACGTGAAAATACACAAATCAGACCACTTGCAAGTCAACAACAACACACTTTCATATCTATTTGACGACGAGTATACATAGCATTTGAAAACCATCCGTCAGCTGATCGCATGTTTCTTTTGCAAAAATCAAACTGATAACTAGTAAACACTGGCTGATTATAGGGGCATATTGAATTGAATTGAAAATACATAGAAAACACTTTGACTATACAGAGTGTATGGGATTATAAACCGGTTTCCACTTTGATAATTGATAAAGTTTAAGCTCTGCCGCGTCAAATATCCACGAGTCAAAATTAGCCAATCGAGACATGAAGAAAAATCAGGTATTTGGGAATCGTATCAGTCGATCAGGCTCTTGACTTGTAACACCAATGTTTATATTCAATAGTGTCTGACCGCGAGAGAATTCCAATTTCTTTCAACGCAATTTTATATTCACACCACTGACAATTCGAGAAATGTTACCTGAATCGATAAATGGCGAGAGACGCCCAGATTGTGTACAACACGAAAGTGATACGATGAACAAACAAACCATTTGGGCAGCAGTGAAAAAAGGACAAGAAACCCTCGTCTTTGACACACCACAGAAAAATTGTTACTTGACACACAACCACTTTCTTTTCCCACCAAATTGATAACATTGGAGGCTTTATCAGTCGCCATGCCAAAAATACCGCCACAATATCTCACACAATCTCCCAGACCAATGGTACTTGCCGGAAAAAAATTTATGACCACATTTCGATAAGATTACACGCTAAGACATCATAATAAAATGCAATGAGTCTCAATCTTTCGCACGGCAAAGTAAATACGTGAGACATTTTTAAAGGTAATCACCTTCCAAAATAAATATTTTTGCATTTGTACATTGTATAAAATATTGTTATCTCGCTTGTGATAGCATCGCATGGAAAATTGTGGCACGTTTTGCACTAGACACTGTTGCACACAACTCAGTGTGTTTTTCATTAAAACTTTCAATTCTGCTGAAGAAGAATGCCACCATCGGCAAAATGACCTACATTCATCTCCTAGAATCATATACTTTTTAATTTCTCTCTTTCTCTAGCGCCCTCTCTCTCTCTCTCTCTTTCCACCCACATTATTTTACTACGGAGGAAATACTTTTGAATATGTCAAGTACATAAATTTTTCTCTTATAATGAAAAGATTTTACATTAATATCCTTATAAGGCAATAGCAATGAAAGTGGCTTATTTTTTATCGTACAACCTTTAAACCAGAAGAATCACACGATATACATAAAGTCGAAGTGAGGCCATATTATTTCCTAAACACTGAAACGGGGTGGAATGCGGTTTAACACAGTGTCCTAAAGTTAGGGCCAACGCTTTTTAATCTTAAAAAGCACAAATAGCTCATTTATATATAAAAGTATGCATCTTCAATTATTAACAAATTAGTGATAATTATGAAATAGAGAGGAAAATATTAGACTAATAGAGATGTAATTCATTAGCCAGATTGAGGTTCAACAAGATTGAGGAGGATTGTGGTCTCTGAAGCGCTAAGACATGAACGTGTTGTGGCATTTTAAAGTCGATTTGATATAAAAATCCAACCTATATGCCTCTCTATTGGTTTTGCCGTTACGAAAAAAATACATATCTTTTTGAGGCATTGAAGCCACAATTGCATCTTGTACAGTACATTGAATGAAAATAAATAAAGTATTATTAGAGAATAAAGAAGAAAAATTGTGGAGGGTGCGAGAGGAAGAAAACCGTGACATGGAGTTTCTGTGCTAACTAAATAACTAATAGACGAAATAAAAACGTTAAAAATGGTGAATGAAGCTTCAAGTTCACATATGGATTATTGGAAAAGTACCACATCAGGCATGTGGTGTGTGGTGTCCTGAAGCACAAGAGAAATAGGTCATCGCGTGCGTAGAAACGTTTGCGGACTAAATAGAGAAATAATTGCTACGGGAGAGAGAGATATTTTCGATTAATTCGCTGAGACACATTGCCTCGATTCGATGTGAATCAACAAGAGAGAAGAAAAAGCAACACATCAAGAACACCTCACACAATTTCATCTCCATATGAGACACTGACGGCTTAACATGGTGAAACCTTCGACTCACCTAAAAGGGTCAAGGTCAGGGGAGACGATGTTTTCCTCTATTTCCCCGCTTTTTTTTCTCTTCTTTCACTACCAGACACACCGTAATACCGCGTGTGCAAACACACGCCGCACACACGAATCACTGTGTTTCCTGAGGACGTCTCTCTGCTGGAGTGCTTGATGAAACCGGCGGAAAAATTGGACTCTTTCTCAAGACACTTTCTCACGATGTCCAATATGAAAACAACCTTCAGCACAGCGAGCTTGTTAGTGTTTGTTGGTGGTGGGACTATAGCGATGATAAATAACGAAAAATGCTCGAGTGTGGAGACGCCGATTTTGCCGACATTCATTATCTCATGTGGAGCGCAAAAAGCACTTTTGAAACTCGTTTCTCTCCACTGCATACGTGGTAGACTTTTACTATGCCGAAAAAAGCCACCACTCGAGAGATTTCACTGTGTATCGCACCTATGTTAATACAGCATCACGAAAAACTGTCTTTTTATCCATCTCCACCCAAAGTTTTAACACACAAGTCAACCTCCCTCTCCTCCTCAATACGACAATCTCCGCCGCCGTGAGTCTCTTGATGAAAATAGAGAGGAGGTGTACGCGGCAGAAAAAAAGAGAAAAGATGTTTTATACCGACCAACACAGATAAACAACCAACATTATTGTATGTATATAATGTTGTCTCTACAGGCGCTATTTATAGAACGTAAACAATAATACATTTGCGTGATTGCAATGTAATTATATTTTATTCCTCACTCGCCACCATTGCACTCCTTCTATCCTACACTCACGGAGTCACGAGGGGATCTCCGTGATGTATTCGGAAAAATTTCTAGTAGATATTCAGGACTATACTTTTTACCAAATCACTGATATTGCAATCAGCCTTGGAAATATCTAAATAAAGCCCATAAAGCCTCAAAACTCCAAATATAATCCTTTACCATTTTCTCATATCTCGCTCTTCACTAGATGCTCTGACCTCTGAAGGTCGAAATTTCTAGACAGGGACTTCCAGCAGATAAATCAAAGATGATTTTCAGGAAAGCCACAGATTAAACCAGGTCAACGACTTCAAAAACCACATTCGACTGAGGAAGATAAGGACAGAATAGCCTTGCATCGTTCTCTACAGAGAGCACAAGTGGGACAGTTTTTGTTCTGAGAGAGGACCTTCCAAGGTCACTGTTTCGCTATATGGCAGGCATGAGAATCACATGTGGCGCAAGTCATCTCTCCATCAGATCCACTTCCTCTGGCCAGACGCATCAAAGTGTGTGTGTGTGTGGTGTAAGTGCAGTTGATGAGTAGTGTTCTCTGAATTTTAGAAAACCAAAAACCACTCGAAATTGCGATTACAGTGAATTATACATGAGCTTTATAGGAGCCACTGTGAAAAATTGCTGACGAAGCAATTCACCATACAATTCCACTGGCCACCAATGTCTCGCCAGCGGAAGGGAAATTGAATTTCCCCGAAAAAATGCCTCAACATTGCAAATGGTTTCAGGCGATAATTTTCACTGTGGTGGGGGTGGTGCTCTACCCTTTTGCCAATACATCGTCAAGGTGGGTTGGGGGCGCGTGGCCACTCTTTAGGGGTCACAGTGACCTGGAAATTGGCAAGTGGTGCAGGTCAACAGTGCCTCCGCCCCTGCTCAGTTCCATATTCTTCGTCGTTTTTTCCCATTCACGTTGCGTAACTCCAAAAATGTCCATCTGTTTCAACAACCATCACCAGCCCGCGGGTCCTATTGCTTCCGGGAGTGACTGGCACATTTCTCGTGGCCCACCGCGTGACTCCTGAGCAAGCCAAGAGGGGCGAACAACAGTGAAAATACGATGTTGCCTTGGAATTGCATGGCCTCCTTGTTTGCTCGGGGCCCGAAGTGGGCAAGTTAGACCAGAGAGATTTTGCATTCCCTCGCCCCAGATCCTCACTCACCGATCGATATATCAACTGCAATCGCACTATTAGATCCTGTGGTACACAATGCACATCACTTTCAAGGTTTTACATCTGACACAAGTGGTAAAAAGTCCATTGAGAAAATTCACTTTTCTTCTGCACACAACGCGAACGTCACAAAAAATTCACGTCGAACAATGAACTGTCAGCTCCTTTGTGCTGTGTGCGCCGTGTTGCGGGATCTTGACGAATTGCCCGCAGAAAACATTGGGATTATCCAAGAAGGGAACGCGTTCAGCCGGGCTTTGAGATTTCGCTATCCAAATGTGAGGGCGCTGTGTGGCAAATGTTTACAATTTTCTGATGGTGCGCGATTTTGCAAGAAAAAGTGATTTCACACATAAATGGAGCTCTTTCAGACAACCAAGCACTATATTTTCGTGAGGAAGGACCGAAGTCTCTGGTGGAATCGCCAAACGGGCGAGTTCAAGGCGGAAAATGGTGAGTAGGGCAGTAGACAAAGGTGGCCTCCGCATGAATCACTGTTTTCCCCTCCCTAATCGATTTCCAAGCAAAATGTGGGCTTTTGCCCCCCAAAAAGCACCCACCTTTTTGTGGCTGTTCTGGAAATGACTATCGTCACGTTTTATAGGGTGTGACCTATCCGCCGTGGATGACATCGAGTGCCTGGGGCTGACACCAGGAATCGTGGGGGCGCTGCAATTGCCCGGTGTCCTCGAGCCTCACTTAATGATTATCAGGGAGGCCACCCCAGTGGGCGTTATTTATCCGCCCAATATTGTGTACAAGATTAAATCGGTGCTGCTGCTTAATGCTGAAGAACCGGAAGCCATCCTATCGCCCTGTTCGCGCCATAGCACTGTAAAGGAAGTGCCCCGGTCTAATGTTCTCCTGGAGAGCTCCCAGTTAATGAACAAGACATGGGGTGCCATGAAGAGTGCCAGCAGTACTATTAAGAGCTCGACTCAGCACGCCGCTCTTCTTGCCTCCACTCAAGTCAAGTCCTCAGTGGGCATAAAAGATACTGGCCGGATTGAAAGAAAGGTTACTGAAGAGCTCCACAGGATGTTTGACGATTCCGACAGCTTCTATTACTGTTCTGAAGGTTTATTTGCCTGCATGCTGCGTTCACTTCACATTTTAACTTTCCTTTCTCTCTCCAGCTGACATCACGCAGAGTCTCCAGCGTCGAGGGTGTGGGGAGGATGATGAGAGATTCTTCTGGAACAAACACATGCTCTCAGATATTCTGAAACTATCGGTAAGGAGACTGAATGTTTTATACTACATTCCTATACTAACTTGCTTTTGCTATAGGACAAATTCTGGGCCTTGCCGATAATCCAGGGATTTGTTCAAGTGGAGCATTGCGTCATGGAAAAGGAGTGCTTCACGCTCTCCCTCATCTCCAGGAGGTCACGCTTTCGTGCTGGAACGAGGTACAAACGCCGCGGTGTCGATGAGCAAGGTTACTGTGCGAATTACGTGGAAACTGAGCAGATTCTCTCATTCGGACCTCATCAAATGTCTTTCGTCCAGATCCGTGGATCTGTGCCAATCTACTGGACGCAGCCGGGTTTTAAGTACCGCCCTCCGCCCAGAATAAACAGGGGTGAGATTATTGACAAAACGAAAGTGAATCCCATTAGTGTCAATTTGTATTTCATTAATTTCCTTGTAGATGCTGCAGAAACACAAATTGCATTTGAAAAGCACTTCACTCGAGAGCTGCAGATTTACCGGTCTATTTGTATAATCAACCTAATCGATCAGGCTGGAAAGGAGAAGATTGTTGGCGACGCATATGCACGGCACACAATGAAGTACAACAATGAGAATGTGGCATATTGCGTGTTTGACTTCCACAATATCTGGTGAGTGAGAGTCATAAAGCAGGCAATTTTTGAGCGGAAATGTAAATGATGATTCTCTTTTCAGCCGCGGCATGCGATATGAGAATGTGACAATTCTCACGGACGCCCTGGCGGGTGAGATAAATTCCATGGGATTCCACTGGTGTGACGCTAAAGGCACCATTTGTGATCAGAAAGCAATATTTCGTGTCAATTGTATGGACTGCTTGGATCGCACGAATGTCGTGCAGACGGCTCTTGCCAAGGTAGCACTGGAGTCGCAGCTGATAAAGTTGGGCATTGTGTCACCGTGCACCGCCATTCCTGACCGCCTCAGGGAATCCTTTATGGTACTGTGGGCGAACAATGGGGACATTATAAGTCGCCAATACGCCGGTACGAATGCCCTTAAGGGTGACTTTACGCGGACTGGAGAGAGGAAATTCGCTGGAATCATGAGGGATGGCATGAATTCCGCAAATAGATACTATTTAGCTCAGTTTCGTGATACTTATCGTCAGGCGACGATAGATCTGATGCTGGGTAATCAGATTTCTGATGAGTTATTAACTGCACTAGGCGGACAACAGGCAATAGACGAGAGTGATGCTATCGAGGCAGCAGAGCATGCTCGACTTCTCGTGGAAGACTGTCGCTTGATAATGTTGGGTGCTACTCAGTGTCCGATAGGCGCTTGGGGCTTAATAAATGCAGACCCACGCACTGGAGATCCCAATGAAACGGAACTGGATACAATTCTCTTACTTGCCGACGATTGCTTCATGGTGGCCGAGTATGATTCTCATCTTGACAAGATAGTCAATTTTGATAGAGTTGCTCTCAGTGAAATTGAGATGATAGAGTGTGGATTGCTGCAGCAAACCAAACTCTTTCAGGGTAACGTGGCAGCTCATCCTTGCATCAGGATCAATTGTTTGAAGGCTGGCAAGAAAGATTGCTTCATGCTTCGTTCATCCAATATTAGATTCTTCAACAACACAGCCAGCATTATTAAAACAAATGAGGAGATGGCAGAGTCTCTTAATGCCATTGTGGAGTTCTTCCGGATCGCCTTGGAGAGTTGTGGTAGATCTGATGTGCCATTTATCTGTGGTGGAGTATTGCAGAGGCGCAAGAGCCGCACAACAGTCTTGGATGTGCCCAAAGGGGTTCCTAGAAATCTCAGTGAGTCGCAATTGGTGCAATTTGGCTCCAAAGCACTGAGTAATGTCGCCGGACAGTTTTCCAAACTGGGACAGACTCTGAATTCAACAAAGAGCAAAGGCAGGAATGCAAAAAGCGCCGCCTCTGTTTTCCACACAACAGCCAAGGGGGGCGTAAAGGAGAAGTGTCGCATTCAGCCTGGGGAGACTAGTTCAGAGTCCGATGAGAATGATTGCAGCATCTACGAACCGAATACCAATGAATATGTTCAGACGAATCCTCTATATTCGGAGAATGTTTTCCTTCCCAGTGTGGGAATTGTCATGTCAGAGCCAACGAATATAGAACAAGCCGTTGGTAAGCATATTACATATCCTTTTAGTCGCTTCTATTCTTTAATACGCCCATATTTTGATGATAATTCCAGAGTGTGTGGAGACGAGCAAGGAGATTCCCACAATCAATGTGAATGCATCAAAGGATGACTCAACGAGTGATGGACAAATATCAGCCAGTGATAAACCAAATGCAATGAAATTGAGCCAAAGTTCCAGTGAAATTGGTGCTGCTGCCACAGTTGACGGTGTTCCAAAAGCGCAGAAGGATCTCTCGCTCAATTTGAGTGGTTCTCACAGTGAAACGACTCTCAGACAATTGAAGACATTAACAAGTCCACTCTCAAAGTTGGCAAAAGGAATGCAAAATCTTGGCATAGCTTTTGATCCACGCAAGAAAGTTAATAAGGTAAGACAATATCTTTGCAATAGTCCAACATTTTTATTTTTGTATTTCAGTTCAAATTCTTTTTTAAATTATTACTGTAATTTACTGATGGTCTCTAATTGAGGATAATAATCGGGAAATGATGCGACAAAACTCACAATCAAATTTAATTGAATTCAAATGGCTCATTGAGCCAACAAATCATTCCATTCACACTTTTTATCGAGCCATTGATTCAGTTTGGTAATAAATGGTGTTTTTTGTTGACTTTTCAGAGTGATTTGCAAGATATTCCATCCGAGTATGCAAGGAATTTGCAGAAGGAGTGGGAGAATGGCAATTGCAAGAGTAAACTAGTAGCTTTATAGATTTATAGAAAGCAAATAGAAGAAAATAAGAAGAAAGCTGATCCCAGATAAGAACGTAGCACAAGCAGAACAACGTAACACACGCTAAATAGTGATTTACAAATCGATGCATTGAACAATTCCTTATGAGATTAGTTGAATTTTTGGCGTAGAGAAACCGCTAGAAGAATATTCAATTGATATATACCATATTATATACCTTTTAGATGAAAAAGAAATGTGGTAATTTGTTCAATTATCTTACATAGTTGGGGATAGTGAGAAGAACTATACATATTTGGAGCAATTTTATTGACTGAACATCAGTAAATTGTGTAGATGAAAAGACACATTGTTAAACCAGAAATTTTTGGGAAGTTTTCAATGGTATTACGAGGACCAAAGATTATGCATAGTAAAAGGTTCTTAACTTTTATCGATATAAAAATGTGAATTACATTGGCTAGGTTTTTAGAACGACTAGAAAAGTGTATCAAGCAAGGGTTGATGTGAGTGTATATCAGTATTTTGGATTGAAGGTGAAAGCAATTGTGTGTAGATGATATTTAATTTATTAAGTGTTTCTATTGAATATTTTTATCTAATTTCCATCAATTGCCGTGTATACCTAATAATGGGACGCTCTTGGAGAAAATATTTATCATGAATATTTAACTAATAGTCGCTTCATGCTATTCCAGTAATTATTTCTGATCCAAATTGATCAACCCTTTCTCTCAAATGTTAAGTATGGGGTGAATTTGTGGGGGTATTCAGTGCAGCCTTTTGTGTAATTGTGTACTTGAGCAAATGTCCTACAAATGGCTGTGCACTAACTTAGCCGAACAATAATATAAATGAGTGAAATGGATTGAAAAGGATGGATTTAATCCAATAGCAATAAATTCATATTTATTAAATTAAGCTCAAATATTGGATATATAAAATATTGTGTGACAACTTCCAATATGGTTTTCTAAAAGCGCCAAGCAATACAGTTTATATGTATTACATACTTTGTGCTATTTAAGTGAATTTAACTAAAGTACAATTATTTATAATTTAGTAGGTTTATAAAGGTTGTTGAAAATGCACAATTTTGATTGCACTTGTTATTTGGCAAAAATTAATCAACACGATTTTATCCCATAAAGTTTCCAAAGTGCTGCTCTGAATACCCTTAATTAAATGATAAACCGGCAAAACAGGATATGATTTTAAGCATGAAGAGGAAAGAACAGAGAAAAAAATCATGTAGAAATCAGCATCGTCTATGTATAGTCGGAGTTAAATGCTCTTTTAGTGCGAGTATGATAAAAGAAAATATTTACTGTAGCCATATATAGGGAAGTTTAAATGAAATAAAAGAAAGTTCCAGTGGAAGTCACAAAAAATCGCTTTTTCTACACTTTATTGTTGCACTTTTTACTTAAAGAGATTGCATTAACAAATCACCATGTTTGTAGAGTTGAGTCGTTAAAAAATAGTATATCGACAATGGGGAAGAAAAGTGTATGGAAGACGAATAATATTTTCCAATGATGTATGTATGAGCTTATTCTTCCTCTCTTTGGCCTCACTGTACGGGTAAATATTTGTAATCGACAACACTGAGAGCTATTCCGCATTCGGCCAGATAGTATGGAACCATTATCAGAATCTAGAAGAGGGAAAGAGTTTATAAATATTTGCACAAGAGACTTCTCTGTTGGCCTTTGTGTCTCACCACAGCGTAGGGAATGTTGACGTAGAATTTGTTGAATGCCAAAAATCCATCTGATATTACGAAGAGAACACCCCCAATTGCGCCTAGGATCTTGGGCAACTCCGTTTTGTCTTTGTATGTAGAAGCACGTGCCACGGCACGCCAGGCCATCGTGACAAGGAGAAACGAGTACACTGGCAAGCAGAATCGCAGCAAGGTGCTGCTGATGGAGTTGAGGAGGACGGACAGGGCGGCTAGAGAGCCCATTATCATGGTCAAGCCGATGTCCCAGCGCCGTGGCCGGAAACCGAAGGCCGCGATAAAGGCCACTTGAGCTGCAGCAAAAGCCAACACGCCAAACTCGAAGAGATTGATGTTCAGCAGAAGATCGCCGATGCTACTGAAGAAGAGCCCCGCGAGAATCTTATATGTGTACGAAGTGTTGGTGTTGTGCACGCCGTACAGGAGGATGAAGAGGATTAGGGAGTAGATGGGGGCGCACTTGACTACTGTGGACCACACCTCTGAGCGCGTGTCATACGTCGAAAGGACAAAGTAAAGTACGAAGGTGGCGAAGAAGGGCAGCAATTTCGGCACGGTGAATCTCACCTGAAAAAATAGGTTCAGAGGTTGATTACAAAGCGTATCGCATTATGTAATACAGTCAAGATGATTGTGTTTAATAAATTTTGAGTTCAGCATGGGCAGTATAGTGGGTATATTTTTAGACAAATTGCCATTATCGCATTACTCGTGGGTGGAAAATAGGAGAGAAATGTTCAACATTATGCCTAATTATCTTGGTAGATTTTTCTGTAAATCGAGAGTTTCTTTGTAATGATAATTCTTTTCATCCGTTTCATGTTATTTACAGCATTTTATCATTATTCAAGAGGTTTTGCGATAGCAGCACCCCAAATAGAAACTTCCAAAGGATTGTTTGCCAGACCCTTGAACTTTCGGAGTGGAAAATAAATAGCCAGAGTGGAGAGACACAGCAGGAAAATGCAATCAAAGTTGCATAACCCGCAATCAATTTCTCTGACTCTGCATATTGCATTAGCAAGTGTCGAGCTTCAATAAATGCATCCGGAAAAATCCTGCCTGGCCAGATGGTTAGTCAAGGCTTTCTCCGGTCAAATTGATTGACATGTCGTAAAGAGGTGGAGAGGTCAAATAGTTCGTGCTGCTTATGTTATAATAAAGAATTTTCTTACCAAATTCACAGAGACACCCATTTTTCCGTAGAAATGCCTCGATTCTTGTTTATATAGCACTCAGCACAGATCGTTGGAATGCGCATGAAATGAGGAACGAGGTGGAAGATGAAAACACGCAGACGGTGCTTGGAAAGATACTAGCCAGACGGCGAAGTTGCCAGGAAGACAAGCAGGTCCAATTGGTCTTTTTTTGCGCGCAAGTATAACACCAAAGTGTAAATGATAAAACGGAGAGAAATCCGCATGGAAACGATGGAAATGTGCACAATCACGGCTCGTGCTGATGCTTAAGCATCTAGGAAAGTCAATCAATTTTCCTGATATACTGCCGATATCAATTAATTCACCACAAGCTACGATCCGGTTGATTCACGCAATACCAATCAATGGGAAAAGCCTCCCCGCGAGTTCATAGTCCAAAATGATTTCAATTGGACAACACAGGCAATTTATCGGTCATGAATTTGAGGAATGCGCGGCAAGCGGGAGGGCACTTGAACTTGAGAGATTCGACTGGCCTTTGTTGCCTTGGAGGAGCGAGAATCAGCAACAATCCCAACGTGCGAGAGAGTGGCAACTGTCTGGGGGCTCACTTTTGCCACTTCGCGTGTGTTCTGTGACTCCAACCCGGGCAGTTCTCTCTCTCTCTCTCTCAGTCAAGGTATCTCATGGTCTAACTCGCTCTGCCTCGTGTCTGCCTATTGAATATCTCACTCGGTGGCAATTTAACCCACACATTGCCACAGTAGCTTCAGCCATAGTGATAAGTCCGCGAATATCTTCGAGATTCCCTATTCTCACCAACACGCAATGCTTTTTCGCCGCGGATGAGACACACTTCCTGTCAATCTGTAGTTTTTCTACTCAAAATACCCAAAATTCTATTAAAATTTATTTAATAGAGTTTTTCAATTTTACTTTCCTTGAAAACACTCATCTTTGATCCATGGTTGAAATCTCTTTTTCTTAATTTTCAAATGTTCATCATCATCTTTAAATATTAATCTTGGAGTGAACACAAGCAAAAAATGTCTAATATTTCAGGCACGAGATTGAAAACAAACGCGAGACAGCAACTGTCCATGTGTCGTCTTTCATTTCTTATTAGATTGCGAATAATAAAATCAAAGTGTTCTGCTAAAGTGCCTCCGCATGGATGAAAACACTGGCATTGAGAGAGTTTGTTGATGACGAAAGCACGATAGAGAGAATCTCTCGCGACAAAAGGTATATTCTTTGTGTCAGTAAAATCAACAGCGAAGAAAGGAAAAATAAACAAAATGCTAAAGCTTCATTGTTATCGCCGATGATCCATATTATCAGCTGTATATTGCAATAATTTGCGTCGTTTGCCTCTTTGCGTATCATGTGGCTCCCATACAGAACTAATGAACCCAGTGAAGCAGAAAATACGGAACAAAAAGATATGCTAATGATGATGTCGTTCCGATTGGAGCCTGAAAGGGATTCCTTCCCTTATTTTTATTCACTACAGTTTTCCACTGATGATTTTTTTTCTCTCCTCTAAATTGCATGGAGAGGCCCATCAAATATTAAAATCGATACTTTCTCGCACATCGCAGAGCTTTTGGCTCTCGCCATTCAATCTACCCCCACGCCAAAAGCTTCGCTATGTTGGCGCTTGCGTCCATCAATTTTAATATGAGCATCAACCACCTTTCTTCAGAGCAGGAGCGACAGTTCGTGTCTGGAAAAGCACTGGAAAGGGTGTCTTTCGGCTAAATTGGTATCTGGTGAAGAGCTTTCTTTTTTTTCTTTCCTGCTGTGAAAATTCTCATAATACATTTCTCTTCTTGGTTTTTCGGCAGATTGGGTGGAAGTATGGCTTGCCCATTTGTGCATACTATTGGGAAGCAGCACTCTGTGGCTGATTCGGCAACGTGGAATTTGGAGGACGACCTCACGGACCTTCCGGATGACGCTCTTACGCTCACCCATCTAAATGCCGCCATCCAATTGCTCACGGCACCATCCAACGAGAACATCAACCAAGCCGTGAAGTCCGTAATAAAGAAGTACAGCGATCGATGGCCAGGAATATCCAAATTGTGAGTAAATTTCATTCTGTATATTCCCAAGATTCTGCCTTGCGCTCGAGCGCTATTTATTACTTTGGCACGAGCACCCTTGGAGACACTGTGCAATGTCTAGTCATGAGGGATTTTAATGTACTCAAATGACTATGCTTGCACTTCGGCTCTGTGGGATCATAAATCACTATAAACAAGCAATTTGCAAGGGAGTATTTTGCAGCATGGGTGAACTTTATCGCAATAAAACTCTCGAATGTGATTCTCTTATCTAGAGCTTTAAGTTATGTTCTATTGACGAGACATTTTAAATACACAGATTTATTCCAATTTTCATAAAATAATTTATATTTCAAGTTAATGTTAAATCTTCTTTTGAAACCATACACAATAATAACTGAGGTGTGGACGTTTTGAAGTGCTAACATGTAATTATCTGAGTTCAATTGAAAGCTGAGTGAATATTCAATCTCCACCCCTTGAGAAACTATAATTCTTCTTAATACATAGCTTGATGGCAGCGTGTTTACCTTGCCTTCAATTTCCAGGTGGTGTAATTATGTATTTTATTGAGGAGAAAATTGTCATGTGTGCCTTTTTCCTATAGTCGTAATTGTGTGAAAAATCATGTGAAAATTGGAAGGTGGACTGACGATTTCCTCTCTTTTCACAGGAAAATCGATACTGAGTCCTTCTCCATGTATCCCAACTATGACTACTTGGCAGATATCCAGGATTCCATCGTGGGCATGGATGAATCTGCGGCGAATGATATCCTGATGATGATTGGTGAGGAGCTAATTGAGACCTGCTGTGTGGGAATCATTGAGAGAGCTTTTCGCTGCCTCGGTGGGGATTTGCAAGAGTTCCTGGGCTCCCTTGATGGCGTGCACGACGTATTGAAGCTACAAGAAGCAGATATTTCAGACATTGGATTTGTTTGCGCTGGCGAAGGTGAGCTCATCTTCACATCTGAACGTCCAGTAATCTCTTGGCTCTTGTTGGGTGCCCTTCGACAACTGGCAAAAATGTTGTATGGCATTGAAGATGCTCGAATCATAATGGAGCCAATTGACGGAGATGTGAAACGCTACCGATACCTTTTTGATGTGGGACCATCTCTGGCCAAACGCCAACTTGAGGCTCCAGTTCAGCTTAAAGAGCGGAAACGCGCTTCCGTCTCCACAGCGTCTGAGGATCTCAAGATGAACGCCTCTACATTCTGCAAGGCATTTCCTTGGCACTTTGTCATGAATGAGAACCTGGAATTACTACAGCTGGGCCACGGTTTCACTCGCGTCTTCAGACAATCCCTGAGTTTATACGGACGCCACGCCACTACGTATTTCCGCTTTAAGCGACCACGTGGATTGTCCCTGAATTTCCAGGAGATTCGGAAGCATACTCACACACCCTTCCTACTCGCCATTCGGTCACAGGTGTGCCGCCGTGAGTCTACAATGACGGGTTTGGAGATTAAGGGGCAAATGGTGTACTGTGCTGAGACCAACACTCTGCTATTCATTGGTTCTCCCTTCATTGACGGTCTCGAGGGACTCACATGCAATGGACTCTTTATATCGGATATACCTTTGCATGATGCTACTCGTGAAGTAATCCTTGTGGGTGAACAAGCTCGAGCACAGGATGGTCTCAGGCGTCGCATGGACAAGTTGAAGTCATCTATTGAAGAGGGTAATGCCGCTGTGACGAAGGAGCGAAAGAAGAACGTGAGCCTCTTGCAACTTATATTTCCGGCGGAGATTGCGGAATCTCTCTGGGGTGGGGCGACTATTGAAGCCAAGACGCATCCCGATGTCACAATGCTCTTCAGCGACATTGTGGGCTTCACTAGCATCTGCTCCAGGGCCACTCCAATCATGGTCATCAACATGCTAGAGAGTCTCTACAGGGATTTTGATGAGTTCTGTGGCTTCTTCGACGTGTACAAAGTGGAGACCATTGGAGATGCCTATTGTGTGGCCAGTGGACTCCATCGCGCCAGTCATTATGATGCCCATAAGGTACTATAATCTTTTCTTTTTGAAATTGAGGTATATTTCCTAAAAGTACTGCTTTTCCAGGTCGCATGGATGGCTCTTATGATGCTGCAAGCTTGTCTCAATCACAATACTCATGATGGAGAACATATTCAGGTGAAAAATAATTTTTTGGTACTTTTCCCACAATTATGTGTTGAAATGTCGAGTTATTGCTTCGAATCATAAAAATAGCAATTAAGTGACCAATTTTGGGGTGAAAAGAAAACTCCCCTTCGCAGCTCATAAAACATTAATTTGTAAACATTCGTGTGTGAAACTGTCGTGCCGCCATCCAATTAAATTGCCCCAATTGTGTCCTTATGTTTTTTGAATCATCTTTTATTCACAATTTATTATAGCTTTCACTTGCCGTGTTATTATTTTCATGGGTGCAGATTTCATTATTTCCGTTCTTCTTCACTTACAGATGAGAATTGGTCTCCACACGGGAACTGTTCTGGCAGGAGTGGTGGGCAGAAAAATGCCACGATATTGTCTGTTTGGGCACCACGTGACGATTGCCAACAAGTTTGAGTCTGGCAGTGTTGCGCGAAAGATCAACGTGAGCCCTACCACAAATGAGTAAATAAATGAAGGTATTAGAGTGATTTCATTCGATTGGCCTAAATTTTGGTCTTCTTTTGCAGTTGGCTGGTTAAGTATCCAGGCTTTAAATTTGAGATGCTGGAGAGGGACCCATCTTGCTTGCCCAAAGACTACCCGAATGCTGGAAATTCCACTTGCTATTTTCTCAATGGCTACAAACATCCGGGTGTAGATGATGCTGAACCCCAGGAAACCCACATCAGGGCAGCTATGAAGCAGATAAATATTGAATGTGGAAGACCAACGGCCGACACCGGTGACACCGAAACATCCTAATTATTCGTGAAATTTTGAAACTATTGAATTCACATGTTGTATCAGTATTCAGTCTATGAAATTAGTGTTTATTCAGTCTTGACATATGTCCAAAGACAAAATTCTTAGTTGTGCAATAAAGAAAAAAACACACACGAAATTCTTTTGTGCTATTGGGATGGTTCATTATTTTTGGTATGATACAGTGTTGGTGTTGGATAAAGGGAGCAAGCGCGGGAAAGTTTATCCAGATTTCACAATGAAAGTGTGGCAGCCCTGATTATCTAAGACGGCTTGGATTTGACACCCGGCTATTGTTTTCGTTTGAAAAGGAGCAATTTTCTTTGAATTTCCCGTGATAATTGTGCACTTTCACTGCAAATCAACATAATGGACAAAAAGGCGGAGGTCCAACTACAGAATCCACCTTCTGATGTTATCTCGGCGGTTAAATTTGCCCCGAATAGCAATCAGTTCCTGGGAGTGGGTTCCTGGGATTGTACAACCAGGATCTACGACGTCACCAACTCTGCCTTGCGCCACAAATTCATCCAGGAATGTCCAGTCCTCGATCTCGCTTTTCAGGTAATTAGTAGTAGTGGAATTTGATGGGAGGAAAATCAAATGAATTGATTAATTATTCCAGGATCCATTTCGCATTGCCACTGGCGGTCTGGACAATCGTGTGCTCATGTATGATCTCAACACTCAAGCGGAGAAGGTAGTAGGAAGCCACGATAACGCTGTAAAGTGCGTGGAATATGCAGGAAAGGTGAACGGCATACTAACTGGCAGCTGGGATAAGACGATAAAGCTTTGGGACACGCGGGAAGAACAGTGTGTAGGCACGTACGAGCAGAGCAACGGGAAGGTGTACGCGATGGCGGTGATTGATGAGAAGATTGCCGTAGCCACTTCCGACCGGAAGGTGCTCATTTGGGATCTGCGCAACATGGGCCAGTTCATGTCCAGACGCGAGTCCTCCCTCAAATACCAGACGCGCGCCATCAAAATCTTTCCCAGCAAGGAGGGTTTTGTGATGAGTTCAATTGAGGGCCGCGTGGCTGTAGAGTACTTCGACCAGGATGCGGAAGTGCAAAAGAAGAAGTTTGCCTTCAAATGCCACCGCTCAAAAGAGAACAACGTAGAGCTCATCTATCCGGTGAACGCCATCACCTTCCACAACATCTATCACACATTCGCCACTGGTGGCTCTGATGGCTTTGTGAACATCTGGGATGGATTCAACAAGAAGCGTCTATGCCAATTCCATCATTACGACACCTCAATCGCTGCACTCGCCTTCAGTCACGATGGTAGCACATTGGCTATCGCCTGTTCCTACTTGGATGAACTGGAGAAGGTGCCGGATCCTTTGCCGGAGCCTACGATCTACGTACGGTATGTAAATGAACAGGAAACGAAACCCAAATAACTCGGAGATCTCTTCGTCACACTCTGCCAAACTCTGTACATTTTCTCAGCATTTTTCTCTTATTTTATTAAGATCAATTTTTACAGATTGACTTTACACAATATAGATTGTCAATAAATGCTATGTGAAAGAAAACAGATTGCTGGAAAATGTACCCTGTTTGAGGGATGAGCGACCCTTGTGGTGTTCCAATTAGTGTCTACGACGGGACATTTTTACCCCTGAATATTCCACACAATGCATAATAGAGAATTTCCACAATGCTTAAGAGTGATGAACCCAGGAATAAGCCAGCAATTCCTCCAAATGCAACTGAAATATTAATAGAAGACGTGTGAGTGCCGGAGAACATCTCAGCATCAACACTTAAGTGTCTTATTAATTGCTCCATTAAATATTTAAAGACAATGGAAAATCCTGTAACGAAATTAGGATGTACGGAGGAGGTAGAAAATTACCTCTTCGAGCGCTCTAAGCTCCATCCATCTCACCAATTCGGAAGCCGTTTCTTGACACCTTTATAAATTGTCTACGCAATACTAATGCGCGATAGGGGATTGTAAAGTGGCGAAGATTTTTCCGCTGTCGAAGACAATGTTTACATAAGAGTGAATTTTTGGTTTGCCACCCATTCGGTGGGATTTTTCTTATATGACTGGGAGGGGTTGATATCTCGACAATAGGGACATTAATTAATGAAATCTCACCCTCGCGCAGAAATCACATTCTACACAGAGGCGAACATATAATAATGAACTCCCCGAGTCTTGTGGGGAACCATTAATCATTCCAGCAGTATTTGAGAGTGCCAAAGATTTGGGCTGATTATTTTTTTTTCTCACAAAATTCGCCAATTAAATAATTACACCAATGAAGTGAAAGAATAAATTAACAGAGAGAGTTTTTTTTCTACCTCCCCAACCGCGTGAGAGTGCATTAAAGGGAACAGTTTGACCGCTCGTATGGTTCACCACAAACGCAACACGATTAAGCAGAAATAATTAAAACCACGTAACAAAATTGTATCCGGATGATTTGCGTGCATGAATAAATTATTAGTTTACTGGACACCTCGATGGGCGATTTTAAATCTGTTTAGCATTTAATATGCTCTGCCATAGCGTAACGCAAGTGCTTTATGGAAAATGTATTATGTGAAGTGTTTGGTGAAATTGAAAGCTGGTAATATTTGGGCAGGTAATATTAATTTTCATCATAATAGAGGCAATTTCAAGCAGGCACTTCATTAAATATATTATCCAAGAATCAGCTTTAAATGAATGTCCAATTTTAGTTTGCCTGCTTTTGGTAGACACCAAGCTGGAGAATCACTAAATCAATCCCTGACAATTATTTTATATTTTTTCCCTTCTCAAATACTGGACGAAGAAAAAATGGATTTCATTTAAATGTTTAGTCATTTTAACCAAACCCCTTGTCGAAACCTCTTTCAACAGCACTTTCCGTGTCATTGAACAGGGCCAAGTCGTTCTTCTTCCCATGATATTGCTCTATTTCCTCCCCAATTGTGTATACACACGTTTTTTGCGCTATTATGAAAATGATTTGCAAAAAATATTGTAAATATATAAAACTCCCAAGAATGACCTCATTTTTCCACTACACAATGTTAATGACTTAAGTCTCATGCGAGCCTGTCTCTGCGGAGCAATATTGGGGCATTGCTGGGGTGGAGAATCACAGGAGAAATCTCGATTTTTGTCTATTTATGACCATTTGCGTTTGTGTCTGGTGATCATTTAATGGGGTTGAACCAATTCTTTCCTTCCAGTCCAACATTAACATTCCATAGCAGTAGATTCTGGTATGGCAATAAAAAGCAACCCTAAATTACTCACATACCCATTTATAATACCCTAATCTTTATTATCTAATTTTGCGGAAACGAAGAGGAAAAAAACTTACGAAGGGTTGTGTGGGGAGGGGGAGGGGGATTGTCGGTGTGGGTGAGAAAGAAGGTGGGAAAACGTATGCTTTTTGTCCGGAAGACTATTTCAGATGTGGCTCCAGCGTTGCCAGCTATTTGTGATGAATGAATTTGCGCAAATTCATCTGAATCATGCGCCAAATTTGAGGAAACACGAAATGAACAATGTTTTTCCTCAGAATTACTCTCTCAATGGGTTTTTCTGTCGCACAACTTCCTTACATGACAATGTGTAATTTGCAGAATGTTTTACTGTCATTTCTAGTGAACATTAATTATGATATGACGACCAGACAATCGCCCATAGAGTGGGTGAGAATATTCTGAAAACATTCCGCCAAAATAGTGTGTAGAATATTTATTTCTTCACAAAGAAAATAATCTGTAACTCTTTGGAGTGAGTTTCATAAGGTATTCCACGTCGCAGTGAAGTGATTTTCCTCTATAAAGGCACGACTTAAGCTTATATGTGTTACTTCGTTTGACACATACATATGTATAGATGGAAATCCCCGGAAATTCTTTCCACTTTGTCGAAAATTGTATAGACGTAAATTTTGCAGAAAATTCACGTAACACTTGGAATTATACGCTAGATTTTTCACCACGTATCACTCGTTGAGAGCACGATAAAAAAATGTCCCACCGTCAGTCTCTGGATGAAGCATAAAATCCGTAAAGCATATTAGGCTGGCTCCCGTTTTGACGATGGAGAGGAATGGCACGGCTGAGAGGAGCATCGATTTTTTATTAACGTATTAATGAGGAAAGCACTCACCTATTAAGTCCAGGAACTCGTATACGACATATGTCCTATATTTTACCATCGTAGCATATTGAAAGTGAATGTCCAGTGTTACTAAATCTCCGTTCTCCACACTTGAAGCGCCCACGGATGAAAGAAGTGAAATGAGTCACTTAATTTAATAGTACATTATTGCGGATGAGATCATTAATTTATTATTGCTTACGGAAGCGCATTTGACCTGGCGGTGATGGTGTACGTCACAGCGTGACACTCAGGCAAGCACGAGGCGCAGAGGGCGGCATAGGACTTGGAATTATTATCATGTTTTCCCACAAAATCATGTCTCAATTGAGCTGTGAATTCATTGAGAGAACCACTTATCAAATGTAAGTGGTATGCAGAGAAATATACATAGTAGCTATACAGGTAAGTGTAATATGTGAAATAGTTTTTGTGATTTTTTTTTTCTTTTCGAAAACAGCACATAGAGGCTCAGTCACTATCAGTAAAAAATTTTATAATATTGAGAGAAGGGTTCAACAGGTGGTAAATATAAGGGCCATCACTATATAAGTACGTAACTGGAATTACGTGCATAAAAGCCATACTATCAGTGGATGTGTTTGCCTTTGAAGTCGTATAACGCTCAACTATTATAAAAATTGTGCCCAAAATAGAGAAATCAGTGTATAATTCTTATCGTGAAACTCTAACTTATTTTGCATTTAGTTGAAAATGGGAAGCAATTACGATTAGCATAATTGAAGGTTTAATCTCAACGTTTAGTTCATTGAATTACTTTGTATCCGATCAGAATTTCAAGTAGATAAATCGATGGTGCGCAAGTGTAATGAAAAAAAAATCTAATTTGCATTGAAATGGCATCAGTGCAAGCTTCCTGGTAAAGGGCCTTTGGGTGCAATTGAGTGGGAGTAAATTTAGTGCTACACATCACATATATGTACTAAATGTGTGAGAAATTTATCACTTTATTGCATTTCAATTTTGATTTCCAGTGGCAATATAAGTGAACTTCCTCCATTACCTGCAAACTCTGCAATGCATCGGATCCCTGTTGCATTGCAAATGGGATAGGAGCCAGTGGGATACATAAAATCAACACTGCAATTGCAATATTGCACCATATATCGCTGTCGGCATTCTGCAATGCAATTTTCCAGGTGATATTTCAGTCCAGGAAGACTCATCACGGACTCGTCTCTGATTTCACGCTGAGGAATGTTTTTTTTCCACGCCGCAGACGTGCAGAAAATATGGATTGATGATCGTGAGCGGGTATAAGGGAGGAGAAGAGGAAATCGGTGTGAGTTTTGAAATGTTACATTTTCGTTATAAATAAAAGGCATTTATAGTGAAAAATGTGAGTGTGTGTGAATGTGACACAATTTGGCGGGGGTGCTTGTGGGAACATTTCCATCCTCATCTCATCCTTCCCATCATTTTCCTCTTCCGCCAATTTATCGTGCTTTCTCCCACAGCCGTCGCGTACCCTAGAGTGTTATAAAATAACGTCCGGATATTGAGCGGAAGTTTGATCACGGAATAGATTGTGATTAGTGAAATGTTTAGCGTGGTGGCAAAACCATAAAATATCTCGGCAATTCACCCCGTTCTCGATGTCAGCATGGCCCACAGAGACTACTGAATTGCCACCCCAAAGTCATTCTCTACGCACAGTTGATTGCCGTGTAGACAATTTCCTTGGCGGATGCATTTGGTGATGGGAAAAGGAGAGAAGCACTTTGTACTAAATGCACCAGCTCAGGAAATTTCTTGAGTCTCAGCGACACTGGCAAATGAAAGCTTCCAAAACATATCCAATGCAATGCCGTGAATAAATGCAAAATTGAATTGATTTTCCACTACCCTACTGCGCGCAATTTAAATGAGCTCTGAGATATATTTTGGCTACCTTCATTTTATAACTTCCAGTCAAACTGAAAATATCAAAAGTCTTTTTTGAGTCATATAAAATGAAACCGACACACTTTTTCCATTTTGCCAAATTGGTTTTGCTGTGAAATATTTATAAGATCCATTTACCCATTACCAACTAAAAGTCACATTTATTAACTTCGTAATTACTTTGTCCGTGACTAATTTTAGTTCGACCGCTTTTCCACAGCATAAATTGGTAAAATAGTTTGCAAATGCAAATGAGCTCATACAACCACTCTGAGAAGCTTTATTTCTGCCAAGACGAAGGAATTAACTCAAAAAGGAAATGCCAGAAAAGAAATTTCTCTGCAAATTGATTTTCAATTAAATGAGTCCACCAAAAAGTTTCCCTTATTTATGATGTCACCAAATGGTAATTAATTCTTGGAATGGATGAAAAAAGTACTCGGGAGAAAGTCCTTGAAGAACTTCTCCCAATTAGGCACGTTCGCTTTGGTCATGATAGTCAGTAAAAGTCAGTAAAGATATTGTAAGTTCAGAAGCAATCGTCTTGCCAAAGATTATGGTAGAAACGATAGAAAAGTTCTCCTATTCAAAAAATCCAAATGCTTAGCAAACCTCTATGATTCACTTCATATCTCACACGTAAATCCGAAAAAAAACAGTTGAAAGCTTAAGTTATGTTCTGTTATTATTTTAAATAACTCATTGAAAAATACCAGCGGAATTCTTTTGCATTTTAAATAAAAATGTAACATGCCACAAAGCTATGGCAGAATGAACATGTTAAAACGAGCAAGATAATTCGCTGTCTCCTCTTTCTGCCACTTACTTCGTTAGGATGGTTGGGAACCTCTCGGTGTTTAATACTGTGGAAACCCCATGCACGGGCGAAAGCGTGAAATTCAATAATAATGACTAGAATGGTGGAACAATGCTTTTAAACTCATTCTCATCCGCGTGTTGGCGAATATCCTCCCCCAGAGGATGGTTATAAAATTGAACACGTGGGGATGTATTTTAGTGCTTTGCGAAATTTATCAATGTAAATTGCAGATTTATGCAAATGAGAGATATTTTAGGAATTAAGCTTATTCACGGGGGTGTCACAAAGTGTTCGGGCGTGATTGACTTTTTACTCGCATCTATGCCATGTCCTTCCTGGCCATGGTCAGAATCCAAGTCAGAATCACTTTATCGTGTGAAATGTAGTAGTGACTTTCATCGAGTCTCAAGCGCAAATTTTGGATGTAGGCCAAATGCACTCAAATGCGAAAAGTATGAAAAAAATGCACTCTTCGCACAGTGTCAGCACTTTCTCTGGACCATTTCCTCGAGGGATGATTTTTTAGGGCAAACATACACCACACAATTGAGAGGATTCAATTTGCTTTTCGCCTCTCTTACGCGCGCCCAAATAACCCCGATCAATGGCATGAAAACAGAAAAATCCCATCAATTTTTTTGCCTTTGCCTGACAAACTATTTTATTCGTGCGGGTGATATTTATCACCGGACATTGGGAAAACGCGTTGATTCCGGGGCCGATTGTGTGTCAATGGACCCACCAATGGAGATTGTACAAGGAGACACTTTTCGTGCCAAAAGGATGCTTGGCGCAAAGGTTGCCGCAATAGAGATTCATAAGGAAGTTCTAAAGATCTCGACATCCTTGTAGAGCTCTTGCGAGGGTACATAAAAATGTATTCCGCGCTCTTTGAAAAATTCATGAGCTTTGCAAAGTGTGTTGGTTGAGCAATTTGGTTTTCTTTGCTCAGTCTTCGCGTAACATTCAATACAATTTTACTCAATCGCGTAAAAAAATTTTATCAAAGAATCGTTTTATAGTGATTCTTACTTCGTGGTAAAAGTATCAAAGGCTCCTTAGATTTAGTTAATAATTTTTTACAACTGCTTAAGCTCTTTACTACTATTATTTAAAAAAAAAACTATAAAAATTTTTTTTGCTGATTTTAACAGCAAAAATATTCGACGTGAAAAAAATTATTTTTTACACTCAAGCTTACACCTAATTTTCATAAATTTTTTATGACTGCGAAATTCATTCGAAGAATTAATAATCCATTCTAAATACTAATAATAAATTTAATGGGGATTTATAGGCTGAAAGCTCTGATCAATGAGAAACGGATATCTTCCTGTTATTGAATAATTCTCGAAATTGCAACTGTATCAATATGCTTGGAATGACTGAATGTAGATAGTTGGGGAAAACTCACCTCGAGAAGGCATCCCCTTTGAGCCGGCGGGATTCTGCCGACGCTAGAACGGCTGTAGGTGAATGTGGGTGTGATAGTAAAGGTGGTTATGGAACCCGGGGAAATGAACGTAGCCATCTGCGGCCACTGCGTTGGATGATGCAAAATAACCCCAATCCCATGAGCCTCTGAGCCGTTCAACGTGATCCGGAGTCCACTCCAGTCGCCATAGTTGCTTGTTCGCCACGGCCAGTCAGTCTCATTGCGGTGACTATGGGCGTCCACAGAGGTGAGGGAGTTGAAAGCCAGACAGATGCCGTAAGTGGTGAGTTGGTGGGTGAAGATGGTGCAACAATTGAGGTATTTGTTGCGCCACCAGCAAGGTTCCTCGAAGATTTCACTGCACCTGGGCGAGGCGTCATATAGAAGTTGCTTGAAATTGATATGCTCCAACTCGTGAGATTGATTATATTGTGGCAAGTTTTCTCCCAACTCAAATTCATCACGAAGTACTCTTTCAACCAGCAACAGGAAATTCCGCAGACTCTCCGCCGGCAATTTGCCACCTCCCGTTGAGTACCTGTAACAAATTTTTCACACACAAAGAGCGTACAATTTGGAATTTAGGAAATTATTTATGAGGCCCCATTAAGACAGTAAACAAATATGCCCCCACTTACTGGTCCGCCACGTGTTCCACATGGGACCAATTAATGCGATTGCCGGTGCAAATGGTGACGGCCGGATATGGGATTTCCGACACGGGATAAATTGTGCTCTCGATTACAGTGGCCAGGGGGCTGCTGGAGAAACGCCTGGACAGAAGTAGGGAGACAAACACAGTGCCAAAAACCGCCAGGGTGACGACGAGAAGCCAGACGATCCTGCAGGAAAGACGACCAGAAATGAAATTGTGGCCACCATGTGTAGCCAAAGCCAATAGTTCCTGAACTCACTTCCTCTCTCAGGCCCCACAAACATGGGGCACACCATTACTGTGGGTGTTTGTTTTCACAACTTCCCTGCCACCCCTGAGGTCTGGGGGTGACTCCCAATTAAAAATCAATAATCAAGAATTTTCGCCCTTTTAGGCCACTTTTGCAACTTCATGACTGCCATTAACGTGATTTTGATTGCTCACCGAGCTGGTAAAGTTAATTATCATTTTTTAATGGACTCCCTGAAAGCCATTGTGTATCAATTTTGCATAATCTATTAAGTGAAGTATTTATTTTCGAGGGTGGTACAATATGACGAAGTTAAATATTCACGAGTGCTTTCGGCGTTGCAATTAACGGTATTTATGAATTCAATGACAGGGGCAGAGGTTTGTAATATTTAATCTGAAGGTTTAATTGACATCATGATTGAATTAAGGGAGGTATATTATTTTCGACATGAAAAATTTAAAACATTTTTGTAGTGATGTTTATATTCAATTAGAATACATTTTTCTAGTCTAAATTATAATTTAATAAACGTTGGGATAATGAGTCTCACAAGTGGAAGAATTTAATACTCACAAAATTACAATTTCATATTAATTCTCAGGAAGATTTAAAGATCCAAATTAGCAAATACACAGTATTGGCGAGAAAATATCACATTCCAAACATCTCAATTACATTTAAAGGCCAAGGATTTCTTTCAATTCGAGAACAAGAAAACTAAGATGGCAATCTTAGAATATGCATTCGTTTTGGCGATACATGACATTGATCTAAATTTCAATCTAAATTGTATTTCTTATTCCACTTGGGGGAGCCTATGTTTTCAGTCCTCGAATTAGGGACATGACTGTATTGTGAATGGATGGATGCTGAAGATTTGCCAAAAATATTGCAGAAAATATATAGAAATGTAATATTTATAGAATGCAAAATCACGTGAATGATTTAATCCTCGTGTGACACGTTTAAGAGAATATCACAAGGTTTCTCGTTTTATTGAAATTGAAGCATTAATATTTTGTTACCAGTTCACATTCAATATTGCTGGAGGGATAAGGGAACGAAGCGACTCAGTGTGTGAATGAGGATTACATTTTCAGGCATATAAATTTATATACGGCTCCAAAAGGCATTCAATCATAATTTTATGTGAAAATGCCTTCAAGAGTGTAAGCAAAAGAGGCGATTCTCAGGCGAAAAAAGACCAATTTGGCCCCACCATAAAGCAGGCCGCGGAATGAAATTTATTATTTAGCAACTTTACCATCTGAAATGCTGTATAATTCCGCAATATTCCAATTGTGATTTAAATTTTGCGTTATTTGTATAAGATGAATGACATAATTATGCTAATTCATTGCAAATACCATTATGGAAAGCATAATAAAGAAGAGATGTGCAAAATTAGTTTAAATTGCTGAGGTGACATTGTGAAATTCAGGAAAACAACCCGCTGTACACCTCACGGGGCGGGACGTGATGCGGAGGACAGTGGAATGATGAGGTATGATACGACGTTACAGCATCAACCTTGTCATAAGTTGGAATATAGAGGATAATCCTAATATCTTTTGACATAATCCCCACACAACATTTTTATTATTCTCCCCGCAATTTTTTTACGTGCCGCCTCACATCTTTCCCACCATTTAATTTTCCATTTAAGTACATCAGCTGTCGCGTACACACCCCATACACAACATATCACATCGTTAACATCGGATGGCAATTTAATGTACCTCTCAGCCGGATGCAAATCATCATCCACCAAATACTTTATTCCGTGAACGGTGGAATTTCTTGAATATCTCTTCCACCAGAGAGTATTCCAGAGGCGTAATTTCATCCTGTTGCCCGTAATTTCCCTCCAATCTTCCTTTTCTTTGCCCACGCTCTACTGCCACTTCACTCAACTACAACTTGGAATATGAATCGCTGAGAAATGCTTGGGAGCGCTCGTGAAGAGTTATGCTTAAAGTTAGGCAGCGTCGGAAGAAAGGAGTTCATTTAGAGGCTGTCGGGTGTGGGACTTCCACTCACCTGCCAGAGACCACAACAACCAGCAGAAAGGAGGACAATTGAGAGGATAAGTGTACATGTGACTTATTTACATATTAAAGTGGCGCAAAAAAATATACAAAATTTGCATAGCAAAACCAATTTGCTCATCATTCCCTCTGAAACATAGGCAGCAGATTTTCAGTAAAAGAGAGAGAGAGATACATATAATTATTTTATGCCGAGAATATGTTCTGAATTAAATGGCATACTAATGACAATTTAACTCATTTTCCTGTAACTCAATTAAGATTTTGAATTTTTCATTAGATTAAAAAAAATGGCTCTCGTACACCATGCAGAATTTAATCATCTGCCTTGATTGAAAGTGGACGAGAATGAAAATTTCATTAATGTAGCACTCAACTAGCATTTTCACAACCCGAAAACTCCGCACATGGGTTATCATTATAAAAGCTTCATAATAATATCAAATTAACGCCATCATATGACAATATTTCAATTGCTACATGAAATCTTGTCAATTTAACCCTCCATTAATGCTGATAACAATCTGAACTCCGTGGCACGACTAAAGAGGTACAATATCATTATCCTATTATAATGAAAGCAACAGCCCAGTCATTTCAATTAATTATCCAGAGATTAGCGTTAAATTCATGTGCGCTACAATTAGGCCCTTTCTCACTCGATTGTTTCCCTCTTGGGCCAATTGGAGTGACTTTCTGGCCCACCCTCCCTCTCTCAATTCCATGGGACAATTTTCTATTTAATTTCAATTTCCTCCTTCGTCGGAGTTGGTTGGATTGGAGTGCGGTTTGAAAGCCATGAGAGGATTTTTGTTCGTTTTCTGACCTGCAATTTCCTCTCCAGCTAAATGGCAACTTGAGCATCCAAATGATTTATTATCGCAAGTGGGAAGTGTGGCGAAGAAGCGAGAATAATACGGAAATCCATGTAATATGGGAAAGGCCAATAATCTATTTTCAACTTCATTAATTAAGGATATTCAATGAAAATAATTTGGTGAGATAATGGAATACAGAGAGTGAGAGAGACTCAAGTGAATTTATATTGTTTTAGGTGGAGTTGACAAAGTTTCTGACATCCACAGCGCACAAAAGAAGGGGAGTTTGAGCTAATGGGAAAGTGTGAGAGTCAAAATGCGCGGGGGTTGATTTTCAAAAGCCATAGACGGATCAGTGACCACAGCGAAGCAAGACGATTGCGGAAACTGAATTATTTGGGATCAGTTTGCAAAATGCTCCCTTCCAATGGATTAGGCGTGATAGATTGGATCAATGGATGCTGTCATGAAGCGATGCTGTAACGCAATTGATGAACTCCAAAGTTATCAAGTCTACACTGCATGTAGGAATCAGTGGTTGGCTGGATGTGTAGCTGGTGGCTGAGAGAGAACCATAGAGGAGACGAGCCAAATTAATTAAAACTAAACCTCTTAAATTAAGAAGAGCACTGACCCAACAATTGGGACCACACAGACTGAATTTTATTGGAGCAAAATTTCCATTTCACTCTTTACAAAACACCCCATTTTTTCTCCACGAGAGTGCTTTTTTCTGCTATCCCCAACCAGAGATAGTTCCACATGTTTAGCCCTCATTTCAAATCCCCTCAATCGCGCTCTGTTTGTATTTATCTTCATCATTCCAATTCGAAACGACCAATATGGATTAAATAGATACAGACGATATACGCATGGATATAAATGGAAAAACGCTTTTTGCGCTCGATTCCTCTTCGTTCAGAACATTCATCACTAGCAAATCAAGTCACGAAAATAATTTCCCGCCGAAAATGGTGGCGCGCAGGAAAGGATGGGTGAGGTTATATTCATGCCCGCTTATGTGAATACTATGCACAGTTTAATTTCACCGGTATCACCATTTCTTCCCAGCTTTTTCGACAGACTCGAAATAAGTACGATTATTGTTATTAGTATTTTCTTTTCACACCACTATCCATATTACATCAGCTCATGGCCACACCACGCTCTCACCTCAGCATGAGAGCGTTATTGGCGTGCGCGCCTATATGATATAAAAATGGACATTAATCATTTCATTGAACTTCAAAAGCTCGTATACACAAGAAGCAACTAGCATCTTTAAATATCCTCCATACTGGAATATATGAAAGCTTTACATATAATCAGATCTTATATACTCCTTGATTTGCTTATGTACCAATTAGTGATGGGATTTTACATTGTCGAAAACCACGTGGAATATTTATAAATGTAGATGATACAGCATCCAATTTTATCATTTTTACATAAAAATAATAATAGCTAAACTGGCGGCATATATCTAATCCTTTTACACAGTTATATTACGGACATATGAAAAAAAATTTTATTAAAAAATGAAACGACTTTTAATAAAAGCACAGAAGGCTGTAAATTGCTGTAAAATTGAGAAATGGTCCGAGTATAGTGCCCATTTTCTTGTTCAAACAATATTTTAGCATACAGTAAATTTTTTTCATCCCACGTTTCCTACACGTTGTGAAAGTTAACGATACAAGTATCTTGAAGTGGATGCACGCGGAGGAGAATGTGAGGATAATATGTGATTGTATAAAATAACACCCCGAGGACGTTTAATATTCATCTCACACAAAATATCCCCAACAACACAGCACACATTCCAGGCATGAGAGAAGCCAGCACACACCTGTTTATTATATATTTGAGCTTCATTATGTAAAAGTTATGTGTATTTTATTATTAGCACGAAAGCCTCGTGACGGTCTCTAAATTGAGAGGCCTATTATCTACAGGTGAACAAATTGTAAAAGGGTTCTGTCAGCCACTCCCCACCCACGTGGGATGCAACAGTATATCGAAGCAATTCTTACAAGATTCTCGAAGTTTATTTATAAAGGATTACACGTAAAAGTGGTTTATTGGTGGATTTCTTCATTCGACAGTCGTGTGACGAAGGCAAAAGCTTGCTCTTAATGTGCTGTGTGGCTGTCGCCCGATTGTCTTTTATACGCTTCTACCCATGCAGTAAAATCAATAATAATAAAAAATATCTCCTCTGGGTACTGAAATATGAGCGATATCATGGGTAGAACGCACAAAGAGATTTTCTTGTTTTGCACACACCACCGCACAATACAATGCCCTCCCCATATAAACAAATATATTGGTCAATCTCGCAAAAATCATCAAGAATAATAATAAAATATTATAAAGACTTTGCTGAAAGGAGATATAAATTTTATTTATACACCATATACACATATTTCTGCTCCCTCAGCTTTGGGCATCACATGCCAAAAGTATCTGCTAAAACTTTTCCACAACATACAATCATCAAATCAGCACATCGAGAAAGATTTCCATCCATTTTTTTCACTCCTTGCATGTCAAACTTTTTGAAATTTTCAATATCATTGACAATAGCCCCCTTAACACGAATATGAGCAAAATAACTACCCAATAAAATTGAAACGGTACATCTGACACCTCCCCCCGATCGTCTCACAATCATTCTACTATTCGTGTCTCTCATTCTCAATCCCATTAGTGAATCTGCCCCTTAAAAAATTCATGTGGAAACAAGGAGAGCAATTTCACCTTACACGATTGTGGTGAAAAGAATCCTCAATTTTATGGAGAAAGTTTGTGGGATCAATTTAGTAGTCAATAATGGGTTTGCTAAAGTTAAGGAAGCAATCACAACTTTCATGTTCTTGGGTGGTTTTGTGGGCAAAAAAAAGTGAAAATCATGCAATTAAATCTCTCCCACCTTTTTGCCACCATGTAAATAAAATTGACTCTGCGGACTCTACGTGAGTTCAGCTTGAAACGTGCGATTTTCATTTCACGAGCGGGGATTTCTGCCTTTTTTCCTTCACCTCAACATTTTCTCACTCAGTCTCAGCTTAGGGTTGGCAAGATGTTTTCTCACCATAGAGTCAGGAGGAAAGATGTCGAGAGAACAGCACTGACAGACGGGGTCTTCTTTTTACTCCTCAGCAGAGATACAAAGGGATTTTAGAATTAATTGCATGTTCAGGAAGAACAGGTGGCATTTCTCACAATTTCCCACTGTATATTTTGACGTGTGACATTTTGAAAATCCCTTAAAGTATGTATTAATTGTTGAAAATAAATCCTGTATATATTCGAATATACCTACAATGTTTTATCAAGAATCTTCTAAATTGTAAAGTCATGATTCTTAAACTAAGAAAAAAGACAAATTGCATAAATTTTATAAATTCAATTTCTCGTCTTCTCTTGCCGAAATGTATTTCGAAGTGGGATTTCGCATGAACTTTCTCTGCAAAAATTCCCTGAAGTAATATTAGGAAAACGGTGGAGTATACGTCCTCCCAAAGCGACTTAAATTCAATGTTATATAGGAAATGTATTTGTTCCCACTTGTGGCAGAAGTTTCTGCGTCAGAAACTTGCCTCGATCAGTACTGGAAAATCCCAAGTTCTGCATTCAAGCTGAGCTTATTTTGCGCCTGGTTTTCCTCATTTTCACTCTCTCTCTCTCCCTTTCTCTCTTTGTCCGTCCCATTGTTTTCTCACACTGGCCCTCCTTCAGCCGCAATCCTTGGAAAGTTGGTGATTTCCTCTGGCCATGGAATGGCGCACACATTTTCAGTACCCATCAGCAGTATAAGAAAATTCTTTTCTCTCACCATATAAACAACTTGGTCTTTTCCGACATGGTGAGAAAAGAGAGTGAAAAGGATTTATTCTGATTAAACGATCCGACAAGAGGCTCTTGCTTGTATGTTTATCTTATAATCATTTCACTCTTTGCTAGGGATACGAGACGACCTCACCAGCTCAGTCCGAAATGACGGAGAGTGTGGGTGTCATCTCGAGTGAACCACCAAAATCGCAAGTGGGGATCTCCTTTTTGAGCTGAACTCAGCTCAACTGAGTGGATATATTCCAGGGACTCAATAAATCGTACCCATGTGGGGCAGGACAGTGAATCTGCATTAATTCATCGCAATTCTCTCACGCATTTATCTCACAACACCCAAGATTTATTCTCGCCTAAAATGCTTGCAGTCTCGTCAGCTCTTTGGGTGGTCGGATTAAAGGCGGAGCATAGGAGTTGCCTTTGAATTGACCAACATATTTATGCATCTTCCATAGAGAATCTCTTGGGGTGCATCACTTCAGGCTTCATGGATTCGGTTGGAGGAAGTGATGCACTCAGAGGAATTGTCTCAGAGCGTTTGTGGTGAGAAGTGAGGCGAATTTGGTCTCCATTCAATGAAAATATTGCCATTTGCACTCGCTCGGCTGCTTCCACCTCATCGTCAATCTCTCACCAGCCGCACATTATGATATTCCGCACTTGTTATGAAAGACTAGTGGCACAGGAAACAAAAAATAAATAAAAAATAGTGAAAAAGCTCAATCTCACCCCCAAACTATATAATAGCAGTCGAGTAGCTATTTCATATACACATGGAGTTAGGAAAAGAGTGTCCCAAAAAATAAACTACTGCCTTATTTAGATATTCAATGAAATTGAGTTTTTATTTGTCTTTTTTTCTTTGACTTCTTTAAACAAACCAAAATAAAATTATGCAATAAAGAAATTAAACTTTGTATATAGATGGAGGATTTTGTTATTTCTTACATTATTCATATTCTTGTCATTAAAGAAAACATTCAGTCCGTTTTAATTTTTGAGTGTTCTCTTAACTTTTGATAGACGGATTTTTCAATTGAAAATTACATTGACCAGCGATTTAAGAACTACGTGGAGAGTCCATTTTGCTACAGCAATACAGGAGTGATCGGTTTTTACAAGGGTTTTTACGACACCCTGTGCAACTTATATATGAGCTTATGCATGTAAAGAGACTTCCAACTGTACTATATGTGGCGTATTGAATGTATGTAGATACGTTTGGAGCCTTACGAGTAGCGAGAGCGAGACCATCGCCTCCGTTGGGTGTCGGGATGCTAGGAAAATCCAAAAGCACTGGGAATTGAACGGATACAACGATAATGGCACAGAAGGCGACAATAGACTAATTTCTCCGCAAGCGCATGCGTTGACCCAGACGACTCGATTTTGGCGGCAGTTACCACCGCGATGGGGTTGTGATAGCACGCTTTTAACCCTTGGCATCTCAATCACTATACTGTCGCATTCTTTGCACCCGAACAGCACAGAGTGTGTCGTGTGGGTCACGCAGTCTCGAAGTCTGGACTAGTGACGAGGATTTATGTCCTAGCCATTGGTGTGATGTGTAGGATTGCTTTCCCGCTCAAAGTCAAGAAGCAACTCAAAGAGTGTGTGGTTGTATCCTTGGAGCACGTCCAGCAAGTGCTGATATGAAGAGCGAGAGATTCACTCTAGGGATCTTGATATTAAAACGATCCGAAGAGAAGTGTTGAAAGGATATTTCCTCATGAGAGTGATGGTAGATTGATTGTGTGGAAAAATTCTTCCAGGAGCGTGAAAAAGGTACATTTTTCCGCGGAAATTGCAGCGAAAGCAACTCCTCCGAACGGTGATTCTATCGACAATACAATTAATCACGGTACAGTCGATAAAAATTCAATTCACTTGTATAACACAAGGACAAACTCGTTGGAATCTAATTATCTTGTGTATTTAAATGTAACGTGTATTTAATAGTTCTTTTAGTGTACACAATTCATCCACTGGACAAAGTGATAGATCTGTTAGTGCGATAGAAGAGGAAAAACTGTGGATCAAATTGAATTACAACGCGCCCCATAAAATTGTGCACGAGAGTGAAATTGCCAGGAATAGAAAACATAAAGAAAAAAAAACAGTGGATAAACAACCAAATTAGACAAATCAGAACACGAGAAGCTACTCAGAGAAAAAGAGAGAGTCTTTTGTGAAAAATGACAAATTTATGCTTAACATCAACTGTGCACTTACGATATTTGTAGCTAGAAAGAGATCCTGAGACGGACAGGAAAAGAGCATTGCATTTTGGAGTGTCATCCGCAGATACAAAGTACCACCCACTGGATATACTGTGTCCTAGCAGATAAATGGAAATTTCTCTTCTTATGAATTGAGACATCTTGTGTGTTCATATTCACTTTACATCACCAACCGCAGAAGCATAAAATTTTTCGGGTGCGTAAAAATTTCTCTACTTACCCTCGGTGATCCCTTCTTGATATGCGAGTGTTGTGCTTCTTTCTTAGTTTTTTCTCCCTGCTTGTGCCCCACAATTTTCACCCCTTTCAACACACTATGGCATCAGTGACATCGATGTTATAAAAAAAACTGTGAAATGAAATGTATAAGAGATTTTGCAAACTGCTCGAGTTTGTGAAAAAAATATTCACTTTTCACCTAAATCATAGTTAATAGACAGAAAAAGTGTTTTCAAATGGATATTCTCTTTTAATTAATGAACAATTTCGTATTTTCCTGGAGTTCGCATCTGGCATTGCGTCTAGAAGCTGTTGTTTTTTCTATTAATCTTACCAATCTTAATCTCTTGTATAATAGGGAGATTACGCATAAGTTACACACTGGGTCAATCGCATAAAAATAAAGTACCCACCCAGTTGACCTCAGAGCAGAACATAGGTCCCAAATGCTGTGAAATTTTAAAGCTCTCTAAGATATTATATTGCTCTTCTTGTGAGGTGCGTGGGCGAGATCGGGTAATAAAAAGAAGAAAGATGAGAGATAGATGTAGAGAAAAAAAAGCCATCAGCCCCCAATCTATAAGCACCCCAACCCTTGGGAAGGGTGGAAGGAAAATTTATTTTGTGCGGCATTATAAATGTTATTGTGTACCAGTATCAAATATATAAAAACATCTTCATGTCACCCTATACATCTATTTCTATAAACTTTCATAAAATACATATATCTTTCATCACAATATGTACCATGGAGTACTTGGGGGTTATATATTTACTTTTATTGCAAAGAATGAAAGAACGAACCACCAATGTGAGCACTATTTGCCTCGTAAAGTCAGCTGAACCCGAAAATTGTACAAATTCGACCGGGAGAGCGGTAGCGGGGGTATAAGAGAAAAGTTTTATCAGATAATCTTATCGCCCCCTCAAATGACTTTTTCTGTGTGTGAAACGGGATTTAAAAGTCAAGATGTGGAGTTCTCATTCTCACAGTGGATAAAAGCTGAAGAGGGTGGTAGCTTGTGTGCATAGGAGCAGCCCCAGCGAGAAAAGGGGAGAAAGAGTAGCTGGAAAAGAAGGGAAAATCACCCATCCAAAAAAACAAATTGTGTCTCCAGCACCAAATTGATACTTTCTCTGCAGCTCCTTCTTCCCCGTTTTTGTTCCCACATCTCCCTATCTTATATATCATCCCCCCTTTCCCCTAAATAGAGCACAGAACATGCTTGGAATTTTGTAAATTCAATTCATATGCCATACAAAAGAGATACTTTTGCTATCCACACAAAAAATCTGTAAACGACCAATTTTTATTCTATTTAATATTATTCTCTTTGCCTTTCCACTTATTCCTTTCTTTTTTGTCATCCCTTTGCTATCACCACCGCAAGAGATGCGAAATTGTACTCAATCCCACCCCCGGCGGGGCTTATTTGCCATTCCATTACTTAGAAGCTTGGAGCGCGAAGAGATGGTGGGGAACCAATTTTCATTCTTTCAATAAAACCCTAACGAAGCTCACAATTCAAAATTAAATATTATACATATTCGCGAAGAATGAAAAGGTGTTTTTCATATGCCACACAATCCACATAATCCATATTTCCACAATCCACAACATCGCCAACCGAGCCTCAAAAGGAGTATTTAAGTTACATAAATTATGAGAAACCGGATAAGCCACATTTTACCAACTACAAGCCACCCTTCTTGATCACCCTCGCGAAGGGCTGACAAATTAAAGTGATTCCAGCGATACTTAATTCAGCTGTGAGCCAGTGATTTATTCATTAGTCCATCGCTATTTCATGGGTTTCTTTACCAGAAAGAGACACTCTCAAAATTGGATGGAATGGACAAATACCAACACAAATTGAAATTAATCGTAAAATCTGCTTCAGGTATTCCACTGTTATTATCGCCGTGGCACAAAGTACCATCTTCTTCTTACAATTACATTGCTCACTTGTAAATTAAAGAATGATTAGAATTAGAATCGACTATTAGGGTAAATAGTGCGATACAAAGTGTGTCTCTTAATTTGTATATCACTTCTCAATACGGTTTTACTTCTTACTTTATCCTGCTCTCTTTCCCCTTTTAATGCCATCTCATTTCAATATGGCATTTATAGAATTTTTTTATCCAATTCCCGAAAGATGAAGGAGAAATCGAATGAATTTGCAAGACGGCAATGGGTGTTACGGAAGTTGATTTAAGGAATTAAAACTTTTCAATCCAACCTTCTTTATGTTTACACTTTTCTACCATCTTCCGCACAACATAAAGCTTAACATTTTATCTCCCACAAGGAACATTGGTGATTCTCTGCTAAAATTTCATACCGCAATGTATGTATGAGTTGTACAGACTTTTTCACACAACAAACAAGAGACAGAGTTTGAAAAACAAATTTCTACCTTGAGAAATTTTCTCTCAGTGTTTAATGAGTAAATGAAGACTGTTGAATTCGGTTGAAAAAATGATTAAAAGTGCAGTAAGAGATCATGAGAGTTGCTTTCTCAGTAGAAAAATGAGATATTAAAGTACTTAAGTCATTTTCTTCAAACTACGAACTTGGTTGAGGAACTTTCTTCATCAGCATAAAAGTTACCTCTTCAGGCGGCAAAAGCTCTGTTATATGTACCTGTAAAGGGGGAACTATGCACATTTAAGTGTTGTCAGCTAAATTAAGTTTTACACAAGGTGAACTGTGAAATGCAAAAAAAGGCAAATTTTTCTTTTTATATAAAAAAAGATATTGAAACAAATAAGTTAACAAAATAGTACTTCAGGTAGGTCAGTTCGTCTTCTTTTCATCCTTCTGCTTGTTTTTTTTTGGATACGTATCAAATTTCCACATATTTATGTGTTTTGTACAAAATACTATATATGAATTTCTCAAGAAAATACAATAATGTTCGGGAAAAATGTGTCCAATAGGAAAATATTTCTCTTTTATTCTATATAAACAAGCAATTTTTATTGATTTTCACTATTATATGATTAATTTACGAGTTTGATTCGAGGAGGACAATCTGATTAGAACAAAACAGATTAAACTCGTTATATTTCCGGGGTGATTTCGTACATATTTATTTTGCTAGCCTGAAGCTTAAAGCTAACAGAATGAAAGTGTGGAAAAGTGTTTGCGTTTGCAGAGAGGATATTGGTATTTTAAAATGCGATTGGACACAGTGTGGTGAACCGTAAAATCGACTTAGCATATAGTTTAGAGTGAATGTGAGGAGCGATTGGAGCTGATTGCGAAAATATTTGTTTTTGAATCTTTTATGTGTTCATTTCCCTGGCATAGTGCTGAATTATTCATTGAGGTTAAGCAGTTTGGGAAGCATCGGGACGACAAATGGGGTCACGAGGTGATGGGGTTGAAAAAAGGGCTGATGAAGTAGTTGGAAAGAAATTAGGGAATAGAGACAGCATGTAGGCTGTCTCACTAGCCCGATTTGGAGGGTGTATATGCTACCCACCCAGAGATTTGTGCGACATGGAAGAGACATACATTTGCGCCCACAGGGTGGCTGTGGGAGAAGCTGAAGTGATTTGCTGACGAGAAATTATCATATTACAATTTATATGGCACACCCACGCACTGAAGGTCTTCCTTGTAGTCGCAAGCATGGAATGGGAATAGTTTGTGGCAGCGAGAACTCTGGGAGAAAATTGTGAATTGTGTTAAGCACTGACGGCTATTATGTGAAATGTTATAATTGCAAATTTATTTCCGCTTTCATGTGACACATTCTTACGGATGCTCTCCCTGTGTGCGAAGATGAATTGTCTCCAGGCTGAAATTCGTGCTGCGGGTGGGATAAATATTTCAAGTCATCTGTCTACCATAACTAAATTTTCGGCACAAGGACCCAGGGTACACATGAGATACATATTTAAGCGTATGCAAAGCCCGAGTATTTGCGTAAGGAGATATAAATTTGCCAAAGAGCTTATTAGACGAGGTGTTTGTATTAACACCAAATTTCACACTCTCATTCTCATCGTCGGAATTACCGAGTGTGACGCTCCAAGGAGAAATCTCGGATGGTTTGCGCCAGCTATATTTCAGTCATACCAGCCAACGCGCGAAATATGAGCGGAAAATGTAATGGCGAACATTTCGGAGAGTGGCATGTATGGCAGAATAAAAATTATTATTTCCCATCTTATAAAAGGCACTGTATATCCCCTTGACTTAAGTGGCATCTCACTTAAATAAATAATCATTCACACTTTGCCATTGTCCTGAATATTCGCCCTAATTTTCAACACTATAATGCCAAATATTGCGGCCCAATTCAATGCGAATTCGCGACTACTTTAATAATAAAGAACACATAATACTTCAACAATAAACCTACATTCAGAATATTTCAGATTTTGTGGACTGCAGATAACTTTGATTTCAAACAAGTTCTGAATACTAAATGTTCAGAATTTATACGTTTAGTGTCGTATCTTTATGCAAGTTGTACATATATGTATCTCATTCTCATTTGACTATTTGCCTGGCAATTTAAGGCGAATTATCCACAAATGGTGCAAATTGACAACGCATGTCTCTCTGATAATATGAATTTAATAGCAATTTAATAGAAAAAATCCAAAGTTTGTGTGAAGAGACAAGGATAATAGAACCATTGAACCGCTCTGTTATTGGCTGATTGCACTGATTGCAGCAATGACACTAAATTTTTATGTCCTTTCTGTAGCATTTAATTCTATTACAGCATAAAATGCATCAAAAGGGTAAAATTTTCATTCATTCGAATGAATATCTCCTTTTCACAGACTCTCAATAACTCGTTCAATATCAACCCCACGAAATCATAGCGGGTTTCAAAGACCTTTTATCTGCGGTATCTTAAAGGGGAGTGGATGGTTTCTATTTTGTAAATAAATCATCCCGCTTAACAATAAGTTTATTGACGTGTTCTAGCGTAGATCTATCGATTTGAAAGTATATTCTATTCATAAACAACATGCATTGTGGCATATTTCACAGTATATTGTGTGGAAATGAAGTCTTTTTCATGCTCATTCAAAAGGCGTTCTCATTTTTCTTGCATTTTATCTCCCTTTTCTTGCATGATGCACGATTCACTACACCTTTTCTCTGTGCGATTTACTCACTGCTATCAAGTTGATTTGCGCCATAGCTCAATTAGGAGCTACAAATGTTTCTAAATTGTTGGATAACTTTTCCCCCTAAAATGCACGTAACGTACAAATTTACACCATACCCTCATTCATTGCCATAGGGAAAATTTTTGCATCGTCCTCGAATAGTCACGAATAAATTAATTTTCATGACGATGAAAATGGTGGTTTTCCAATAAATTCCATATAGCATTTATTCCATTTCGTAACGCAGCAATAAAATTAAGAGGAAGTTTAAATGCGGGTGAAATAAACGCTAATTACGAATTTTCACATGAAAATAGATATATTTACATTAAATGTTTATCACGTCAATCACTTCGAAATTTGTTGTACCATAAAGTGTATTTTATACCTGGTTTCAAAAATTCTTATACCATAAAACCCCTCTTAAACCCATTAATTCAACCATTATCTACAGAATTACCCGATTAAATCGTTTTAGTCATCAGCTTATTAATAAAGGCTTGTTGAAAAAGTCTTTTTAGCGTGACAATTTCACATCTACTATTTCAGTGAAATTCCAATGTATAAATCACCGTGACAGAGATCGAGTATTCTTTTAGAAGCGCCCATTCGAAGCAACAAAATCATGATTATATTTCTTGTGTAAATTACAACAGCCCAAAATAGACTGAAATTATAGAAATAATCCTCGTACAAACTCCTACTTATCATCTATCGCTTTTGCTATACCGTATTCTGCTAAAAATTTGCTCTATTCTATACCGTCAGACAAAGTTGCTCTCTCCCACTCATAGTGTATTATGTGAAAAGTTTTAATCCCGTGTCTCACCAAAATCAATTAGTAACAATGCAATAAATGATAGAAACCGCACGGTATTATTGTGCATACCACAAAGTTCTTCGGTGCAACTTTGCCACGATGCTCCTTAATCGCATTTTCAATTAAAGTTCTGAAACAAATCAATTAACAGATTTAGAGGTGTCAAGACGTATTTTCCTCTTTCTGGCAGTGCATATTTTTCAATCGAAAACTTCCCCATCGCGACTTGAAATCCCATCAATAAATGCTATTTATACATAGTCACCCTCTCCTGGACATATTTGAGGGAGTGATATTTTGGCTAGTGACCTTAATTAAAATCCGATGTTCAATAAATTTCTTCAGGGGATTTCCCTCGAGTTATTTAAGGACTGTGGCCATATCTCAACCCTCTATCGGCCCATAATGGATTTTTCAGGAAATTATAAAAGCTTTATAGGAGGTCTCTAATTTCCTCATTGTTCGCCCCCGTGTTCTTCTGTGACTAATACATACTCACACACTTTGGGAAGGCCTGGTTGGCTCTACTTCATTTATCCTCAGCAACAATATCTTGTGGGCCAGGGAAAGTGCGGAGCCAGCTAATCGTGAGGAGAACCATTAAAAGGACTCAAACACTGTTCCACATAAACACTCTCGAGGGTTTCGGCTTTTTTCCATTTCTCCAACTCCGGATAAATGTTGGGATACATGTACATAGAGGAGTCGGACAGCCCCACCGGGAATGTATTTCTTTCGGAAATAAATGGCATAAATTCATTTTAACATCTCGACACTGAAGTGGCGGCATGTGCTTATTAAGAGGGCAAAAGAAATGCTGAAAATTCCAATTATCTTGACGGTATTTTTACATTCGCGAAGAAAAGAATAGAGTGAGAGCGATGATATTTAAAAGAGTGTAAAAAAAATGTCCCGCAGTGCCACTTTTGACTTACGACACCTCTTGAGAAACCTGCAAAAAATCCCGCAGGAAGCGAAAAAACGGGAAGTGTATATGACATCAAATGTCACTGAAAGAGAATAATGGAACAATATAAGAGAGTGAGTAGATTGGGGAAATGAGAAAGAAGAACACGAGATTCTAAAAACTTCGTGAAACTGATGGTGGTTTAAGTGTGTTGTGATTCATAACAAGATCACAAAGAATTGGTTTGGGTAACAATGCAATCTTGGAAAGTTTCCTTAAGTGCATTTAAGGGACAAGGGGTGTGTGATAAGCTATCAGAAATACTCAAATTTACAATTGAAAATTCTTAACTATCCTAACAAACTCTTTATGGGATTTGAAATCAAATTTGTTGGAAAATGAGAGCAAGTATAGAAAACAAAGTAACCTGAGAACCATTCCTCGAGAATCACAACGAGTTGACATTTTTATCAGAGCAGAGAACAATTTCATTCATATTTGAGAGAAAAATTAAATCAACGTTTCTTCTGACTCACTACTTAAATCAACCCCAAAGTTTGATTCAATTTGCGTAAATGTCATTACTCCTCCGCACACCCGCCGCCCACCTTCCGTCATCTGTGCCACGATGCACACAAGAAAATGTGGATATTCGTCCTCCGCTTCCCAGCGCTTCTGAGACTACCCCCGGATTCGTTGCTGAGGGCATGTTCTACTAATATTTTGTACCATCACGAAGGAAGTTTCTCGGTGTTCCGCTAACATACCAAAAAGCTACAACATCGAATTGCGACTTTGGCAAATTTTCACTCGCCCTTGTTCACATTTACCAGCTCTAGCGAGATTCGAGGGTGATGAAACAGCAAAGGAGTTTAAGAATATTGGTCCTTGTGTATTCACGACTTCTCTTAAAAATATTCTCCCCCTTAAACTAAAAACAGTCTCGGCCTTGGGGACGAAAATAAATTTATCCTCCGACAGCATTTACACAGGGCAGATTAGCCTAATCAACTTCCGATTAAGTTAAAATATTTATATTTTCGCCGAAATTTAATCATCACGTATTATTTTCTCGCAAACCCTCACTCATCGTTAAGCTTTATCTTGAATATTTGACGATGGCGACGACATGAAATGTCGCACATCAAATTTGTGGGGAAACTTAAATGCGCTCCTTGGAAAAATTGCTCCAAAATAGAAAATCAATAAGTGGGGTATTTAAATAGCTGGTGGCATATTTAAATTGCGGAGTCTCACTGAGAGATTTATCAGTGAAATTTGCAAATCAAAGACAATGGGTGGATTGAAGAGAGTACTTAAATTTCATCATCATTTGCATATTAATTACGGAAATAATTACTTATTGACAAAGAGATTTTCTGACTTGTTTTCAGATTTTTCGTGCTGATTTTCATGTGGGTGCCTTCAAAAGGAATCTGTAAATGTGTTCATATCTTAGAATCCCATTTACATTTTAAAACCCTTGATTGATCTCACAATTTTGATAAATTCGTGTGATTGATAGATAAAACTTTATTCATTGTTTTCAATTCAATGAACTTCCCTCCGTGAACGTTTGGAATTATTTTTGAAATATTTCATCAAACATCTGTTGCCTACTTAATATTCAGAATACGATTATAAGGCAGGCGATTTAAGTTCAGAAAGTCGCGTGAGGTTTAGCGACTAACCTCTCGACATGTGCCAAACAATAGAGAGACTTTCCAATTGATTTCGGGGCTAATTGCAAATTTCCCGGCAAAATCTTTTAGTCACGACATCCTGGCCTTTTTGCCGTCACTCCTGACTAATTGTTCTCTTTTTTCTCAACCAACTGTCTCTTTCAGAACTCAACAGCACACACAGCAATCAAGGAGCATTCAGAAAACTGATGTTTAGTTAACTCACCGGATATATTCTCTACTATAGACATAAGTTACTATACGGAAGGAAAATACATGTAGTGGGAAGAGAGACATAAAAATAAGAACAAGGAAGACTGAACCCTATGAAAAGAAAACAATTAAGAAATAACACAATTTTTTGAAATGTTTCCAAGTCAATAAGCTAAAAGAGCAAGCCTCTTTGTTATAAATAACAATAAGAATAGAGCAATATTAACTTACATATGTGTTTTGCGCATTATCTTTCACTGTATAAATTGCCATAGTTGAGGGCACATAGCAGAGCGTGGCTGGGGTGGTGGAATTCGGATGGCGAAAATGTGGTGTGAGACAGAACGGGAAAAAATGCTTGAGCAGATAGAAGATTTTTCCATGATTAAGCAACAAAAACAAGACGAACGGCATTATGTACGAAAGCAATGGTTGAGAGCTGAATAATTTTTCAAACTTGGCTCCAACAAACACCAAGACGAGAAGGCGAGCAAGGGGAATTTTTATATATCTCACATACATTGCATTGAGAAGAATAAATAACAGAGTATTAGAAAGGCGAGGGTGGCGGTGGGTGGTGACAGAGCGCGAAAGGGCGCGCAAGCGGGGGCCCGGGGGTCGCCCGGGACGAGCGAGGCTGAACTGACGAGGCGAGTGAGATGGGTGGCATTTCATATGGTACAAGGGACTGTTAAATGGTAAAAGGCGGACGCGGGGGAGTAATAATGAATAACGTAAGTGCGGATTATTTATGGGAGTTTTCAGTAATCACAATTGAAAATGGATCTGCGAATGCGAGCAGTGAGAATGACGAATACATCTTCCTCACGGCACTCACCACCGCCAACTGCTGCGTCACGCAGCCCAACTTTGTGGCATACATGGACGCCCTGTCCAACGACAGCCTGGGCCTCCTCGTCTTCCTACTTCTCTTCTCCGTCACCACAGTGTTCGGCAACACGCTCGTGATTCTGGCCGTGGTGCGGGAGCGCTACCTCCACACGGCTACCAACTACTTCGTCACCAGTCTGGCCGTGGCGGACTGCCTCGTGGGCCTGGTGGTGATGCCATTCTCCGCCCTCTACGAGGTCTTGGAGAACACATGGTTCTTCGGCACGGATTGGTGCGATATCTGGCGCTCACTCGACGTGCTGTTCAGCACGGCATCCATCCTCAATCTGTGCGTGATCAGCCTGGACCGCTACTGGGCCATCACCGATCCCTTCACCTATCCTATGCGCATGAGCCGACGCCGGGCAGCTGCCCTCATCGCTGTCGTGTGGGTGTGCTCGTGCGCCATCAGCTTTCCCGCTATCGTGTGGTGGCGCGCTGCCCGCGAGGGCGACATGCCCCCTTTCAAGTGCACCTTCACCGAACACCTCGGCTACCTCGTTTTCAGCTCCACCATCTCCTTCTACCTGCCGCTCCTTGTGATGGTCTTCACTTACTGTCGCATCTACCGGGCTGCCGTGGTGCAGACGCGCTCCTTGAAGCTGGGCACCAAGCAGGTGCTCATGGCCTCCGGGAAGCTACAGCTTACGTTGCGCATCCATCGCGGGGGTACTACGCGAGAAGGCCTCAATATGCACCACCACGCTTCCACGGCTACATCCACACCTGAGGACCCCGAGGAGGAACCCCTGTCTGCGCTCCATAACAACGGCATCGCGCGTCATCGTCAGATGGGCAAGAACTTCTCCCTGTCGCGCAAGCTAGCCAAGTTCGCGAAGGAGAAGAAGGCCGCTAAAACGCTGGGAATCGTCATGGGTGTCTTCATTGTGTGCTGGCTACCCTTCTTTGTCGTCAACCTGCTATCCGGCTTCTGTATACACTGCATAGCTCACGAGGAGATCGTATCGGCTGTCGTTACATGGCTCGGCTGGATCAATTCCAGCATGAATCCCGTCATCTATGCATGCTGGAGTCGAGATTTCAGAAGGTAATCCATCACACAAAATCCCACGCCCTATCTCTCCACTCCCATCGCTCAGTCGTAAGGGTGGAAACTTTTCCTGAAATTTTAAACAAACACTGCTTGGGCACATATTTTCCCTCCGCTGTTAAGCGATAGGTCAATATTGAGAGGGACAAATCGCCCGGACCTACACCACAGATTCAAATTGTCCCAGTCTATCTGGCTAAAACACCTTGAAACGCCAAGTTGAACGAGATTTATTTTAAATTTTCTCTCCAAATTCTTGAATCCTTTTCTATTTTTTTTAAGACTGCAACAGAGCTTATTATTTCAAGTAGAGAAGTGCATTTGAGAGGTGAAGAATCTAATAATATATATTAATAAATGGCCATTTTTAATGTCTGTCTGGCGTCGACTAACTTAATAGTCTAGTAACTGAAGTGAAGCAGTATTTCATTTAAATTTCATTACCACCTGTGGCCAATATAAATTCTTCACCAAAAATAAGCTTCACATTAAACTTCCTTTATCAATAGAGTTTGTCACGCTTCCCAAAATATAATTCGCCATGGCAATTTCTCTATAGTCTAAGGGAAACGTAATTTTTATCAACTTTACGCCTTTTATCAATTTTCCACTCAAAGTTTCGCGATGTCTTCAAAGAGCTCCAAACCATTAAAATTGATTTATTTCAAGAGTTCCTTGACTCCCATTGTCGCAGAAATGCAAAATTTCGTATGCCTAATTATGAAATTTTCCCCATGAATCACTTTGAAGTATTTTTCTTTTGCCAACTTGAGATAACATAAGAAGCTCGAGTATCTTCCAGAAAATGCGAGGCCACCTCCACATTTTGATGCCCACGTGAGTTCTATTCTCTTTTGCTGAATACTCCAAAATTTAACCTGTCACTCTTCAGTCCAAGAAGCTTTCGGGCTTGAGCTCACTTTGACGCTTCAGTGTGGGAATTCAGCCACCCCGTCACTCCATAAGTTCAATCTCAACGTGATTTGCAACACTCCGGACGAACACATTAAATAAGAGATGAAGTGCCGAATAATTAATATTCAACATGAAATAGTCATTTGGCACTGAAACATTTCACAGCAATGTTTTCTGTATTTTATACAAACCCATGTAAATAATGCAAATGTTTTAAATACTCGGCCGTGCAATTAAATCTGTTAAAAGTCACTTTTCAGGTGTGTTGTGCTCCTTCTACAACTCATTTAGACAGCAAATATGGAGCTTTTTCGCTCAATTCAATTACAAAATCCAGCATTTCACTGCATAGCTTTTTCTCAGCTCCCCTCCTCGGTGAAAATGCGATTAGGAGTACATTAACAAATTTCCCCAATGTTTCTCCCCAAGCGTCTCTATGCCTAACGTTTCTCACGACAATTTGATAAAGTACATCGAGGGGGTGGATTTAATACATAAAAATTAAGTAAATTGCTTTTTTTCTTCTCTCCCACTTTTACACGCTACGTCGCCAACGACGTCCCGTCACTCCTTGGCAAAGTAGAGCATTCCTCCGGATACTGTGTGTATGCTGTCCTCGGAAGCTCCGGCGGAAATATCAGCCAAAAATGAAATCAAAATCTCTGGTATGTAAAATGTAACGATTTAAAGAGCATCTCCAACCATTGTTCATTCTCATCAAATGATTATGTAATAAATGTTTGTATATACGAGGCATGAAATGTTCCATTCATGGCCTAAACCGCAGTTAAGTCATCCATTGACCTGCCCACCCAACCACCTCCCCATGGCCCGCCATTATTTGTGTTTTGTGAGCCCTTTTGCGGGGGCGCAATGTTTAGATTTCCAGCAGATACCATATAATTCTCTCAATTTCAAGTGGACACCCAACATTAAATGCAAATAACATATTTTGCCCGGAGAAAGAGATGTTATATTAAAAGCGTGTTGAAATGCATCACCCCTCAACCCAGTCATCGACACCCCACGCCCTCCAGTCCAACTACTGTCGGCTGAAAAGCACAAAAATGAGTTTCCCCCGGCCATTTTCCACTCATCTCTCTCCTCATTTTCTGCACTTTTTCATCATTCACCACTGCGCACGGATGGGCGGAGAGTCGGGTAAAATGAGGAAAAGCACAATGCATATATCATTATAATTTGGCGCACACAACAAAACACATCATAAGTCTTTGTTTATGCACAAAAATAACTCTCACCATCAATTTTCATCAATTATTTTGTCAATAAAATTATTTATACGCCACTGAGTTACACACAAGTCGATAAATAGCTTGTACATACATATATGTACAGTATCTATGTCGTATAAATATTTTTATTCGTCATTTCATCACTGCTCGCACTTCCGCATCTCCCTACCACCATCAACTATTTTGTGCAATTTTTCGTGCCAATTTATTCAGAGATGAATCAGAAAAAGGGGTGTCTCAGTGGCATTATCGCGATGTAGTATATGGGACGGAAATTACTTGGTTTTGCATAAATTAGAGATAGTAGAAGATTCTACGATATACGATCCGACACATGATGTTATGCATAAAAATGCGCTTATGAAGTGCACACAATATTCCAAATGAAATCATTTTGAAAGGAACAAAAAAAAAGATATAAATGAATAAATGAACACTGCTCTCTCAATTTAGCTTTCAATATGAGATTAGGAAGACACTTACCATCTCAATTGGACAGGACGAGAGACTGAAATAAACTGCAACTAGACGTGGTTTTATTCAAAATTTAACGAACAATCAATATCGTATTTTCATTCAATTTGCAAACGTATAAATAGAGTTTGGTGGTGCATGAAATGCTATCAAGTTTGACAGGAAGTGTAGATAGAATAATTCTTGATCCCCTTCGTTATACATATACATAAATCGAATTGAAAGGCAACTGGAAGAGGTCATTTAAGATGCACGACTGTGTTAGCATTTGAGTGACTGAGACACCCCTCGGGGCGATATTGTCTGTTGGATTTTCAAATGAAATTTCCGTCTCTTGCAGAGAACCACAACACGTCGATGTTACTCATCTTGTTCCTTACATGGAATACAACATGTCCGTCAGAACTCTTGTGAACAAACATACATATAGTTAAGTCCCCTTGATACACCTTTTACCTCTTTCAAACAAAAGTATTTTTCTCTGTTTTATATCAATGAATATATAAGATAAATTGTACCGACCATCATTGTCATACTTGAGAGACAGGTGGAAGTTAATGAGAGATTTTAATAGCAATGGAGGCAATGGGTATCTTGTAGAGAGGAGCAATAACTCTCCCGGACAAACTGATTAAGGGTATATATTTTCACTATCTCTCAACCTCACTTCTCATCCATGATGTTGGATGGCGAGGATGGAAATGTCGGACAAAATGGGATTATTTGTATATAGAGCATTACTAAATGTGTATATAAGTGTATTCTGTGTATTATAATGTACAAGATGATGAGAGAAAAACAGAAAATCTCGAGTAAACTGTGCTACCTCTTTTCTGGACTCATCCCAGCCTGCCGTCGTAATTCATTCAGGTCGTCATCTTCCGAACTGTCGTCAATGGCGAGAATTCGTGACTTTTTCGCTTTTTTCCCACGACCCCGGGATCTTTTCAACCTCTTGCGTGCTCGTAATATTGCCTCCGCTTGGCTCAGAACCGACAAATCACTGTCAGACTCATCCGCCTCTTCCACCACGAAGCTGTCGTAGATGTATTCCGAAACCTCTGGTGGCTGGGTCTGCGAGAATACATCTGTGATGTTCCGGTATTTGTCCGGATGTGGTATCCTGAATCCATTACGGGTTGGACTCCGCACAGACTGGAGATACTTCGCTTGCATATCATTCTCTATATCGAGCTGCTCCAGTTGCTCGTCCTCATCGCTGCTCACGACAATGGAGTCCAACAGGCAAGTATCATCCTCATCCTCCTCGTCATCTCCCGAACCGGCAGCCTCGAAATGGATAAACGCAGGCTGAGGTTGCCTTCGACTACTCCTTGACTCCTGAGTCTCTGCCACGTCTTGTGAATTTAAAGCACGACAAGTGCTGAACTCGTGATGCTGCGTATTCGATATATCGCCCTCCTCCGCCTCCTGGCATGTGGCGAAAACTTCACTGCTGCCTTGCTCAGATATTCCCCGGGACAGGGTGGTGCATACGGAGTTTGTCTTGCTTGGCAAATCATCAGTATTGTTATTGGAGTGTTTCAATCGGGAGTTCACGCTCCTGCCACTCAACAAAGACGGTGAAGTGAATTCCTCCGTATATTCATCATTCTGAGGTGGTGGGGTGGAAACTCCCAGCAGATCCCGCTCAAAAATACACCCATTGCCGTTGAATATATCTTCAATGCTCCCCAAATTGAATTTATTGTCAGAGTCACTGGATGATGTTGAGCACAATTGTAATCCTGGATTACTCTCAACCTCCGTACCATGACCAACGTCTGCCTTCCTTGCCACCGGGCAACCTTGTGCCCTACGATTTCGACCCAGTGGTACATTTTCCTGCGAGCAGGGAATCACCTCCTCACCATCTGACACATCATCATGTGATATATCTTGGGCAATTTCGTTCAGCATTCCATCTTTACACGTCCGCATATCCGACTCATCACACCTTCCATTGCTCTCGAACAATTCACTTAACGATGATATTAGGTAGAATGACAAAATTGTCTCACCACAAATTGATTTGCGCGTCAGGTCATCATCCTCAGGCGTGCTGTGGGCGTCTATGAAGCCCGTGTTGAGATCAGAAACGTCGAATATTATCTCCTCCTGCTCCTCACTTATTCCCGCCATCTCCCACGATGCACAACCGTTGAGCTTCTTCATAACATTCTCGAGAATTGAGGCGAAGTAATCAACGCGATGTTGACTGGTGGCCACATCTTTCTCCAGCAATTCAAAGAATCCCGCTGGCGCCTCACTGCGCGCTTTTCGGTGGCGCTCGAGCAGTTCCCTGAAAAATTCCTTGGCGTGTGGCACTAAATGACTTCCTCGGATGATATTGTCTAGATTGCCATCCTGAACATTGGAGAATTGTTCGCTCTTCAATTTCTCCACCCGCTGCAGAATCATATCCAATGGCATCGAGGTGAGCACAGGAATGACATCACTCGCTGGTGATGCGAGGACCACGGAAATGTCGTTCTCATCGCTATCCCCGCACTCCTGGGGTTGGTGTGAGCTCTTCAGTGGCACATTTTTGAAGTAATCAACAATATTGCGCGCTGCACCCTTCGTTTTTTCACCCTTTCCGCCCAGCGAGGGTGTTAAATTCACCGGATTAAACTCAACAGGCACTAATCGAGGCGTTGCACACGCCAGAGCTTCCATTACAATAGGATTCCGATCGATCTCCCCAGTCACATCACCCCTTTCGCGCCACAATTCACTATGGGCCAGCGTGTCGGCCCCCTCATGCACAGCCACAAGTATTTGGCATTTTTTCCCACCACACGATGACACTCGACTCCTTATGAATTGCTTCAGATGCCGCCCATTTGTGTCGTAGCAAATTATTAAATCCACTTCATTCACAACACCCTCGTCTGGTATGCTGGCGGTTATGATGGTGTTTATGGTGCCACGGATAAATTTCAATCTTGTGCAATTTCTTTCGCTCTCACTCATCTCATGCGGCTGAAAGCTCACAGATCGCAGTTGAGGACATTTTTGCCGCAGACACTGATGTATCAGTGGCGTTGTCTTAGGACAATTGCTAAATATTATGAGGCGTGACTCCATATTTTTCTGCAAAGACAGAGAGAGAGAGAGAAAGAGGAACCCACAAATGGTAGGTATAAATAAAAAATGAACATGAGAATCCAAGAGATTGAGAAATATTTTTCACCACATGCCGTTTTGTACAAGTCATGTCGGTGGTGAAGAACAAAGAAAAATGAAATGGGAAAAAAGACAATATCGGAAGAACATTAATTAAATAAGAAAGCGGTGAGGTTGTTCTTTTTCAATTTCTCTCAACCAAACTCGCAAGTTCTCGTTCGCTCCATTCAACACTGATTCGGCAGAGTAGACATGGAACAGAAGAGCTTTATAGCTATTTTTAGCAACGAGATACCGCAGTATTGAATAGAACGCGCTATATTCGCAGAAGTGAAGCAGTAATCATAGCTATAAGGGCTATAAATATTAATTCAAACATATACCTGGAAATGTTCCATCAGAACTTTTTCCACCACAGCGATCTTTGGATGTCCTGCGATGATATTGTCGTACAGCTCTTCATTCAACTTGAAATTATCCATTTCACTCGCCCTCAAGCATCTTGCAAAAGTATTCTTCAGCTCCTGCATAAGCTTCCTCAGGCTCTCACCTCCGATTCTTGTTCCCCTCTGCACTGACTCACTGTCGAGATGAGCCAGAAAGCTGACCACTCCGTAGTCATTCAATAGTTCCACTGCATGATAAAGTTCGATGCAGACATCGATATTAGAGAGGATTTCAGTATAATTCGATGGCTTTTGAGTCAAACTTGTCTCAATGTACTTCTTCTTTGCCGTCGTCAGTTTTGCCTTCGAGAGAGAGCCAGACACGTTGACATTGACGAGCACAGCGCGCAAGAATGGATCAATGGCACTGAGGAATTCATCTCTAATCGCTCGGAATTGCTCTCTCGCCTCCGCCTCAAGCGGTCTGACGCTGCTCTTGCTAACATATGCCGCAATATCGGGAGAGCTTTCATGTCGAATTTCCAAATTCGATATTCGCAGATTCTTCACAACGTCCACCACTTCAGTGGCTTTCTTGGCCATCACCGACGTCTGAGCCAATATGCGAAAATATTCATTTCGCTCACCAAGGAGTTCAATAATGTGTGTATAGGGATTATTGTTTCCACGTGCTTTGTGCGCCTCCGTGACCACTAGCAGCTTGATCCGCACAAATGGTATGTCCGGGAGCTCCCTAAAGTCCGACAACATCTGACGTGGTGTGCCAAATATCACCCGATGCCTCTTCCACATGTCCAGCCGTGCCGATGGAGTCTTGCCTGTGGAATTACGGGAGTAAATAAATAAAAATCAATTAAATGGAGCCCAACCATTACCTGTGATTTCCACGCAATCTCCCCTTGGGATGTTCATTATATTTGAACACGCTTCCATTTGTCCCTTCAGAACGGATTTACTGGCGCTCAGGAAAATTACCTTGCTCATTGGATACCACCGATAAATGTTGTACATTACGACCGAGGCTATAAATGACTTCCCCAGTCCATCCGGCAGCACAACGAGGGTGTTTTGGAAAAATGCCTCCATACATATTTTATACTGATACTCCCGAAATGGGTATTTATCCGTGCTCCTGGGATATACATAGTTGGTGCCAGCTTTGTCGTCAAACCCCTTGAACTCGGCCTCAGTCCTGAGAAGTCCTGACCTGTTCACCTCCCGGACAGCAAACTCCGGGCGCACGGCTGCAAAACAAAAGCATTAAAGTAAGGTTAGCCCACCTGTTGTTCTTATTCATGCCCACATTGCTGCATTCCTCTCCTATATTCTCCTGCAGTAGAATGCCAATTAATCGACAAACACCTCACGACCACCCAATTCATCCCAACAATGCTCAATTGTCCATATATAATTGCATTACTAATCAACATTGCAAACTTACATGCACCTCTGTTCATCAGCACATCACCCATGACATTTAATCAAATCACACTTAGTTGATCGTCAGCAGGATGTATTCTCGAAATTTCGCTACTCAGAATAATAATAAGAGGCCAAGAAATCAAATAAATTCACTCTCAAAAGCACCATTGAAAGCAGACAGCGCACAAACGATAGCAAATACAACAAAACACTGGAGGTCTGCGCCGGATCACTCCATCATTCATTCTAAACAAACTTGTTTATACATACTAAAAACATAAAAATTCGCCTTATTTCTTGGTAAAAATAACCATGACCATCCACAGATTTGTGTAGTATTATTATGAATTACGGGAATTACATGATTTACTGAATTCTCTAATACGTTCGCCGAATCCCGTCAAAGCCAAAACTGACAACCCAAAGAGGATGCGCCTGACGGTGGGCAAAACGTAAATGAACTTGAAATATTAACCGTTTCCAAGGAAATCTCTCGTTGTTTAATATCGAGGAATTGTTATTAGTTTTTGTTGCCTGTCGCAATCGTGTGAGAGAAATTGCCAACTGTAATGAAATTGAAAAAGTTCTACTTGCGTTACTATCCACCAGGTAAAATTTAATCCAACAACTTGATATAATTATCAGTGAGGCCAAGCTTCAGGCAGAGTTGATGTCGCTTCGACTTTCCATAGAATTGAAAAATTTGTGGTGAAAAGTTCATTATCAATTGAACTCATTGGGGAATGTGGAGTGAAACGAGAATTTCATCATTAGGAGAATTGTTAAAGATATTGGCATAATTGGTAAATTGCAACATCAATCTGAGTTAGTGGTAAAAGCTTTTCGGTGCTCTTGCCCAAAAATTCACAGAGCGATTGGCATTAGAAGGACGTCGTTATAAATGTGGAGCTCTACAAATATCAATATGGAGTTCTTTCACAGGATATATGAATAAATTCGTCTACATTCCCCCGCCATACAAAACAGTTTCAACTCTGCCACCATCGCATAGCAATAAAGTACATTTCCATGCGATTCTTCTATTGGAATCTATTTAAGGAATTGCCCTGTGCTTCAGCAAAAGCAACATTGATGAGGTAAAAGTAATCAGTTTGCATGATTTAACAACGCAAACGGATGTTGGTAAATTGGCAGAGAAGATTTCCGCCTCTGAGACCCTTATAACACCCAATGTTATGCCGCAACTTATTGATTTGCTAATTAAATTGCAAAATAAGTTGAAGGAGCCGGTGAAGAAGAAATTCTACATACATAAAACATTCAACACTCACGTCTTGCCCATCACGAATGTCTGCTTCGACAAGTCTGGCCATCGATTTGCTACAGGTAAGGCCAAACTTTTGCCAATAACGCCAATAACACTCCTTTGGATGGGCGGTAGGAATAATCTCATATTCAAATGAACATCCGTCGCTCTCCAGGCAGTTACGATCGCACGTGCAGGGTGTGGAACGTGGAGGCTGGGGTCGAGGAGAGCATCTTGCGTGGACACGAGAATGTGGTGTTCGCCGTGAACTTTAACACGCCAAAGTGGTGAGAAAAATGAAACACTTTTGAATTCTCACCCACAAACGCCCACTCACATTCTTCTCTGTCTCGCCAGCGACCGCCTCGTGACGGGATCGTTCGACAAGACGGCCAAGGTCTGGAATGCATCCTCAGGCGCCTTGCTCAGAACCTTCCATGGTCATGCCAATGAGATTGTAGCCACGGAATTCAACACGCACAATGATGATGAAATAGCCAGCGCTTCCATGGACGGCACGTCGCGAATATTCCGCGTGGAAACTGGCCAGGAGACTCACAATTTGACCGGACACGGCGATGCTATTATTTCAGCTCGTTTCGACAATGAAGGTCATCTTCTGCTTACAGGATCTTTCGATAGCACGGCAAAGGTGTGGGATTTGAGGAGTGGCAGGTGAGGCTATCATAGGAAGAAAAAACAACAATTTTCCACCAAATCCATAAGTTATAGACCGAGAAACGTTTTAACGTGAAATTTTTCTGCCCATCGAACCTTCTGCTCTGTCCGCTCTGTCCGCTTGATGACCAAATAAAGAGATTTCATGAATTGAGCCTATTTCGGGCGAATTACCGCACATTACCGAAATTATATGGTCGTTTATGCACATTGAGAAAATCACAGAGAAATAAGAAATCATTTGCAATTAGAATAAATCAGCACCCCTAATGAGCTTCCCTGTCCCACAGAGTATATAGACATCATCGACAAAATTGTTGGACTCCATCGAAAATTACCCCCAAGCGGATAATATGTATGATGAAGAAGGCCAGAAAAGAAGGAGAGATGTAATTAAAATTGTAAATCATTTTCACACTTTCATTGTTGAAGGGAAACGACATATTTTTCATGTTCTCCCTCCCATGAAAATGCTACCGTTGTGCTTGAGTGACCAACGAAAGCAAATAAAAGTTTTGGATTATTTGCTCATCTCGGGGAGAAAGAGAGAAAAGTGAGTGAAAACTCCCACAGAACATTAAACTTTTCACAACTTAGAGCCACACAGCCACCCTCTGAGTGGCACTTGAACGAATTTGAGCATTGTTCTCATTAGACAAGGAGAAGGTGTGTGCTTAATTCATCAAGAGGCAGTAACTCGACAAATTTTGTACGTAGGCAAACTACTCCAATATTTACTCCCATTTCTGCTGCTTCTATTATTATTATTAAATTCCTTCGCCTTTCATGGGAAAATGTAATAAAAAAAAGATCTCGTTGAGAAGATACACTTTTAAAGTCAAATACGACGGAAAATTCTCTGCGTCACAATGTCAATCACGTATCTAATGCATAAATTTACCAACTGCTCCTTTTTCGTCTCCATGTACAATCCTCCTCAAAGTTTTCTGCGAATTTTCCTTCCACACCCCTTTTATCATCTTTTCCGCATTCTTTGTACTTTATGGTATGATTTCTAGAACAAACATTTTATTATACAATGAATACGGAATGTTTTTGCTCCTCATTATACCTTCAAGCAAATACCAAGAAATTTGCTTGAGCTATCCTTTCTATTATACAAATTAATGAGGATGAATGTATAAAACAAAGATAATGTATCCTCAGGGATGTCATAACTTTCAACGGCCACAATGGGGAGATCAGCAATGCAATCTGGAATATCAACTGCAAAATGATAGCCACGGGATCTCTGGATAGTACAGCGCGACTCTGGGATATTAGAGAACGAAAGACCCTTTACACAATTGATGATCACTCTGATGAGGTTTTGGACGTGTCCTTTGACTACAGTGGCCAACATTTGGTAACCGCAAGTGCAGATTGCAGCGCAAAACTCTGGAACATTGCTGGCAAAGCAGATAAAATCGCCACTATGACTGGCCACACCGATGAGATCTCCAAGGTCTCCTTTAGTCCTCCTGGTCTCATGATCCTCACCGCATCTGCCGATCGAACAGCCAGGATCTGGACTCTGGATGGAACGTGTTCTCAGGTTCTCAGCGGCCACACCGGTGAGATCTTCTCCTGCAGCTTCAATTACATCGGTGATACAATTGTTACGGCATCCAAAGACAACACGTGCAAAATATGGAGATGATTTTGTTGGTATACAGTGTAATTGCTGTAAACACCAAATAATTTTAGTAAGAAGGTAAAATACAACACCACTAGCGGCCCCTGGAGTGGCGGAACGGCAGCACCCCTTTAATTTTCTAGCAGATTTTGCTCAATTTTGCTCAGGTCCACGTGACGACATGCGCGCTGCCTCGCGGATGACAGCGATTGACAGCGTCCTGAGGAAAATTGTGTTTTTATCGTGATGGAAAAATTACGCGTGTTTTTTTAGTAGAAGTTAGTAAGAAAATTGTACATAGTGTAGTTAATTGAATGGCGTACACGTGGGCCGACAATGTCCACACTACGGCCTTCACGCCAAGGGATTATCAGGTGGAGTTGCTGGCGGCGGCGTTTGAGGAGAATGTTTTTGTCTGCATTGAGCAAAACTCCTCCAAAGAGTTCATTGCCCTCAAGCTCATCCATGAGCTGGGCAGTGATCTGCGACGAGAGGACACCCCTAAAGCGACAATCTACCTATCCAGCGAGAGAAATGGGGTCTCAACATACAATCTCGTCTACCACCTCACAGACTTGGAGCCAATGAATTGTTGTGAATTCGAAGAGCCCAAATTGAAAACGGAAGATCTTCTCCGGAAGGTTGTGATAATTGGTCCGCAACAATTTTTAGCCCTCTTGGAGAACAGGGTGTTAGGAATTGATCAAATCAACCTCATCGTGGTGGAAAATTGTCACAAGATGACCTTTTCGAAGGATATTCAAGAAATTTTTGTTAGGTTTTACAAGAAAACTCCAAGTAAACCCAAAATTCTGGGCTTAGCGGGTCCTTTACACAACGCTGGGTGTCCACTAGGACGCCTGGGGGCAGAGATTGAGTGTTTGGAACAGTTTGTTCACTGTCGTGCAGAAACTGCCAGTGATATCGTCACTCTTCTGCGTTATTGCACAAAACCGCAGGAGATTGTTGTCCAGTGTGCTCCTCTGTCCTGTGACGAGTTGACATTATCCCTGACCCAGTTGGTTCAGTCAAAGATAGACTATCTCTCGGATCATCGGTTTGATCCCATGGAAATCTACAGTGACGAATACTACGATGAGCTGAAGAGTAAGTTCTGCAATCGCCAAGAATTATCAACAGATATTTGATCTTTGGATGCTTTTTAGACATTCCAGACCCAAAAGCTGAACCCCTAAGTTTCCTGGAGGATTTCCTGCAAGTGCTGAAGGAATTTGGCCCATGGTGTGCTGATAAGGCAGCCCTTGCGCTTCTCATTCAAATTGAGAAAAGCAAAGTAAAAACTCCCTACGAAAGACACTTTCTCTTACTATGCATGACTTCTACTACCTTTGTCCACGTGCGGGCATTCTGTGATAGCTATTTTAGTCAATTATCCAGTGAACGAGAACGCATCGGCAAGTATTCATCACCCAAAGTTCTCAGATTGCTCAGCATTCTGCGGTGCTTCAAGCCCGATCCCAAGCATGTGGGCAAGCTAAGCGAGACCCAAATTAAGGAAAATGGAGAAAGTGGCGAAGGAATAGCCCAGCTTCTTAAAGAAATTGACTCATTAGATTTCAAAGGACTCACTCTGAGCAGTGAACAGATTGAGGAGCATGTAAATGGAATGGTAGAAATTCAAGAATCATCTAAACTAAAGGATACTCTGAGGAATATAACTGAAAAGACCTTAGATGTGCAACCAAATGCCACAAACTCGCCGTTGAGAAGTGAAGGAAGGGTGCCAAGAATGCGACGAAAGAATCTGATGTCACATAGCCGGCAGCATCGTGGAGCCAACAGTCAGTCAATGGATCCGGATGCTCTCTGTGGCCTTGTATTTTGTGACACGGAGTTCGCCTCTAGAGTTCTCTTCTCGCTATTGTATGAAGTATCCAAATCCGACGAGGAGTTGAATTACCTCTCAGTGCAGTACATTGTGGACAAAGTGGCGGATCCACTGAAGGAGGTGAAACAGGCTGAAAGTGAGCACAGAAAGCAGGAAGAGGTACTGAAGAGATTCCGCATGCATGAATGCAATCTACTTATCGGTACATCCATACTGGAGAAGGAGATTGATTTGCCAAAGTGCAATTTAGTCATACGCTGGAATCCACCAAAGACATATCGGAGCTATGTGCAGTGCAAAGGACGAGCGAGAGCAACTAAGGCTTATCACATAATCATGGTTGGAGCGGATGTGCGTCCGCAAGAGGCGATCAATAACGATGATGATGTGAATGGATGCGAAAATGACTCTCTAGAAACTAGTAATACTCCGGAAAAAGCCACAGAGAATATAGATGACAACCTCGAAGAGATGAGAAGGAACACTGAGGGAATGGTGAGGCAATTTGCTGAATATGTGGAAATTGAGAAGATGCTTCTTCGACGATGTGCCAACAATGAGCCTGACCAGAGTGAACTTACACTATCTGAAAGGTACACTCAGTGCATCGTTCCATACAAGCCACTTCCTGCATTCGATGCGCCAAGCGTAAATCTCTCAACAGCTGTTGCCCTTGTAAATAAGTACTGTGCCAAATTGCCAAGTGACACATTCACCAAACTCACCCCCATTTGGCGGTATGAGAAGGCCCAGTGGCGAGCCAGGCCGCTCTACAAGTGCTCTCTCAGACTACCAATTAATTCACCATTGAAGTGTGACATCAACGGATGCCTCATGCCATCACGAACACTCGCCCGCCGCCTAACAGCTCTAATTGCGTGTCGCTTGCTCCACATGTGTGGTGAACTCGATGATAATCTGCAGCCCATCGGGAAGGAGGGATATCGTGCCTTTGAGCCCGACTGGGAGAATTTCGAGCTCGAGTCAACCGACGAAATGTTGATTAATGACAACTTGGAACCCCGACCCGGTACGACAAAACGGAGACAGTACTACTACAAAAGGGTGAGTTTACATACTTAACAACTTAATCAATTATGCTTACACTTATGGAAAATTGTTTAAAGGTATTTCGACCACTTTTCCAAAGCATTTTACTTTCAATGACACCATTTATTCCGCGGACTTGTTGCAATTCTCTGTAAAAAGTCTCAGAGGCATTCTCTCTGATCTTAATCCAACTAATGTGATGGTATGGTAAAGAGGCGGGTTTATACTAAAAGCCCATCAAGCTAATAGGATTCCATTTGTTAAACTTCCTCTCAATTGTCGAGGCAAACCGACAAAATGTAATCCTTTGATAGTGAAATATGCCACAAATTTATGCAAATGCCCTCAAATTCTGTGGATGACCCACTTATGCTAACAAATACCGTTCTACCCTCCAGGTCGCATCCGCTCTTTCTGGCTGTCGCCCAACTGTGGGTGAGCAGTGCTACTTTTACTACATTCAGATGGTGCTCAAGTGCCCCATCCCCGAGGAACAGAACACTCGAGGCCGCAAAATCTATCCACCGGAAGAATCACTGCAGGGCTTTGGTATATTGACTGTGAAGAAAATCCCCCAGATCAGTGCATTCCCTATATTCACGCGCTCTGGTGAGGTGGAGGTCTCCCTGCGACTTGTTGCCACTGACATTATCCTCACGGAAACACGGTTGCAGCACATTAACACCTTCATCAATTACACCTTCACGAATGTCCTAAGACTCCAGAAGTACCTGATGCTCTTCGATGCGGACGCTAATGAAAATTGCTACTTTGTTGTACCCACTATAAAGGTGGAGAATGACGGGGTGGCTGTGGACTGGGAGTTCTTGCGCCTGATCAATGACAATGCTGATGTATTGCCTCAAGCTGTGTCGGAAACGGAGAGAACAACCCAAACATTCGATGCCAATAAATTCAAGGATGCTGTCGTGATGCCGTGGTACCGTAATCAGGATCAACCACAGTATTTCTACGTGGCGGAGATTTGTTTCCACTTATCCCCAGAGAGCAGCTTTCCCGGTGAGAATTACAGCACATTCCGCGAATACTATTTTCGCAAGTATGGCATACAGGTGCAGAATTGTAAACAGCCCCTTCTCGATGTGGATCACACCAGTGCCCGGCTCAATTTTCTTACGCCGCGCTACGTGAACAGAAAGGGAGTGGCACTGCCAACAAGTTCTGAGGAGACAAAGCGCGCAAAGAGGGAGAATTTGGAACAAAAGCAAATTCTAGTTCCGGAACTTTGCACGATTCATCCATTTTCGGCCTCTCTGTGGCGGGCAGCGGTTTGTCTCCCATGCATCTTGTATAGATTTAATGCCCTCCTCTTGGCCGACGAGATACGTCGCCAAGTGTCACAGGATTTGGGATTGGGAAAAGTGGCAAATGGAGAGGATTTTGAGTGGCCATCGCTAGATTTTGGATGGAGTTTAGCAGAAGTGCTGAAAAAGTCTCGCGAGATAGCTAAACAGGAGTCTCCGGAGAAAAGTGACGATGAATCCTCGTCAGAGAAACCCGTCCAGGAGGAGAAGATAAAGAAGCAAAGCAGTAAACTCAGCAAGAAATTGAATGGTGTAACAGCAGAGAAGGAGGATGATGATTTGGATGACGAGTCCAATGAATATGACGAAGATCTTATGGAAATTGGCACTTGGTCTAATGATATGGCTAATGATGTTCAGATAAGCTTTGATGGGCTAGCTGATGATAACTGGACCATTCAGAATCCCAATCAAATTCGGTATGGATCACCAACATCGTGGAATGCATCAAATCAGTCGGGAAATGTCTTTGATTCCACTTATTATGACACAGACTCCGATGATTCACTCCAATCTGACCAGGATGACACTGAGAGTGTTAAGAGTGAGGGAAAGATGCGCATTGAATTTAAATCGGACAATCTAGCGGAAGCTATTGAGACTGAAGAGGAGATTCTTAAGCGCCAGAAGAAACTTGCCATTATCAATGACATGATTCTGGGCGGTCAAGCTTCAGATTCAGGAGAGAATGATTTTAATAATCTTCAAAGACTTCCTGATGTCAATCTGAGTTGTTCTATTGAAGAATGCGAGAGTAAGTTTGAAGAGGCTGTGTTGGATAACATCGATAGGATCAAGAGATCAGGAATGATGGTGAATTACAACGAAGATGTAGTTATCGTGAAAAAAAGGGACAGCACCAAAGAAATAACACCGACGTTCTCTCTTGAACTTCTTGAGGAATTTCTTCCTTATGCGGCGAAAAAGGATTTGCAACGATTTTATCAGGACGGTGGATTAACTCTTGACAATTTACACTCTATCAATAAGGCATTCATAGAAGAAAGCAAAGCTGATAATGTGGAAAATCTCTGTTCTGGACATCTCTTCGATAGATTCATTACCAAGCCAACTATGTCTGAAGACGCCTTTATTGAACAACGACGGAGAAAATTGCAACAAAACTTGTCCTTGACAGCTGAGGAGATGATGGAGAACTACAACGATAAAATTCCTAATGACAAGCCTGAATTCTTCAGTTTTGACTATCAACCAAATCTCAAGGGTCATCCTGGACCTAGTCCTAGCATTATCCTTCAAGCGCTGACCATGTCCAATGCTAATGATGGCATTAACCTTGAGAGACTGGAAACTATAGGAGATTCTTTTCTCAAATACGCCATAACAACCTATCTTTATTGCACCTATGAAGACGTTCATGAGGGAAAATTGAGTCATCTCCGTTCGAAACAAGTCTCCAACCTCAATCTCTACCGTCTGGGACGACGAAAGATGCTGGGTGAAAGCATGATATCAACCAAGTTTGAGCCTCATGACAACTGGTTGCCGCCATGCTACTATATTCCGAAGGAATTAGAGAAGGCCCTGATTGAGGCACGAATTCCGGCCTGTCATTGGAATCTTGCAGAACTGCCCAATCTCAAGGAGATGACGAGTCAGGAAATTTGTAACCTCATCCGTGATCGCGCCAATGTTCTAGGACTGGCAGAGAAGGTGGACAAAGACGATGAGATGGATACAAGTTTAAATTTCGATAACTTTCCCTGCTTCATCCCCTACAATTTGGTCACACAGCACAGTATTCCAGACAAATCTGTCGCGGACTGCGTGGAGGCTCTAATAGGAGCATACTTAATCGAGTGTGGGCCAAGAGGTGCTCTTTTGTTCATGGCCTGGGTAGGAATTCGTGTCCTGCCTTGCTTTGAAATCTCATATCCCGAAAAACTAGATCGCTTGCCAGGAACATCAACTCTGGAGCATGAGAAAGACACATCCCGAAGAACAGTGTATGGATGGTGGACTGCTCCAAAATCGCCTCTTCTAAGTCACTATCCTCAGCCGATGAAAATGCTCACGGAACTTCTGGATGGCTTTGGACAGTTTGAAAAAACAATAGACTATGAATTTCGGGATAAATCTTATCTTCTACAAGCCATGACTCATGCTTCCTATTCTCCCAATCGCCTCACTGACTGCTATCAGCGATTGGAGTTTTTGGGCGATGCTGTTCTGGACTATCTTATCACCAGGCATCTTTACGAAGATCCCCGCCAACACTCTCCAGGAGCCCTGACTGACCTGAGGTCCGCCCTGGTTAACAATACAATCTTCGCCTCATTGGCCGTCCGTCATGGCTTCCACAAGTACTTCAGACATCTCTCACCCGGTCTCAATGAGGTCATTGATCGCTTCGTGAGGTTCCAGCATGAGAACGGCCACAGCATCAGCGAAGAGGTGAGCCTTCCACACTTAATGTATAACAAGTTTCAAGCTAATCCTCCCTGCAATTTCAGTACTATCTAATTTCCGAGGACGAGTGTGATGAGGCTGAGGACGTGGAGGTGCCGAAGGCACTTGGAGACGTATTCGAATCTGTCGCTGGTGCAATATTTCTCGACTCGGGAATGTCTCTCGATGCCGTGTGGAAGGTGTACAGCAATATGATGCGGCCAGAGATCGAACAGTTCAGCAATTCAGTGCCAAAGTCGCCAATAAGGGAACTTCTGGAGTTGGAGCCAGAGACAGCCAAGTTTAGGTAAGGAAACCGAAATTTAGTGTCAGAAGGAATGACTTTTTCATGGACATTTTTCTGAATTGCAGCAAACCAGAGAAACTCGCGGATGGTCGGAGGGTGCGAGTGATGGTGGAGGTCTTTGGAAAAGGGACTTTCCGTGGAATTGGCCGCAATTATCGAATCGCCAAGTGTACAGCGGCTAAGTGTGCGCTTCGTCAGCTCAAGAAACAGGGACTTATTGGCAAAAAGCACTAAGAATGATCTACATAAATAATAAAAAGTATTTGTAACGATTCTACCTTGGATTACTTTATTTCTGAAACTGAACACGTCTGGCTAGTACTTGTGAGGTCGAATGGGTCGTTCGGGATCGAAGAGAGGAGGATCCTTCAGAAACTCAGTGGCTTTCTTATAAGTGGGCATGAGTCCACTGTTTTGCGACTTAATAATTTCCAATTCAACCATCATCTGTTTCGCCTTGCATAGCCCGGTGATGTGCCTTCCGTAAGTCTTTCCCGTATAGGGACTCTGGAACTGTGATAGTAGCCTCACATTTTTGTAATTTGGCTCAATATTGGCCCTGCAAAGGATGCACTTCTGTCGTGGTTTCTCAAATGGATTCTCCATGGTCACCGGTTCATCTGGATTGACCAAAGAAGCCGCAGAATCAGTCGCATTCCGGATAATGACAAGAGGAGATTGAAGTATTTGTCCAAATCCTGAAGATTATACAATTCACGGCTACTTTTGGTTTCTTTGCATGAAAAGCATTATGAATACTACTCACTCAATCTATTTCGCAGGAAATTAATTGCCATTATTGAAGGAATTACAAAAAACCCACGTGAAAATTTACCACACGAAAACTCAGCAATCTGCAGTAAGAAACACAGAACCCTATTCTAGCAAATTTGACAGTATTTTTAGTGTGGCGCTCAGAAAACATAAACAAACATATTTATAGAAAAGTTTCTTATTGCGATTCTATAGGAATTATGTGGAAAGTTAATGAAAGTAATTCTCTAAATAATTCTATTCTACAGAAATCTGATGTGAAGGCATTAGTGCAGCGTAAGTATTTAAGTATTGGAAAGAAGTAATTTCTTTGTGATATTTTCCTCCGTTTCAGTGGCTGTTTTCTATATCGACAATCAGAGTTGTCCTGTTCAGAAACAGATTGTGACCAGGAAGAAAATATCTGCTTTCTCAAACAGTAATCTGTCAAACAACCAGTTTGTTGACCTATTCTTCACGGTTCTACGCATCATCGAAGAGTATTTGAGACGCACAGCTAGAGATTCTGGGAAGAAAGATATCCTGAGGAAACTCCTGCAGGAGCACAAGTAGAAACTTGTCTATAGACTTTTTCTTAGCTCTTATGAATGTTTGGTGTATCATTTACAGATTCCCTGAAGATTGCATGGAGGAAGTGTGCAACACGCTCTGGAAACACCGAGATCTCATGCTCCAGAAGTACTATGAACTGAAGACCGTTAATGTCGTTCCGAACATTTGCTGGAGAATCAACATAAGCATGATTAATGACAACGTAGCTAGAGTGTCAGATCCTAAAATTGTCCTGGAAATTGTCTATTCCGAAGGCAAGATCTCAACATTCGAGATTAGCAGATTTATGTTCCATCGACTGCGCTACACCATTGCCCAACTCCTCAAGTCTATGATCGCGATCGAAGCGAAAGCCATACTCAAAAACTAAAGCTTTATTCCCTTGTTTATTCCCCAAATTAAACTATTATTCACACTGTATTCACTGAATGGAGTAATGCCTCTTCCCGTCCAGTTCTCTCAGCCGTTCAGCTGCTTGTTCGGCTGTGAGGTCTCTCTGAGCCTGGCACAGTAGTTCAAATCCCACCATGAACTTGCGAACGGTGGCCGATCGCAGGAGAGGTGGATAGTAGATGGCATGCAAAGTCCAATGGTCGCTATTATCGTTCGCCATGGCTCCAGTCGGCGCACCTGCAAATTATAGTCTGATATTAATACAATTTCATACTGGTTTTTCCACTTTTTCACCTTTCTTCAAGTGCCTAATTATCGTAATTTTCGAGGGCTGAATATATTTGAATTTTAATTAATTGCATGTTTAATGATTAGCGATATTGAACACAGACTTTCGTCTCTGAGATAATGTGTGGAAAAATGCGAGTGGCATTAGGAACTGACAAATATTTTCACTCGTATTATCATGTTAATGTCTAATGCTGATAATCCAGACAAGTTATTAAACAATTCAATTTTCATGGACTTACCATGCCAACCCATGGAATATGGGAAGGAGCACTTGAAGAGATTGTCATACTTTGTGGTCAGCTCTTTAATCACAATGGCCAGATCCTCAGATTGCTCCTGAGTGAGTTCATCAAATCTCTTGGTGTCTCTTCGTGAGATTATCATAGTCTCAAATGGCCAACTGGCCCAGAACGGTACAACCACCAGCCAATTCCTATTCTCAATCACAATCCGCTCCCTCTTGAGCAGCTCCTTCTCCACATAGTCCAGCAAAAGGGGGCGACCGTTCTTCTCAAAGTACTGCCGCAAGTATTTGTCTTTGGTGGCTGGCTCGCTGGGGAGGAACGAGCAAGCCCAGATTTGGCAGTGAGGATGAGGATTTGAGCATCCCATGGCGGCGCCCTTGTTCTCAAATATTTGCACCCATGTATACTTTTGCTTCAGTTCTTCAAATTGCTCTCTCCACGTGGCGAGAACGTGGCCAATCTCCGTGACTGTGAGCAAGGGAAGAGTTTTGTTTGACTTTGGATGAAAGCAAATCACACGACAAGTGCCTCTTGCTGGTGCCGTCTGAAAGAGGGGGTCCTGATTGACTGGCGGTGCGGGAACATCCTCCAAGAGAGCCGGAAAATCATTGGTAAAGACAAAAGTGGAAGTGTAGTTGGGGTTTTTCTGGAAAAATGGTCAAAAATCAAATATTTGGAACAGATTTCAAATGGGTTTCATGCGGGCTGGTCTTACCATTCCATTTGCACGAATACCTCCCGGACAAAGGGGATTTTTTGGGTCAAAATCAGATGCGCTAAAGAGTTCCGGTGACTCTTCCTGACCTGACCAAGGTCTCAACATTCGGTGAGGACATACCAGCACCCATTGCCCGGTCAATGGGTTGAAACGAGTGTGCTGATGTTCTGGAAAGTAATTCTGAATATACCAAAATCCGTGAATAAATCCCTTTCTTACCTTTGATGTTAAATATAGCAGACATGATTCAACACAATTCTGTGCAAATCACGACTATTTTGCGGAAGTGTGTTTCTATTAGGCGTCAACTATGGAATGATGTTTAGTGCAATAATGAAGAGCAATTGAGTTGAGGAAATGCTCAATGCGATAAGCTCAAATGATCTTTTGTGTGTTTCGCATCGCTTTTCTGCCTATTTCATACACTGATAACGCATCTGATTGTGATAAAAAAGTTATATTTCGTTCGAGTAGAAAAATACGTAAACAAACAAATGCAATTCGATATCAGCTGATTATTGCCATGGCTGCCACACTCATCTAAATTCGCTTAACTTCTGCTAAAACCATTGCGTGAAGTGGCGGCCCTGCGTGTGACGTCAATTTCACAACATGTGAAATTTGCACCTCGTTGAGGTTACGCGTAGTAAGGTGTATTTTCCTGGAAATTCTGCCACTGATCCTCGGATAATCAATGTGAATTTTGTATTCATTTCAGAAAGAAGTCACCCACCATGCGTGGCATCGATATTGAGCGATTTGGTGAGCTGCAGAGACGGAGAAGTGTGCGAAATGTGTGCATTCTAGCACACGTTGACCACGGGAAGACAACGCTGGCGGATTACCTGGTGGCCAGCAATGGGCTGATCTCACAGAAGCTTGCAGGGAAGTTGAGGTACATGGATAGTCGAGCAGATGAACAAGAGCGCGGCATTACGATGAAGAGCAGCAGTGTGACGTTGTACTACAAGAGTATTCGGAGTAGTGAAGAAATCCTCATCAATCTGATCGACTCTCCTGGTCATGTGGATTTCTCAGGAGAGGTCTCAACGGCAGTGAGATTGTGCGATGGAGCGGTGATTCTCGTGGATGTGGTTGAGGGCGTTTGCCCACAAACACGAATATGCCTGAAGCAAGCATACATGGAGTGCTTGAAGCCAATTCTTGTGCTGAGCAAGATCGACAGGTTGTTTCTGGAAAAGCAAATGACACCTCACGATGCCTTCATCCACTTGTCCCAGGTGCTAGAGAATGTCAACGCAGTGTATGCCAGTATTTTCGCGTCAGATGTGATGGCGAAGGAGGACATCACGACCAATAGTGACTACACAAGTGCACTGGAGAATGTGGATGACTCGAAGCTGTACTTTTTACCAGAAGCGGGCAATGTAATCTTCTGCTCAGCTCTGGACGGCTGGGGATTTTCCATCATGCAGTTCGCTGTGATGTATGAGAAGAAGCTAGGCATTTCCCGAGAAGAGTTGGTGAAAGCAATGTGGGGTAACTACTACTATAATGCCAAGACGAATTCCTGTCTCGCGGGGGCCCAGGAGAAAGCCAAGAAGCCAATGTTTGTGCAGTTTATTCTGGAGAATATCTGGCATATCTACGAGACGATTCTTGTGAGGAAGGATAAGGAGAAGATGGCCACAATAGCTGAGAAATTGGGCATCAGCTTGAGTACTCGTGATCTCAGGAGCACAGATCATCGACAGCAACTGAAGACACTTTTCACTCAGTGGCTGCCACTGTCAAACATTGTGCTCGAGAGTCTCTGCAAGTACGTCCCAGCGCCATGTAGTATGCCTAGTGAAAAGGCTGAGAGACTCATGTGCTCCTTGAATCAAGACCTGCGATCTTATCCGGCGGAGACACAAATTCTCCAGAAAGATTTTATGAATTCTGATCCGGAAAGTGGTAACAAAATTGTGTTCATTTCCAAGATGTGTGCTGTGGATCCGTCGCAGTTGCCAAAAGATGATCGAGAGAAATTTGTGCCATCTCTGGAGGAGATTCAGCGCCGACGAGAAATTGTTCGACAGAAGATTGAAGAACGACAAGCTCTAGGACAAGTACAGGTGCAACAGACTGAAGATGTAGCCACTGAGGAAGACAACGAGGAGTGCAATGAAGTGTTTATTGCCTTCGGTCGGGTGTTCAGCGGCACTCTCAGGAGAGGCGATAAAATGTATGTACTAGGACCGAAGCACGATCCCAAGAACATTAATACGAATTCCCAGGAGCTGCCAAAGTATGTAACAGAAATCACCGTGTCAAATCTGTTCATCTTCATGGGAAGAGAACTGGAGAATATTGACGAAGTGTGTGCAGGAAATATTGTGGGAATAAGCGGACTGGACAATCACATTCTTCAAACAGCCACACTGAGTTCCAATTACTACTGTCCACCCTTTACAGACATGGAGCTCATCGCCACACCAATTTTGAGAGTTGCTGTTGAGCCTAAAATCACCCAGGACATGCCAAAACTCGTGAAAGGCCTGAAGCTGCTCAATCAGGCTGATCCGTGCGTGCAGGTGCTGGTGCAAGAGACTGGAGAACATGTTTTACTCACATTGGGCGAGGTGCATCTGGATAGGTGCGTGTTGGATCTAGAAACGCGCTTTGCTCGTATCGAACTGAATGTCTCAAAGCCCATTGTACCCTTTCGCGAGACAATTGTGACAAAGGCGACAGTGGACATGGTGAATGAAGCTGTGGTTCCCACAAATGATGACATAGAAAGTCAGATCGTGACAATAACGACGTCCAATAAGAAGTGCTCCCTGGACATCCTGGCATTGCCACTGCCAAAAGAAGTTGTAGAAATTCTGGACAATTCTACGGAATTACTGAAGATCTACGCGAGAAATACTAGTGGAGGATGTTTGCCGGACAAAACCATAAAGTCAATGAGGGATTTCCATGAGCAACTCTCTAAGGCCTTCAAGCTGGCCAATTGTGGCCACTTTCCGGAGACAGTGGTGGAGAGATTGTGGAGTGTAGGACCACGACGATGTGGCTCAAATATTCTGCTTAATTTATCAGATTTTCGACACAACAGCTTTTGGGAGCCACTCAATGTGTCTGCGCAGAAGTGCTTGGAGGAGAGCAGCTTGGATAATTCCTTCGTCAATGGCTTCCAACTAGCAACGTTGGCGGGACCTCTCTGTGAAGAGCCTCTTTATGGTGTATGCTTCATCCTGATGAACTGCAGCCTTGATGTGGATGATGGGGCATCTGATGGCAGTTATGGACCAATTTCTGGGCAACTCATGTCCGCTATGAAGGAAGGATGTCGTCGAGCCTTCCAGAAGCAACCACAACGTCTTGTGACGCCCATGTACAGCTGCAATATTGTGGTGAATGCTGAAGTTTTGGGCAAATTGTACGCTGTGATTGGTCGCCGGAATGGGAGAATTCTATCTGGAGATCTCACAGAGGGCAGTGATAATTTCTCAGTCACCGCTATAATTCCTGTGATTGAGTCCTTCAATTTTGCTCAAGAGATTCGCAAACAGACGTCTGGGCTCGCCTCACCGCAGCTTCTGTTCAGTCATTGGGAGGTGCTGGACATTGATCCATTCTGGGTGCCCTCCACTGAAGAGGAATATCTGCATTTTGGGGAGAAGGCAGATACAGAGAATCGAGCGAAGATGTACATGGATTCAGTGAGGAGAAGAAAGGGTTTGGCTGTTGAGGAGAAAATTGTGGAACACGCAGAGAAGCAGAGAACACTGGGCAAGAATAAATAAAGGTAAATTAATCTTTATGCCATGCAGTTGTTATCGGTGGAGAGATTGAATAATTTGCTCATGATTCATTAGCCATTTCTCAACCGCAAAAGATGTCAACTTGTTGGAAATTTCAGGCCCACTCTCGTATGCTCAAAAAGGTGACCCTGACACTTACACCACATCTTCCTGAGTAAAACAGGCATTTTTGACATTTTGGCTCCCAAGGTTTCTCAGAATGCTTCAAGAGAGTATAGTGAAATTAATTGAGCTTACAAAGTGCCATTTCTTCGATCACATCAGCAGTTCAATTGCCATTCAACTGAACATGGAATGCATCACAAATGGAGAAGTGAATGATTTCTTGTTCTTGGAGATACTGGAAATGCTTTGCTTGTTTGATCAGATGTAGTGTGAGACTATATGATGTAAGGGAACTGTGTGTTTGTAGCGATGGCATTGAAAAAGTGCCACATGTATTTTTGAAAGCATTCTTTACGCGACATTTCCGTACAACAAACATTTATGATAAATGAATGAATACTTTTGGGACATTTTTTGCACTTGTTTAATGGCAAAATTAATTAACCAGTGCGCTAACAGATTGGATGTTTTGTTTGTTCCATTTTACACAAGAAGAGTAATTTGCTTGAAATGAGTGTAGAAATGCTTTCTATCAATGCAATCTCACAGTTGATAACCCTATTCAAAGTTCCTTGTACGCGAGTATATCTGGTATCAAAAAAATTCTATTTGATTGTGTGATAATTTATTGTGTGTTGCTAGTGCCTCCGCGATAAGACAACGCCAAATAATCAATTTGCTAGAAGATACCCACTGTCTTGAGATAAATAACTCTCGAATGAATTATTTTCCAGAAATACTTCTTGAGATACTCAGCTTGATACGTTTGTCATAAAGTAATTTGAGAGCAAAAAATGCGTATTTTCCAAATACACAGATCTGTGCTGGTAATTACTCAGTAAGAAAAGACACTAATGTGATTCAGACACTTGCGATAATATTCTCTGCATAGATCTGTAAATTGTTGCCTGATAAATTCTTCTTTGTCGAGATTCTGTGTATTTGTGTGTATGAAAATGTATGTTTATGGTGTTGTTATCAACGAGGAAAATGTGTATATTTGGGGGAAAAGAGTTATCATATCCGCTGTGGAAATATTTAATTGACTTACTTCATCATTGTCAATTCCATTTCCCTTCGGCTATCAAGTTGGCAAATACTTTTGCAATGACAAAGTTTATAAGCAGATGGATTAGGTATTCGAGTCCTCACTACAGTTTTGTAGTACGTAAGAAAATCATTGAAGACATGACGAAGACGAGGAGAAATTTGTTGTGGTCGATCATCAAAAATGATCACACAAGATCTACATAATATTTTTACATTTAATTTATTAGTCGCTATAAAAAATTATTTGCTCGTTTAACATTCTTACTGATCAGTGATTATATTTGCTTCCTACCTCTCAAAAACACACAAGAGTGGGTAAAATTGTACAATTTTGATTGAAAGTATTTTTGCCATTCGTCTTTTTTCAGTGAAAAGACAACTTTTCGCATGTGTGAGTGATTTTTTGAGAGGGAGAAAAGCCACACATCCATATGGAAATATTGTATTGTATGTATAACAATAAATTTAGCCTAAACATTTTCTTGTATGATACACTTTGCTTTGTTTGTGGAAAGTAAGTCAATAATCAGTGTGAATACAATGTGAAGGGAATAAAAAAAAATTATATACAAGCCTTCAGGCAGATTTAACATTTAAAAGTACAGAGAATGAAAGAGAAATATTGGCAATATTGCATAATCGAAAGTGTTTAGCATTAAAAAGTATAATTTACAAGTTGGGCCTCCTTTTCATGCGCGGCTCTGAGTGGGTAAAAAAAGCATTGATGGCAAAAGAAAAGAGTATAGATATTGTAAGATATACTATGCAGTTGTATTGTTCCCAACACCTCTTATTACTTGTTTTTTTTCGTCTTCCTGCCAGTATAGGTCCAATCTCTATTCCGAAATCGCAAATTATTATGCAAATGAAATCAAATTTCTTAACGATTGCACGTTCACTCTTGTGACCTTTAGCCGCGGAGTCTTTTCCTAACATCTCATTGATGGTTTTTTCCCCTCATCTTCCATTTCAGCTCTGTGAGAGAAACCAAAAAAAATCTATCGACATTGTGCTTACTGGACATCGACGGCGATTAGAAAGTGTTTCTGCCCCAAAGAGAGTGGGAGAGACATTTCGATGCCATTGGAGTTCATACGACTGCAACTCGACGTCCCTTGTGCTCCACGGCGCTTCTAAAGGTGTCCGTTCAGAGTTTCCGTGGTACTCTGCAGATGCACAGGACTCCGGAATGTCTTCCCGTGAACGACTTGTGTGAGTCCTTCGCCACAGTACGAGAGTAGAGGTGATACTTCACATGCGTCACCATCCACGGAGCCTCCAGCGTTCTCGATGTAGCGCCGATGGAGACGGAAGATGTCTTGCCTATTGAGAATTTATTATTATTAAAATTCGCAGATTCTTACTTAAATCAACGAGTGTCTTAATGACTTAGATAAGTGGAAAATCCGATATATTTTTTTACTAGTTCTTATATATTCTTAGAAAAACCTTCCACTTATTGCAGTTTTTTCATTCACCCGTTGAATTTGTAAATAAACGTAATATATGTTAAAATAATTCTTTTGCAGTGTACAATTTTGTTTTTCTTATCAAGTCTTCACCCAATTTATCTCTGCTTTTTTCTTTTCAAAATGCATAACATGAAATGCACTTACCTAGCAGTTGATGGGCAGTCTTTCTTGGCTCCATCGGCATTCTTCAGTGCACTGAATTCCTCGTTGCGCTCCACTTCCACTACAGCAAACTTCTCGGCAAATTGGAATACATCGAAGACAAATTTCTCCACTTTAATCCCATTTGGCTTTTCAGGGGTGCGTTTCACGCCCTCCCCATCTACCCAGGGTATCTTCTTCTGGGCCACATGCAGCTTCAGCTCCTTCTCGTGCTCTGCAGCCACTCGCTGGAGGAATGCAGTGGTGAAAAAGTGATTGCATATGTTGCCAGCGCTGAAGGTTAGCCGGCCATCGGGTTTCCGCATTTCGGCTGACTTGGAGGTGATCTCGCTGTACTCCACCACCTGATATTTGCCGTCTACCACGCAAACCACACCAACGGGTTCGCTGGGTTGAGACTTCTCGACCACCTTGGCGGCACACTCGGCGCGCTGCTGGACGCAATAGCCCACAAAAATGGGATCGGCCACACGAATGAGGATATTGTCCACACTGTGAGCATGGAGGTACAGCACTCCTCTGTTCTGCATGTCGTCCAAAATGCCACGCTCGCAAAGAGCACGGTAAATTCCACCATTACCGTCAGGCGCCTTGGCCAACCGGTGGCGTTCATCCAATAAGATGCGGCCCTCAAAGTCAAAACAGGGCAAACTGCCCTGCTCAAACATCACGATGTCCTCCTCGCGTAGTCCAAAGAAGTCGTGCTTCTCGAAAAATCGTCTCGTCGGCTCCATTGTGTGTTCGCTGGTCATGATGTACCACGAAATGTGGCCCTGCTGACCAGTGGCATCATGTGCCAGGCGCTCCAGCTTGCGAATCCGTTCAGCCTGTATCTGGAACAGTGTCTTCCGGGACGGTAGTCCAACGTCGTACATGCCTTTGGGATGGGGAAAGCCCAAACGTGTGCCCTGGCCACCAGCCATCAGCAGCACGCCCACATGCCCCAGCGCCACCTGTCTCAGACCCTCATTCTCATACTCTCGCAGGAGTGTGGGATCCGTGCGCTTCACAGACATGCACATTTCCTCAGGCAGGGGCTGCAGCCGATCATCCAGCTTCTCGCTGGCGTCTTGCAAGCCCGCAATGGCCCGCCTAAAGATGTCCTGCACTTCCTCCAGATTGAACTCTCGGATGTCCTCTTGTAGCTCTCGCCTCTCATCGTCAGTGAGATCGTCCCAGAACTGTACCAGGTGCTCTTGATTGTAGCGCGCCAGGTGATCTCGCAACCTCTCGAACACGGTCATGCTGTCAGTCTGGGGGAAAAGCCTGCAGTAGAGGGAGCTGAACCAGCGGAACACCATCAAGGGATACTATAAGCACTGTGCACGGCTGATCCACACTACACGGAGACACTGCATAAACTGAGGAACAGACAACTTCTTTCCAGTCTCATGGGCTGTTGGCCTTTTCCACCGTCAATTTCCTCCCACTCTTCATCGTCCAAGCGGCTGCCATTCGGCACTTTCGCGCTCACTCACACGCTCCCCAGCGTCGTCATTTGCTCTCCACAAGGCAGTACTTTTACTTTTGTCGTTCCACTCCTGATATCACTCGAATCCAGCCACACTGTGACACGGGGCAAAGTGAAACACATTTTATTTTCCTCCACAACAGAACAAACACTCACGCCGTCACTCACAACCCATGAAGCAATCGTCATGGACTGTCGTTGGAACTCTCGCGGAAGAAGCGGACATTTCCGTTGTGGTCGGGATTTCACTTCAGGAACTCGCGTACGCGAGCATTTTAGCGATTTTAGCATATTTAAGATTTCTTGATGCCAAAATTTTCCCTATGCACAAGAAAAGCAAATAAATTTTCTATTTTTTACACTTGAAGGTGAGAATTTTTTTTATTCCATCATTCCATGAATTCTACTGAATAAGTTCCACACGATCCACAACCGACATTTTTCAACCGATCCTGCGGCGAAATATCGCTCTGTTGGATAACTCTTTGGATAACCAAAATGGAGTGTCGTTCATAAAACGCATTGTGCTTGTGACTAGAAAGAATTTACTTCCTGTGAGTAGACTTCTAATTGGAAAAGCTAAAACACATATTAAGATTAATAAATAAATTCAAAATCTCATTTAACAGACCTAAATTTTGCTTTATTAAAAAAAAGTTTGTATCATTTATGGAATTCATATGTATAATCAGTTCATTTCCTCCTTCACATCTTGATAGACCATTCTCTTTTCTGTTCTCACATTCTGATTTCTCTAGTTTTATCACATATTGGCAGTGAGAATGCGCACTACATGTCAAACAGTGTTCTTAAATCTTGGATTGTTAATCCAGACCCCATTTTTCTGGCCCCAGTAAGCACTTTGTCGGCCAATTCAAGCTTTATCTGCTGCAGCTGCTGAACACGCTCCTCCATACTATCAGAAGTGATAAACTTCACAATTGATACGTCTCGGATTTGGCCAATGCGGTAAATTCGATCCTGCGCCTGCATCTCCAGTTGTGGATTCCAGTGAGGATCAATAAGGAGCAAGTTGTTCGCTCCTACCAAGTTGAGACCAACACCACCCGTCCCTAGGGAGAGCAGAAGGATCTGCACATCGTGTGATGGATCATTGACGTTAGCCACAATCTCTCCACGATCCGAGATCTTAGTTGTCCCTGTTAGGACAAGATATGAGAGATTTCTCCTTTTCAGATGATCAGCAATGATGTCCAACACCGACGTCCACTGTGAGACGATAATCATTTTTTCTCCGATTTCGTAAATTCGCTCAATTTCCTCAATGACTGCGGACACCTTCGAACTGGGGTTGTCCAGATCAAAGATCTTTCTATCGTAACGTGCTTTTACGGGAGCACCAATACTGCCTTCACTATCATTCATATTCAGCTTGTCCACCAATTCCACCAAATTCACTGCTCTGCCGCTATCTTCTGTCGACTCATCAAATTCAAAATCCTCCTCCTGATTCTTTAGAATCAATCCAGGGTGGCAACAAATTTGCCTCAGGCGCAGAATAAGCTTGAAGATCTCCATCGTGCTGACATCTTTGCCTACGAGTGATGACTTGATGGAGTGAAATACCTTGTCAACATTCTGTTTGGCATTGATAATTGGAAAATCATTCTTTCGCTGGGTCATGTATTGTGAAAAGAGGGCTTGTGAATAGAGCAGTAACTGAAAAAAAAAATTAAAAAGATTAGTTAAGAAAAAAAATGAAATTTACTGTAAAAGATTCCCACCTTGGCATAGAGCGATCTCTCATCAGGAGTCAGTTGCACCTCTACTGTTTTTACCATCTTGGTTGGCAACTTCTCAAGTATTCCTCTTTCTTGAAGCTGTTGCTTTGTGCGGCGAAGCAAGAGTAAATTCACGAGTGTGTGAACTCTGGCATATCCACTTTTTGTCATCTCCTTATTGCCAATACATGAGTTCCAATAATTAATATCGTCAAAGGGTGAGCATTTCAGAAATTTTATCAATGCATAGAAATCCTTCAGACGATTTTGAATGGGAGTTCCTGTCAGCACCCATCTGTTCTCTGCTTCGACCTCAAAGCAAGCCTTTGCCATCGCCGTTTTATGATTTCTCATGGTGTGACCCTCATCAAGGACTACTCGGTGCCATCTCACTCCAAACAAACCTCCTTGATTTTTAAAATCCGAAGTTAGCGTTTGATACGTTGTCACCACTAGATCATATTTGGCCAGACGACGTGCTTTGTATTCTCGATTAGGTCCATGATGCAGATACCCTACAAGAGCACCTCGCTTGCATTTGGTCTTTACCTCATTGCACCATTGATCCATCAAACTAGCCGGGCATACGACGAGAGTACCTCCATGATACATGTTCCGCGCATCTTTCTTCTTCCACGTTGTCTCATCTTCTTCAGTTCTGTTGCACAACAACATAAGACTTATTATAGTCAACGTTTTTCCTGAAAACAAATTACACAATATGAGCATACATTAAGTTGCTAAAAATTCTTAATTTCAGTGCTTACCTGTGCCCATGTCATCAGCCAGAATCCCACCTTTCGGTTTATTCTGCTCTCTCCAAGTCATGAAAGATAGAGCATACCGTTGGTGTTCCATCAGAGTGATTTTCAGTTGATCTGGTTGTTCCATTAGCAAATCCTCCGGCGGGCGCTGCTTCAAAGACTTATGAATTTCAGAAATTGTCTCAATTGTGACTATCTCTCGCTTATGGAACATTTTCTCTGCTCGTTCAGTTCTCCCTGGAAGTTCACCAACAGCTCCTTCCTCCTCACCCAAATTCGCCGATACACCATTTTGGACTTCAGTCTCCGTGATCTGCAGTTTCTCAATGTGCTTGATTTGATAATCAATTTCCGTCTGCAAGGCTGCTGATTGAGCGGACAGCTTTGCTCCCTTATCCGGCAAACTTGATCCCATTTTACTTAACAGCGTGTTCTTGCTCTGCTGCTCTGACAGCAACTGCTCCAGCTTGTTTTTCTCCAAATCATAAACAGCTTGCGATACGGAAATCTTATTTTGCTCTGTTAGAGAATCATCAGAATCCAACAAAATCACATCGTCTTGCGAATGATCTTTCTCCTCCTCCTTTATCTCAGAAATGTCCAGCTGATCTAGCATTTTCTCAACCTGATTGAGCTTATCTGTATCACGCATTTTCGTGTATCGAGTGGAACTGAGTTTCTTCTGAATACTGCTTTCAAAAGATTTCTCCCGAGTCTCATTAGAATCATCAGGACACTCTGCAGCCATAGTGACTGAATTCGCATGTTCATATTGAGAAGATTCTTGCGTCTCCAACACATCACTTTCATCTTCCTCCTCGATCAGAATCTCCTCATCAGATTCCCCCTCGCGTGCAGAATAATCAGAACGCCTGATCTTGAATTTATCCATCATTATCGAAGAAGCTTTTTGTGATTCTGTTGAAACTGTTGAGCACAAGCGGAGTAAGGACATCAAATTTATGTCTATAATATAATATCCAATGTCCAATATTAAATTTACCATTTAGCATTGGTTCCTGGATCCTGTGGTTCTGCTGTTCATCCTCATCGTCGGCCTCGGAGAGCTGCTTATCCTCATCATCATCCTCGGAGAGCTGCTTATCCTCATCATCGTCCTCGGAGAGCTGTTCATCCTCATCATCATCCTCGGAGAGCTGCTTATCCTCATCATCGTCCTCGGAACGGTGTTTATCCTCATAATCGTTCTCAGAGAGTAGCCCTTCTGACTCTGAATCATCGATGGACTCCACTGGAGCGCGAATCCCAATAGATCTACGCGTCTTTGGGGATAACAAAAGTGGCTCGTCATCCTCATCACCAGACGATTCAATCCGAAAATTTTTCTTTCCAGGATGACGAACTATGATTGATTCATCTGAAATTGCAGAGGAAAACATTCTGAAACCACTGAAAAATTTCCCGAAAACGGTTATTCCATTCAAGCAACATTGAAAATTACCTGCGTCTGTCTCGGGAATTTCCACCTCTGATAGCCCTGATTCCTCTGATCCTCCATCTTCTTCCGACGATGAAGAAAATGCTAAAACTTTTCTCGACATTTCTCAAACTCTGGCACTTATATTTCTGGCAGAAAAGGCAAAATAAATTTCTTCACCTCGGCGTTCATATGAACAAAAGCAACAGCCATTTACTATTATAGCATCTATAAAATGTGCCGGTTGTCAAAAGTTGACAGTGTCAAAGTTATCCAAGATTCGCACGCAGCATGTAATTATCAAAACATGAAGACGCAAAAAAAGTCCAATTTCTCGCTAAAATCTGAGCATACAAGTTGCGAAAGGAAGAAAGGAAATCCTGCTGGCGAGCATAAAAGTAAAAATAAGTTGAAATCTACGCAAGTGAACTACGTGGTGAATCCGCGAAAGTTGAAATTTCTCACTAACAAAAGAGCTGTCGAGGAGAAGCATCAGCTGATTCGTGAAGCCAAGGAAAAGAAGCGAAAGGACATCGACAAGAAGCGGTCCGAGAAGATTCAGAGAAACCGCCAGCTCAGTCAGAAGACGAAGCGTGGACAACCTGTTATGAAGAATCAGATAGAGTTCTTGCTGAAGAAGATTCAGTCCAATTTGTCGCAGTAGAGACCAGAATGGATCAGAAAACAGCCCTGCAGAGGTTCCAACACGGAGCCTTCCTCATCATTGCGGGAGTACCCCCAAAGACAGAGTTTGGAATTGATTGTAGTAAGTTTGTTGTGGCAGAAAAGTTTCGAGGGGTGAAGATGATTCCTCCAGGACCACATTTTGTGTACTGCGCCTCTGTGGGGCCCTTTGGTGATGCTGCTCCTCGTGTAGGATTCATCCACTACTTCAGGGAGAGGGAGATTGTCATAAGAGAATGGGATCCGGAGACGGAGGAACTCAGAGTCCGTACGAAGGGCGATCCGGAAGTAGAGAAGCAATTTATTCAGGAGAACATTCTTCAATTTGATGAACTTCTGGCGCCCTATGATTACGATAGCCTGTCCAAGTGGCAAAATCTCACCACATATATCACACAGGAGACTGTGGAGAGCCTCTCACCAGCATGTGGAGTGATCAGGACATGTGCGGATCTACTATCTTGTTCAGACGATGATAGACCCAGAGGAGGAGGCACTTGTGGACAAGCAGCTAGCCCCAAAAGCACAAAGATTAATCTGCTTTTCGATGAAGACCACCTCCTGCCACAATTGAAACCAATTCCTGGAACTGTGCCCAATTTCACGGAGCTTCCTCCGCGCTTCATGAAGGAAGCAACTCCATCTGAGATCACAAACAGCTTTATGGACTCAATTGTGGCGCTAGACAAGCTGATTGAATGCTTCTCCAGTCAAACGACGCTTCTGTCTGAAGTGCAGTTTGCCTTTGCCCTCTTTGTTGCCGGATGCTCAACAGACGGATTGGCTCATTGGCGGAAGATTTTGGCTATTGCATCGAATACGGAAAAAGGCGTGCAAAAGTACAGAAATTTCTACAGACGATTCCTTCTGTGTGTACAATATCAATTACCTCATTTGCCGCTGGAAGTGATGCAACCATCGCCAGAGAATTCAGTGTATCAGGATGTTCGAAAGCTCGTCGCCAATTGCATACTCGGAAATATTCAAGGGGATGTGGAGAATTTCAAAAACTACCTGAGCGAAACGATGCTGTGGACTTTCGAGGATGTATTTGAGGACGATCCTGAAGACCTGCCTGTTGTTGTAGAGTGTCCCTAATTTTCTGTAATTCCGCGAGAGATGGAGCAAAAATAAAGCTTTTCATTGTAAAAAAAAAACTAATTTACTTCGCACATAAACTGCAAGACTCAATCAGGTGTTTGGGGCACACGTGATTTCCACAAATCTTGCAATACTTCCTCGTTCGAAATTGGCATACACAGCACTTTCCTCTCTTTGACTCCTCCTTTGAATCGCCTTCAGTCGAATAAATCCTTTGCAGAAGATCTTGTGGCTTTGATTCACTTGAATCATCTGCAATTGAAATTCTTTGCAGACAATCTTGTGGCTGCGATTGATTTGAGTCAATTGGTTCTTGTTTTATCTCATCAATGTTGGTCGATTGCAGCACTGATATATTAAAACTGGGCTTGTATTTCATGATTGCCGGCGAAATCAGACCTTCTGCCGCCTCAAGCAAAAAGCTGGACCTCTGACTCCGCTTCAATGGGTATTTACTCTGTTCTGAATTATTTATGCGATACAACAGAAAGGCCGCTACCCCGACCACGTCTAATATGTTACAGAAAAATCTGAATGTCCATTTGCGAGAAGATCTCTTGCACGAATATTTGTTTACCATTTCATTCATGAGTTGGGTTCCAGTTTTCAAGTTATTCATTTGTGTCAAATGATTTGCTTTCTTCCCCATTTTCGCTTGTTTTTTTACTGGAAGGACTTTTTCTCGTTTCTTGGTGATTGTGCGAATTGTTAAGCCCTTCTTCTCCAACTTTTGCTCCAATTTCGGTGAGGACAATTTCCTGTCGTATGTAATATTTCTGTTGAAATACTGTCCTGCCAAATCCACAATAGCAGTATGTCCAAAACTTGTAGCTCTGTTCTTCACATTCTCAATGCAAGGAAATCCTTTCAATGGAAATCCCGTGGAGGAATCATTGATCCAATAAATTATCATCCCGTAATTGCCCGACTTATGATGCATATTTTGAAGGAAAGAACATTTACCTTTGAAGTTCACAAACTGCTTGTCGACAGTGAGATTCAATCCAGGTTGAAAATATCGACTCAAGGACTCGTTGAAGACTTCCCACACTTCTCTGATGGGGTCTAGTTTATCCGCAACAAAGAGATTGTCATCAGAACTTTCGTCACTGAAGCGAAGAAAGCGGAGAATTTGCTTGAATCGATTCTGTGACATTGCGGCTCTGAACATGTTATTGCCGTGACACTTATCCCAAATCATCGCAATGGAATCATCTTTCATGTGACGAACGCCACCAAGGAACAAAAGTCCGATGAATGCTGACATCTCTTCTGCATCAATTGGCTTCCAAGAGCATGAAGCTGATGTTCCTTTTGTAGAATCCTCCCGTTCTGCTTCAGCATTAGTATGAATTGTCACAATACTAATGATATCCCTCAAATAAAGATTCATGTAATCAGCAGGTACATTCAATATTGTTCCTGGAAATAGTAACATAAGGAAGCCATGAATAAAGAAAGAGAATATTTAGTAAATTGCTTCTCCCAAAGTTTCTATATACCAGGAGGAATAGCCTCAGCGATGATGGAGTAATCTGTAGAGATCTCAGTCGGACTTGGGGGCGCTTCGGCCAGAGGATCTGTTTCTTCCTCGTCATCGTCGTCCTTTTCATCTTCAACGAAAATACTCTCCTCACTTTCCCCGTGGTATTCCATTTCCTCATCAGAGAAATCCTCTTCCTCAGATTGTTCCATCACCTCTTCTGCCCCTAATTCCCTATCCAGGGCCTCACGAGCCTGAATACACATTTCAATGTCGGAAAAATAGCGGCTCCTTTTCATTTTCACGTACTTTCAGTGTCACATTTCTCCTTGTTTTCTTCAAAACAACTTGGATAATCCCAAATATTTTATGGTCAATTTACCATGGGTCTCGCATGGTGGCTCTGTCGTCGTGAAGAAGTTGTCAGTCATCATTGCATCTGGATAGCGAATAAAAACATCGTCAGATAAATTGTGTTGTTCTCTGAAAAATTGGGAAAATCCATATTATCACTCCTCTTTTACGTGAAATTGGAATGTTATAGCGTATGTATAAAGTTTCAGTATAGAGTAAAACAGAATATTTGATTGTTATTCTCTGTAGTGGGGACAACAAGGAAACTTTGACGACATTGCATCAGCCCATGAAAAAATATGTCAGAATTAGATGCATCCGCCACAGAGTCTCAGGAATTGGGCTCTAACAAACGCGAAGACGGACGATATTGCTGGGTGTGTTTTGCCACAGACGATGATGATGCACTTGCCTTGTGGGTGCAGCCATGCAAATGCAAAGGAACCACCAAATGGGTGAGTAACCTTCCGGAAAGTGACCGGATAAGATTTGTACAGGACAGCATTACTTGTTTTCCATCTATACAAACCCTCACACTTTCACACCGAGTTCGTTAAATCCTAAATTGTTGAGGAGCTTCACAAAGTAACGATAATATTAAATGATTTTGTGAATAATTGGGCAGGTTCACCAAGTTTGCCTGCAGCGTTGGGTTGATGAGAAGCAGAAGGGCAACTCCCTCAAATGTGTGGTGTGCCCACAGTGCCAGACGGAGTACATAATAGTCTTCCCCAATATGGGACCTATGGTGAACTTCTTGGAAATAGTTGACACGCTCATCAAGCGCCTGAGTCCCTTCTTGGCTGCTGGTGTGGTTGTTGGTTCCCTGTATTGGACGGCCGTTACTTACGGGGCCATAACTATTTTGCAGGTAAGCACCTCAAAATTACACTTGAATACTCTCTCATTCATGAAAATGTGATGGAAACTGAGGAACATCTTGCAGGTGGTTGGCCACAAGGAGGGGTTGTCCGTGATGGAGAACTCTGACCCGCTCGTTCTACTAATTGGACTCCCGGCTATTCCAGTTGGCTTGGTGTTGGGCAAAATGATCCGATGGGAAGATGCTATTCTGCGATTCCTCCAGAATCGACGAACGGTTGCCCGAAAATTCCCCCTCCTGAACTTGGTTCTTCCTATTAGGTAGGATAAAATGACTTTTCCGATTGTTTTGAATATCGGGTCATATTGTTTTGACTTCATTTGCAGTGACAGCGAGGAGAATGTACCCAGCGAAAGCTCATCCGCAGCACCAATTCTGTCAGATCCCGTTTCCGCCACCAGGATTCTCTGTGGAGCCATTCTTCTGCCTACCGTGTCTTCAATAGTGGGCCGTATTTTCTTCGAGTCAATTCAAAATAATTTGCATCGCACTATTATTGGTGGATTGGCGTTTATCACTGTGAAGGGTGCCCTAAAGATTTACCACAAGCAGCAGCAATTTGTGAGGAAGAAGCAACGAAAGATTCTGGACTACTGCGATGAAAATGTGTCGGCGTATGTAAGTAAAAATCCTAGATCAACTCGCTCAACTCAGGCCTCACAATTGTAAGCTGTTTGACAATGGGACGAGCATCAATCGTTGGATATTGTATATGTGGAGAAATTATTTTGCGATGAATTGAAACACACATGATTAAAAAAAATTAATATTTTAATTATGTCAGAAGGCACATAAAAACTATTTCGCTGTTAAATAATACTTTTTTTTACTCGAAATCACAGCAAGGCGTTTTCCGGGATAATTGTTGCATCCCCGGTAATAAGGAGCAGAGAAGATTATTAATAGAATAATTTGTATGCAATATTTTGTGAGATAATTTCTTCGTAGATTCATAAGTGAATGATTAACTAGAGCACGTGGCAAATATTGGTCCCATGACGAATTGAATTATTAATAGTAGCGCCAATTACGCTTAATATTTTAAAACGATGTGCACGTTTAGTGAGCCCAGTTAATTATTCACACTTTGAAACTGAGTTGATGTGATTTAATTCAGTAGATAAGATAGGAAATTCAATTGACACGTAATTTCCTCATGTCAATCAGCACTGTCTTAGTTGATGCCTTATCTAATTGTTATTCCAAAGCGGATTTTCTTTATCGCTATTTTTTCATTCTTACGGGTCATTGATCTGTAGAAAATCAATTAGTTGGTTTCTTTTTTTTTCACTGCCCAAAGCGCACGATCGAAAGGGAAAAGAGGCAAAAGAAAATGCTTGTAAGTTGATTAGGCGGAAAATTGGAGTACATAGGTGAAAATTAAGGAAATTCTTTTCTCCAAGGCTCAAAATGGAAATAACCATTTATGTCTGCTTTCTCTTATCCTTTTACTGATTCTTCTTCTTCTGAAGCGGCAAAGCCATTGAGTTGATGGGGACTTCATTGCTTAATTTGAGTCAACGAGAGGCAAGATTTAAAAGGATGGAAAAAGGGATGACGCAATAAAAGACGGGGGAAATCTGATAAATCCTCGGTGCAATTTTCGTACAGCGTGAATTTTCATGAATAGATAACACGAGTGAATGATTATTGGGGAGGCAAATACAAATGCCATAATAATTTGATGCGAAACGGTACAATTGCTCCAAAGAATGTATATGTGGGAGCAGCGAGGGTTGAGTTATTTGGGTGGGCATCGTAAAGATGGATTCGCATTTAGATAGAGCTCCTTGCCCGACTCGAGTGGATAAACTATTGGCGGAGGAGGAAATGTGTGCGGGCGAGGTAGAGGGACATGTTCTGGGTGTCGCAGACACTCAGGCCCACAGTGTGAGGTTAATTTTCCGGTCGACTTGATGATAATAGGGCGAATAGTACAATGAGGCGAGCGCACTTGTAAGGAAGATTTTTTGGGCGAAGGGTTGCCACAACCAAAGAGGGATATGTTCACGCGTGACAGTGATCCTGAGGAGTGGGAGAGAGGGTAAGTGGTAAAATGGGAAGGAAATGGGATTCCAATAAACGATCCGCACTCGCATTAACTCAATTTAAATCTTAATCCTCAATCCGACTGTCTCGATTCCACGCTGACTCGACCTTCCCCTTTACACCAATACTGAACTAATAGTGGAAAGAAATTATGGAAAATATTCTCACCATTTAATTCGTAATTTATATTTTGGCTGAGTCGCAATTTTACACTTCAATTACTGGCAAATCAATTCAATCAAACAGATTTCATGCTTAAATTTTTATGCATCTCATTTGCATACAACTGAATGCAATTAGGGTTACTTGTTGGGGTGTTTTCCGATGATGTTCTCCACACCCGATTAGGTTTATGGGACAATACAGAATCATTCAAATGCCACTTCTTTTGATGATATTCCATTTTGAGAAGATTTCACGCTCATATAAGTTCAATGAAATACACATTTTGATCTATATCTGTTAATTGAGAGCTTCAATTGGGAATGAAATAAGTCCGTATTTTGATAATTGAGTAACATATTCTAATTTTGGATAAATATTTTTGTCTTGAATTCTTGTTGTTCTGATGTTAAACAAGTATTTTTCATGGAAAACTCTTAAGTATGCTGGTCAGAGGTTGTTATAAGTCTCTAATAATCATCGCTGAGAGAATCAACTATACATCTCCGGAATCATCAGAATGATAGAGGCCAGAGATGAATTTGTGTGCGTGATGAAGAGGTACTGTAACTGTATTCATAACATTTAGAAAAAAAATGTAAGTTAACTATGTGACATATGACACATAAGAATGAAGCATTGGAGTTGACTTGAAAATTTCACGCTCGTGTTCCTCAGAGTCTCAGATATGGAGTGGAGCGTCCTAATAAATCTGCAGCTGGTCTTTTTGTTGCTTAGCCACACCTCATCAGTGGCCATATAATTGATGTCGTCCTAGTGGAATGGGAATCAATAGAAAAGGGACAATTTTGATCCTCAGAGCCAAAAGCAGGCCGATAAATCTGCACGGGCAATAATTGAATGTTTATCACAAAACTCTCGCCACATTGGATTAAACTTGAAGCGCACAACGTTCATTCTTCATCCCATTTAGCCAGGCTCTCGTCCTTTTGATGTGAACGCCGATATTCGCCATTGTTGCGTATTCACGGGAATTACTGAGGGTGTACAAGTGTGTCAAGAAGACACAAGTCTCTCCCTCGTGTTTTGACTCAATCAACCCCCGGGGTGGCGGGGTTGTTATAGAGAAGATGATTCCCATACAACCGTGAAGATTGCCGATTTTCCGCCTGCAACAACTATTGTGCGTGTTTGCTGATCGGTTCCTGGGGATGCAAACAAGTGACGCACGTGTACAAATTAATCTCAAATTAGAGTGAATTAAGTGAGAGTCGCTGTAGCGTCGCTCTGACCCGTGATTCTTCTCTCTTTCACCACCGTCAATCGCTTTCCCATCAGCTCACCAACCCTCAGTGTGGACGCTAAAGAGCGTCCCTTTGTTGGTGGTACATTACAATAATTTCACACAGGCAGTGCCACAAACAAGTGAATCTGAATTTCAATTGTGAATGAAGAGGAATAAATTGAATGGTGAAGATGATAAGAGATCCTCCACAGCACAATGTCAATAGAATGTGGAAAAGCTGCCCTGATAGATTAGATCTGGCGTCTGCATAAGTTTTTTCAAGTGTCTTCCCTAAATACCAATTTAATCTCATTTTGCCAAACTCCCCGAAAATGTTATTAGTAAAGTCACCCCCGCAATTGATGGATTATTTTTCCCGGGCCAAAATGTGAGTAAGGGCAGAGAGGAAAGCCAGAACGCAACCGAAGAGAGCAAATAATCACTTTTCTGTACACAATGATAAAATGATGAAAAGCCCAATTCAATTTCTCACACTCAAATCTACACTCGAGGAACCAGAATCAAGTGGATATTAGAATTATTAAATATGAGTTTTCAATATCGTCGACATCTATTTACATAGCTGAGTGGCGCTTGATTAGAAAATATAATCTCAATGGGAAAATTTTCAGTGCTGCCCTCGAAGGGTCTTTTTGATGGGGTGAATATTTTATTTCTGCCTGGTATTTTAATCTAATACGTCAGATATTAAGAGTCAGGGAAATATAATTTGACTAAAGTGCCACAATATAGACTCTAAAATCACATCTTCACTCAAAAGTTATTTACCTTAGAGCAGTAATAATGTTCATAGCATGGAAATAATGAGTATCTTATCGTTTGAAATTTAACATAAAAACATATATATAGGGTCCAGTTTATCGCCCCTAAATCCATTTGCCTCTCCAATGGCAATTGATAAAACACAATTTCTCAAGTTCGCTCAATTGAGTCAAGATCCCAACGAATAGGGGGTAGGAAAATTTTCATGAAATATTTCATCTCATTTTCTAAGGCTCTCTAGGTGTTCTTTACACATACGACTCTGATTTATTTGCCCATTGAGAACCACCCCCATTTATTCTTAGACGTTCCTTCGCTATGGCGGCTTTTCTTCAGCGCAACCCTCTCAAGAGTTTGACGGAAAGGGTGAAGATGATTCCTGTGGATCAGATTTGGTCAACACAATTTTTCCTATTTGCATGCACTTATTGGTTTGATTGTGTAAATACTCTTTGGAGCAAATTTAAATAGATAACTGAAGTGGATGTACAGTAAGCCTCTGAATCTCACTCCAGTTGTCATGCCTTTTCTTCTCAGCTTCCTTTTGACCTGGGGATTTATATTCAACTCACCCTATGTTATATGGAATATGCAGAGCCAAACCCTGAATTGATATGATGTAATTGATATTGTATGTGAGCCAAGCATTGCGATGGGCTAAGAAAGTCTAGAGGGGAGACGTAAATGAGCAAATAATTAGAAAATCTCATTTCATTTTCTCCTTGTTCAGCAACATTCTCAGCAGAATGAGTGATATTCAATTTGGCGTCAAACTTCAAAAACACCAGACCACAGAGGGGATGTCCAAAGATATATGAAATATGAGATTAATGAGTTCACGCCTCTTTTCCATCAACCAGAAGAATTTATCCGACTAATATGAATTATGTGTCTCATTGGAGGGCCACAACAATCACAGCACACAAAAACATTTGCGCGTCTGTTGACTCGTTTTTTTTTTTTTTTATTAGAAAGACAGAGAGAGAATTTTATATGCTCCAGGGCTTCATAACTCATTTGATGATGTGAAAAATGATTGAAATTTTTTGCAGGGTTATTCAAAAGCGAGCCCATAAAGTGCATCACAGAGGACAACAAATCACACTTTTTCCAGCCAGACACAAACATTCAGTTATCTCTCAAAGTAACACTCAATTTAAAATATCACCACACAGCGAGCATTTTTGCACGCTTTTGTCCCATGCATATAAATTGAGCGTTAAGCATTCGCAATATCATTCTTTATGGCTTCAGCCTTTTTTTCCTCCATCAAGTTTGTATCAACATTTGTTTACTATCATCATTAAAATGAAGCGACCCTACAACACACCATGCATGATTTCACCCATCCATTGCGATGCACCTTATAAATAAAAGAAGAGCATTTGTGCTCTCTATGACAGTCTTATCAATTGCACATTGGCTCGTATAATTATTTGCATATCTTTTATTCTGTAGTGTTTGTCAAAGTTAGAGTTGACAATTATACGAAATTGTAGATAACATAAATTCAATTTCTATTGTCTTTGGAATCATTGCTACAGAGATAAATTTCACAGATAAATTTTCTACCATTTCTATGAGATCTTTATTTAAACTACTTTTGAAAACTTTTGTTGTAG